TAATAAAAATATAATAAAAAGGTGTATACTTATAGCAGGCATTTTTAATTAAGTTATAAAAAAAACTTAAAAAAAAAAAAAAAGATTATAAGGGTACTTTAATATTAAAATTAAAATATTATACCTAGCTATTATAGGCAGTAACACTATATTTAAACCTAAAAGTAAAGTAAGGTAATTAAATTAATTTTTTATACCTAACTTTAAATATAAATTATATGTAAACTATAACACTTTATAAACCTAAAAATAGCTTATTTTATAGCGCTTAATAAGATTTATAATTTAAATTATATTTTATAAAATATAAATATAAATTTATAGATTACAAGGGCGCAATTACTTAAAAAAAAAGTATTATTATTACTATTATAATATTATAATTATATAATATTATAATAATATAATCCAGCGGCCTAAGGCCGCTAAGTAAAGGAACTTTAGCACTAAACTAGCCACGTGCCAAGGCGGTGGCTAGTTATATAATATATAAAATACTAAGTTTAACTTTAAACTCTAACTTAAAAGAATTAGCAATTAGTTCCTACTATAAATACACGACACCTTTCCTATTATAGTAATTCACGTTCTCCTAAGCTCACCGCAGTATACAAACGCGACTCACAGTTTTTTTTACACCAAAGGCTTTAACTATAATTTTTTTAAGGGTATAAAAAAAGCTACGCGTTGGGGTGTTAAATAATAAGCTTATAATATACTTTAAAAACTAATTAATAATCTTATTAATAGTAATATTAAAAAACTTGGTATTCTTTAGCTATTAATTTATATTTACCTTATACTAATTATAGTACTTATTAAGTAATTTATTTAATAAGGCCTGGCGTGTAAAAGGGGTAATATTATACCTTTTAAGTAAATTTTAAAGTTTAAAAATTTTATATATAAAAAAAGGGAGGCCACTAGTATAAATAACTATATAAAAAAGTTTTTAATTTTTTTATTATATAGCACTATTTTAATTAAGAGTTAACTAACTACTTTAAAAATATTAAGGGTGCTTTAAACACTTATTAAAAAGGTGTTTATATTACTAAATTATTTAAGAATTATGTTTTTTACCACACTGCCTATATTAAACCTGCCTTTTTTAAAAATTAGTAAAAAATTAAAAAAAATAGGAATTAAAATAATACTTTACTATTTTTAATATAAAATAACTTATAAGTGTTTTTAACCTAAATATTATTTTAAATTTAAGTTATGGTGGCTTTGTTTACTTAAAAAATAAAAAAATTAATATTTATTTATAATATATATATTTATTATAATAGTGTACTAGTAGCTAGTTTTATTATATTTTTTATAACTAAGGATTTCCTAAATTTTATTAGCTATAAACTAAGCTTAGCACTAATTTATAACCTTTAATTAGCTAGAGTAAACCCACTATAAGTCACGTGTATGTTTAACCAAACTAACATTTAAAACCTTAATATTTTAAACAGACCAACATTTCCTTCCAAATGTCGACATTATAACATCCCTAATTAAACTTAACAACTCAACGTTCAATTTCCAACTTTACAGTTTATAAATGTATATAGAATCATATTGTAATAAAGAAAACATCTACTATCCGATATGGTGTAATGGTTAACATCGGCGTCTCTCACACGCCAGCTCGGGGTTCGATTCCCCGTGTCGGAATATTGTTTTGCTTTTTGTTCCCATTCCAGATGAAAAAGAGACCATAGAGGTGGCCCAGGCTTGATGTGGGAGTATTCAAGAAGCCTGCCAGCTCGCCCAGGGCAATAGAACCGAAGCCGGAGCATTTTTTGATCCTTTTAATTGCAAGTTGAACTTATCGAGGGAGAAGGAGTTTAGAGAGGGCCAGCCAGAACACCCAAGCACTGGTAGATAGCATCAATGTGAACCTCTGTAGGCCGAAAGCAGAGTGAATCTATCCATAAACAAAACATGTTTGTAAATTTTCATCATATCCTGGAGCCCCTATATAGCCAGATAAACAATGCCCATCGCCAAAGACGAAGACATCACCACCCGCCACAAGAGAGGCAGCAGCTCCAACCACCACAACACACAGAGCGTCTGCTACTATCAACCCTACATACATGGACAAGGTCTTAGCGGAACCGTACAGAACCGCAGTGCCACTGAGGTAGCTGATGCAGTGCCAGTCGACATCCATCAAATCAAGCTTCATTCAGCCAAGCCTAGCCGGGAAATGCACTTCTTCTGGGCCCAGGACGGACTGGTTAATTGTAACATCCAATCGCTCTGTTAGAAGGCATGTCAGAGTTTCAAGGTGGCAGTTCAAGAATGGGGCGGGGAAACACCGCTCCGAAACATCAATGCCCTACATAGTCTCTAGAGTCTAGAGGGCCCCTTAGCCCTAAGTGTTCGCTAGCCCTATGCAAGACTGATTTCGCAGCCAACCGCAGGCCACCTCCACGCCTGAGAGCCATAACATGCCTTCTTATGTGGTGCTGCAGTCCTAGCACGCTTGTACCCGCCTCAATCTTCTCGGCATGCAGCGGCCGTCCCCAAATGTTGTCGGGTGTGGAGAGCTTCTCTTGAAATTTGATGAGATCGACAGAGCGACATCACAACCTCACGCTTATAGACATGGCCATAGCTTTGTTCTAGAGCTATACCAACATCTGAGCCTAGATGGGCGAGAGCGAATCGCGGTCAACTCGCCCCCCTCAGTAAGACTGCAACCAGCTTGAGTACCGGGAAACAAATGCACCTTGAAAGTTGAATCCGCCACATTCTCTTCGTCTCCTCCTTTAACCTTGCCCGGAAGCAACTTGCTGATCAGATTGCGCATTAATGCTAAGCATCGGGGATCAACCAGTCTAATTCGTGGAAGGTACTGGTGGCTAGGAACGGACCGTGCAGTGGGTAGGTATGTAGATCTAAACCGACGGAGGGTCTTCAGCTGACCCACCAATCAGTCGTGCAGCAACGTCCTGCATTAGGTGAACCTCATACTCGCCATATACGTTAGCGACTCGGGCCGGTGTTGATTTGGGTTGGGTTGGTTTGCTTTACTTCTCACCCAACGTGATGCAGGACAAGAATTGGGAAGGGGAGACTTTCTCATGGTATTTTTGGAATCGAACAAGTCGACTAGATAAAACCCTGAAGCCATAAAGCAAGATAGTTACTCCAACCAAACATGGATATGAACATGAGTCCCCATCAGCCCGTTGCGGCACGAGACGTAGGGAAAGAGGCCAAAGTAGAAGGATAGGTATATAGAGTAAGAAGCCCCAATGCTTCTAATTCGTTGATGACAGAGAGGGGATTGCGAGAAAAGAAAACCCAACTGACAGTACTCTTATTTGTGAGCCTGCTCATTATTCCCTGCTGCCGCGGAACCCTCTCCAGCTCCCGCAGGGTCCTCCGGATGCGAGAAATTCTGACTTGAAGAGCCCCGTCTATGGAACGGGTGATGTTGGAACCCCGAAAAATGCAGGACTTTGCGCACTGTACTGGCAATGCCTGACTTGCGCTTTGACTCGGGCGAGCTCGGCCTATCCTTGTCCCCTGGAGCTGATGCCGGAATGGCAGGGGTATCAGGGTGCTTAGTCGCAGAGGCATTACTCGGCCGAACGGTTGCGTTATCTGTAAGCACGAGGTTTTGAGGTTTCGGTGGCCATTGGCCGTCTGCCTTCCAACCCTGAACCATGGCCTTTGTCATGTCGGCGAGGTTAATGGGCACGGTGGGCGTGAGGCCTTGGATGACGACCTTGGAATAGATGGAGGGGTACATTGCAGGGGTGATGGACGCGCGGATGGGGTTTGACGTTGCGATGAGGGAGGGGACGACGGGGATGAGCGGGTCGTGGAAGGGGTCTTCTAATGAGGGGGTGGAAGGCGTCGTTGTAGTGGTTGATGGGGGGTCTGCGGTGGGAACGGCTGCGGCGGAAGAGAGCGGTTGGGGGAGGTCTGGGATTTCGGGGATGGCGTCGGTGGTGAGTTCGGGTCTGCTTGCATCATCGACAGGGACTGGTGGCTGGACGTCGCTGCTCTGGTCTTGAGGTTGCTGAGCCTGAGATAGGGTAGCCTGGTTATCTGCGATATTCAAAGCCTCTGTCCTCGACGCAAGATTTGATGATTCCCCCGTAGCCGGAATAGCAAACGGACGAGATGTCGTAGAAGCCGGGATGCTCTGGGCGTCTGTATCCGACGTCGTCGCGGCGCTATTATCCTTATCCCCATCACTGTCTACCGTAGACACCGGCTGCTGCTTCTGCTCCCACGTCCTAACCTGCTCTCTAGACAAAGCGCCTGACCACGCATCCCGCCTCTCCACCCACGTACGCAGCCCTTCATTCCAGCTCATCTCCTCCTCCATCTGCCTGCGGCGCTTGCGCCGTCGCGATCGCGACCCCGCGGATTGGGGCGAAGAGGCGTCAAATGCATCGGTCCCCGGACTACCGATAGGGGAGAATGGAGGCTCGAGTTCAGATCCTGAACTGTCGTATTCGCGGACTCGCCATTCGAGGACTTCCGTGGGCTCTGGGTTTGCAGGATACTTTGGCGGCGGGGCGCCGGGTTTCGCGGAAAACTCAAAGGACCAGTCGTTCTGGACGACTTCGCGGACGTAGCGCTTCGCTTCGCGGATAGCATCGTCCCGGGACTCGGAAGACATGGCGACGGAATTAGATGGTCAAGATGTATGGAGCGAGAAAGAGGCGGAGCGGCGAAGACGAAAGCGAGAAGATGTGAGGGGTTGATTGCGTGAGGAGAAAGGCGGGACCATAGGTACTTTCGAGAATGCTGAGTTAGAGGCCGATCTGGTCTGCGCTTCACATTCTAAGTAGAGGGCAATTGATTAAATTTGGTTTATTGTTAATTATAGAAGATGCATGGAAGAAAGAAGTTGAGGAAATCGGCGGTCGAGATGTCGAGTCGCCGGAAAACTCTGCCTGGACGAAGCAGCTTCAAGGCCGCAGGTGGGCAAATGCCGCCACTACAGGGTGATCATGCAATCGGGATGATATATACTCCGTTTAGTCTAACTGTTGGTACATGCCCTCATATCGCTAACAGGCATGGAAAGAAATAGTAGTAAGTGGTGGTACAAATGTCATCGCTCCCTGCCGAAAGCCCTGCCGAAACACCTCCGAAGAAAATCACTGCGCATATCTTGTCTCACGCCCTAGGGTATCAAGTTGTTGCGTTCATGTTCGAACCCGTGCGGTATCTGCTCCGACTGCGTCACCGACAGGCGTTGTGAATCCCCACCCAGGGCTCTTCTTGCGCCGACCTTTGCGGTCTCCGTATTGCTCGTCGAACTTACGGATTGCCGAAAGGGACGACATATCTTCGCTGATGGACGCGCTGATCTCTTCCATGCCGCGGGTGAAATGTGCCCATGTCAGCGTTCGCCTTGCAGGATATTGGTAGGGCTCATCGCCCGTATGCTGCTGTGCCAACGCGTTCTCTTCACGTACGCAAGCCAAAGCGGCCGCTACGCACAGGTTCTTCAAATCAGAACCGGAATATAGTGGAGTGCGACGGGCCAGTTCTGCAAGATCGACAGAGGCATCCAGGGCTTCTTCCTTGAGGTGGATCTTTAGGATGGCCAGACGGTCTTGCTCTATAGGAAGGTCCACAAGTAGTCGCCTGGGGAGACGACGGAGAACCGCATCGTCCAAATCGAAAGGTCTGTTTGTGGCGACCATGATAAACGTTGAAAGGTCGTTCATCCCATCCCATTCCCGCAAGAACTGGTTGATCAGTTCCCGATGGGACGTGCGACTGCTGGCCCCGGTACGGGAACAGAAGATGGCGTCTGCCTCATCTATGAAAACGACGCATGGATTGAGTTTCCTGGCCAGAGTGAAAATGGCCTTGACATTTTTCTCTCCTTCGCCCACGTACATGTCGTACACCTCGGACCCGCTGACTTCGAGCACAGTAGCACCACTTTCGCGCGCCACGGCCTTAGCAAGTAGAGTCTTACCGGTGCCTGGGGGTCCGTAGAGAAGCAAGCCCGGTATCTTATCAGTAGCTAGCACACCATAGGTAAAAGCCTCGGGACGGATAAGTGACAGGGAGGTGAGGGTTTTCAAGGCGTCAATCGTTTCGGGTGGTACGTGCACATCAGCGAAAGTGGTGCGAATACTTTTTGCGTCCACGACACCATTCAGCAGCTTCTTCTCATGGGAATTGCAAGTTTTACGCAGAGACGAGATAAGACGCTCTCGGTTGTTCTCCGTTCCCGCGGACTTCACCTTGGGCGATCGTTCTTGCAGCCACTCGTCTCTGATATGCTCTGTCTTCTGTAACATTTCAAGCCCGCGCTTAATATGCTCGAAACCGAATGCCTCATCCGGCCGAAGGCTCCCAAGAGCAAGTGTCGCTACCCAGTGCACTTGATTGTACGACCAATATCGCTCATCAAGACCGGACTCTTTCAGAAGAGGCGCATCCAGTGACCAGGAAGTTTGGAGGACATCATCCTTAACTGCCGATGGTTGCTCCTCAAGCCGTGTCCGCAGCATGCTCTGGATGTGCCGAATGTTGATGTCTAGTGTCCGCTTTTTTAAATCTTCCGCAAATGTCCTTTCTCGTGCCTCAGTTTTCATGGCGGGCGTGACAACAACCATTTGAGAAAATTGATCGTCAAACGCATTCTGCAGTAATCTTGAAGAATCTGAATCCGGAGGAACGTCTTGAGCAGCAGTCCCAATGAACAAAACCCTGTGTCCGTCCTTTCGCCGATCCTGGATTACTTCCTGTAGCAAATTCAGGAATCTCGCGCCCTCGCGTGTACTTTGTATATCACCATAGTCCTGAACCTGGACGATGATATCACGCGCCTGCTCCGGCTGTGGGTTGACAAAGTCACCAGGCGCCTCTTGGTCGACTGCGGGCGGAGTAGCAGATTGTCCTGATGATTTCCCGGGGCCTGAAAGAAGTTTATGCAAAAGCTGGAGCCGTCTCTCCTCGGATCGATCAAAGGATGGCCGTGATGATGCGCTGCCTGACGAACTATCTGATGGGCTGAATGCTGCGACTAGAGACTTGAGACTAGGGAGAGGGATGTCACCGGATTCGCGGGGGCTCCCAATGGTTAAAAATTGTGAAATACCCATTGGGCTAATTCGACCACGAGGGCCGCGTATGGATCGTGGAAGCACCACCCCGTCCGCTTCCCCTTCATCTTCCTCATTCGCCCCTTCACCGGACTCACGTGACGAATCTGAGATTGATGGTCGGAAGACTTCATAGCCGAGGAGTCGAATGGGCGACGTTCTACCTGTATCTGTTAAGTCCTGCTCAATGCAGAGCTGGGCGATGTCTTGAGCATTAAGCGTCACCAAGTCAGTGTTGAGCTCCCCGGCGAGTCGCTTAACGACTGCGTCCAGGAACAAAATCCCACCGGTGCCAGGATAATGAAGAACGAGGTGCGATTTGAGTGCAGATGGCTCGGTTGCATATTTCGCCGGCGGTAGTCGTAAGCCGGCCCTAGCGGAGGCACACAGCTCCTCCCATAAGGCGTCGGTCAAGGCGTAGCGGTGTTCAGAAAGCGGTTGTCCACCCACTGCAGGCGGCTCCTCCCCACTGCCTCCGGATGACAACGCATCCGCGGAGACCTTATCAGTTTGTACGACAGACCGGATGTTCACCGGCTGTCGCGTCTCCCCCTGTCGGCTCTCGTTGAGCACCGTATTCCGCTCGCGGAACCAATCTGGGATCAAAGCAGTCGGGGGTATTGATTCCCTGGAACGCTTTCTGCTTCTCAGTGCCCGCCGAATGGGAGACCCATAAGGACCCGGATCCTTCGCGCTTGGTTGTTCCCCTGTTCCAATCGAGGCGTCCGGATTAGCTGGGTTGGCTGTCCCATTGAGCGCCGGAACGTCGTTATGGGCACTTCCGGATACTGAGTCTCGAGAATCCTTAGGATCAGACGGTGTCGAGGATCGCCATATCTGTGAAAGATGGAAGCGACGCAACGGGGATGTGACTACAGCGGGAAATCGACGATGCGCGACGAAACGACAGGGCCGTGCAAGAGACCAAAGATGCCTGCCCTGTTGCATTGACGAGTACATCCGGGGCAAACGATGCCGCCGGAACCAAAGAGTTGTGAGACTGCTGATGCTGCACAGAACAAGGCGTCTGCATCAGTTGTCAATTGGGTTGTTGAGTGGAACTTTTTTGATGTCAACTCAACTCCATGCCCGATGCTCTTTGTCAGCGGGTCACGTGATTAGACTTGATAGAGCCTCGTTCATATTATCCCTCTTTTGTGAGGATACGAAGACTTTCGATGGGGACAGATGCTAAAGACATACGCTCTCTTAAGCTTAAAAAGCGTCTGGAAAGCGCAAAGCTGCTGTGACAGCAGTTACAAGGATTTTCTAGTACGGTTGGCATTCTGAGACTTGCGAGCTCCTGGTGGCCGCCAATCCAGCAGTCTTACATTTAAGAATGCTACAAATCAGGCTCAGAGGTACGATGGATGACAATTGTAGCATTAGCGAAAATATTTAGACCTAGACTATGAGTATAATCACTCGCAAGACCTCCAATACACTCTGGGCAAAAACAGGATTGAGCACTCAACAGCATTGTCGTAACTGCGCTTGAAATCCCTCTCTATCAACATCATTAGCCACTGCACACAAAAAGACGTGTGATGATGAAAAATGCATGAACACAATCTCTCAGACAAAATATACTGGCAAGTAGCAGACCAACCGGGAAAGGAAGGTCCGAATTGTCTCGTCATGGGCGATTTGGAGGTGAAAGAAGAAGAGATGGTTGTCATCCTCGAGAGATTAAAGCATGAAAGGCAGAAAAAGAAAAGTTGCAACTCACCCTACAATTAGCAGCTGGAGATGATCTGGATTGGGCCGAATATATGGTATGATCGAGGCACATTGCATCAGATGCCGCATCGAGAGATGCAGCAACCGGTGATGGGCTGACAGCGTCAGTTAGACCATCTGCAATTTCTCTGCTCACAGGTCACCATGAAACTTCTTGCAGAAGAAAAAGCCGAGGGGAAAGACTGAAGAGAGAAAACTCGAGAGGTCAAGTTAAGTGTGGAAGAAAAGACAGAAAAGATTCCCACCGCCGGCCGTCGAGTTTTCCCGAAGCAAGCGCTAGTCCCATTCAAGAGTAGCGGACCCCGGCCATCGGATTTTCCGGCCAGCGAGGCGCCTCAGAGAGCGAAACCCAGAGGCAGGACAGGAGGTGGTGGCAGATAATCCGTCAGGAACTGTCAAATTTTCCTGGAAGATATTTAAAATCTGGTGCTTCGACACAGTAGCAAGCTGTCTAAAGGGTGAGTGGTGCAATTTGTGAATGTCGAGCGTGGACGCAGAGAGATCGGTCACCTTGGATCTCATCATTTTCCCTCTCGCTCTGCCTCTTCCCTTTCTCTTCTCTCCCCCTTGGAAAGCCACCGCATTACCTCCTCCGCGTCCTTTTTACTTTCCCCTCTTCTTCAGCGCGATCTCGGAATCTGTCATCTGTGTGGCGCTGTCCTGGTTGTTCGTCCCCGTCCCGAATCCCCGTTCAAACCCCTCCGTTCGTTATCAAGCCTCATATTGAACTGGCGATCGCGACAGTCCGACACCCGTTCTCTGGTCCCCCAAAGCCCCTCCACTCCGTCCGTCCATCCTCCTCCACTCGATCCCCCAATCCTCACTGCCGCGCTCCTTCTCTGCACCGCGTCCTTCCTAACATTGATTGCTCACTTAGGTGACGATTAACCTGGTCGACACCGGCGATATCTTCCAGGCCCGATCCATGCCTTAGATTTGGTGTGGTCCCGGCAGCCTCAATCGTCCGCCAACTGCATCTTTAGGCTTAAGCTTCCGCTCCGACACTAAAAGCGGCCCTGTTGTGTCTCCACGTCAAGCGCGCCTTTTCGAGTCGCTCGCCCGGCCAAACCTCCGTCGCCATTTTATTATCGATACCTCGTATCCTTTTCCCCCCATTCACCTTCATCCCTCTTCACTACTTGCTCTAGACTCCTTTCAGGCTGTGGGGTCCCCGTTCTCGGTGACTTCGTAGCCCGGCGATGATGATGGCGCAGCCATTCGCTGCCCATCCAGGCATGGCCGGCCACCCGGGTCTTCCCCCCGGTCACGCATTGGCTCCTGGTCAACATCCGAACGCTCATCCAGGCGCCATGATGCAGCAAGTACATCCTGGCGTGTCCGGGCCTGGCCCACAAGTAACTCAAGGCGGTCCGATGATGGGACAAATGCCTCCAGGTGCGGGAACCACTGGCCCAGGAGGGCCCGTACAGGCTCACGCTCTCTCCCATATTGGCCCGCAACCGCACTTGTTTCAACAGCCACCATATGCGCAAAATTGTAAGTCGTTCTAGCTTTCCGTTACCCTGGTCGCAGGACTTTACCGCCCAGTCGGTACAATCTCCTGGAATATTTCTGCTCATAGATTAACACACGTCTCGATGTAGTTGGCGGAAACCCGCAGCTTATCCAGCAACATCACCAGAACATGATGAGACAGCGTATAATGTTTCAGCAACAACAAGCGCAGCAAGGCCAAGGCCCTCATCAGCAGCCACAACAGCCCCAGCCGCAGCACGGAGGTCTTTCTGTGTCCCTACCGAATGGAACGCAAGCTATGAACGCAGCGCACATGGTTGCCATGCAGAACCCGGCGATGCGACCTAACATTCAGCAAATGCAGCAACTTCAGATGTCTCATGCGCAACCCCAAAGCCTTCAGCAGCAGCAACAGCAGCTATTCGCCATGCAGCAAGCACAGGCAGCCCAAGCCCAGGCCCAGGCCCAGGCTCAGGCTCAGGCCCAAGCACAGGCTCAGGCTCAAGCTCAAGCGCAGCAGGCCCAACAAGCGCAGCAAGTCCAGCAGCAGAATACTGTTCAACCCGGCCAACATACCCCGCAACAGCGTCCGGCACCTCAACCTCAAAGTGTGCACGACGCGCAAAGCGTCACACCGCAGCCTCAACCAGGACCGCCACCACACCAAGGAAGTGCAACTCCGCAACCAAACCCTCAACAAGCCCCGTCCTCCCAGCCACCACCGCAGCAACCGGTAGTCACCCAGCAATCGCAGCCCACGCCAAATCTCGCCCCTCAACAACTCCCTCAAACTCAACAGCCGGGCCAGCAGCCGCAGCATCCGCAACAGCCGCAACAGCAGGCTCAAGCACAGCAGCCCCAGCCCCAGACGCAACCCCAGTCACAATCTCAGCTGGGCCAGCAGCATCCTGGCCAGCAACAAGGCCAGCAACCTCACCCAATGGCTGCAGAAGCCATGAAAGCGCAGCAGCAGCAGCAACAAAATGCGGCAATGTTAATGCAGCAGTCGAGAATGGCCATGAGCGGACGATCAATTCTAATTATGGGTAACTTCGCTGAAGCGATGAGCAGTTTCACCGTACGTCTTTTTTGCCCCCTTTAGCGAGCCATTTTTCCCGCACAGAGATTAACGTTGTATAGAGCCGAAACGAAGCTGCCGATTTACAGTATTGGTCAAGCTTCGTGGACAGGTTTTACGCACCCACTGGGCTTCTCCGCCAGGGCGTGTACAATAGTCAAGCTGGCACCAAGCAGTTCGAGATTGCAACTCCAGCGCTCGCGCGGTATTACTTGACACAGTTTAACAGCGGGATACGTCAAATCCAGATGTTTATAGAGGGGCCTCGAGAAAAGGACTTGCCAAACGGAGGCCATATTGTCGAGTGTCCTAAAGCTTGTTTTGTCTATTGGTTCACAAATGACGCACAGGTGAGTCGTACTCCTTTCCAGTTCCAGGTCGAGCATGCAAGTCTAATATTCCTACTAGCTTTTTACCACGGGTACTTTGAAGGCACACTTTGATTACAACCACAGAATTGAGATGCTCGACATCGTCATCATGAACCACACGGAGTATCTTCCTCGGACCCAACTACAGGCATTGGAGCTTGATGCCAAACAGAGCCCGAAGCTCACTAAGAACGGCAAACGAGCTTCACAAAAGCAGCCTCAACAGCCCGCATTCACCTTGCCTGAGTCTATGGTGACGCCTAATGGCGTCCCAGCTCCGGTAATGCAATTCTTGGAGGTATGTTGTGGCGTCTCTTTGCAAACAATATTTGTTCTAACATGCGGGGGGGATATAGGTGGCCGAGACAATATCACAGATGCAGCTTTTGTTCCAATACTCGCAGCAGAACCCGAACTTGACACCATCTGAATCCCTGCGGAATCTTGTCAGCTTCATGCAGGCTAACCAGAACGCGAACCCAGTCTTCATGCAGGCTCCTATGAACCCGGGGATGCAGCCTGGTCAGAACGCACGGGCACCTAGCATGGGTGGACCAAATCAATTTGCGTCCCCTGGAATGGCCCATCTCAATTTACCGGTCGGTCCTCAAGGCTCGCCTCACCTCTCAGGGTCGGCCCACCCAAGTCCTGGTCAGAGCAATCTGTCCGGACCTCCGGGAATGGGTCCACAAGGCCAAATGCCACAACAGGTTGGTAGCGCTAGCGCAAGCCCTAATGTGAGTAACAAGCGTCGACGTGCGAGTACCGTCAAGATGGAGGGCGACGAAAACACCGGTGAGGTCAATGGCACCGCTCCTGGGCCCACCAAAGTCAAGGCTAGTCCTCGAGTAGGAGGCAAGAGACAGAAAGGGACTGCCGCTTGATTATGCAGCGATCTAATTATTTTTCCGGTTATCATATCAGTTTAAAGAGGTTGGGAATGGCGTACGTTCGGTCGCTTAGTGCCTTGTGTTGAACGGGGAGTCTATCTGCTGCGTTTTGTCTCGTTTAACATAGGGATGTTTGGTGTTTCGCTTATTTGGTGTTCTTATTGATCGAAGAAATGGTCGGCATCTACTGCCCTTGTCGTCCTTTGGCGGTATTTACCGGGTTATGTTTATGGAATCCCTGGACGTGAGGTCCCATGTTCTACATACCTCAACCTCGCGTTGGCGTTAACGCCTCAGCCCTCTGTACTCTATCCACTTGGTCATCCTTGCATCTGGCCTCATTGATCTGTTGTTTTTTGAGTCGACATTTCATGATCTTTTACCTCTCTCCTCGAGTGAGGTTGATACCTTGTCGTTGAGCCTGATTTCCGATAAGCGTTTCAGATGTTGTGTTTAATGTTGGGTGATGTTCTTTGCTTGTTATTCTTGTTCTTGGTCTTATACTCTACAGTGATACTCATGATCTTCATGGCGAACTGCTCAGGCGCTGGGATTTGCTTCTGTTGAAATTCGTTCATGCCACCTAGGAACAATCGCAGGCATCTTTTTCACTTCCAATATGCATTTTCTCTAGATCAAAAAGAACAATCTTACATGATATGTAGACTAGTCATCTCTCACACATCGACTCATGGTAAAGACTTCTTAGTATAGCACTGCAGAATAGCATTTGCCTGATTACGCTGAAGGATAAGGTAGCGGTGTAGATATACATTGCACTACATATCTGGCTAACACTTTTCACTAACGTACCTAAACCCAACGCCCTCAAATGCATGTTCATGACAGATTCGCAGAACGGTACTCTGTACTCGCTCTATAACCAGGGTATCTGAGCACTCCACTCGTCATCCAGCGACAACGACAGAGCGAATAAAGAATGACAAAGTAGACTTGACCAAGCAAGCAAAAGGCAGCGCCTGCAAAACAGAGATGCAAGAAGGGGAGAGATTAGAGGTCCTTCTTCGCGAACCTCGCCAAGGCAGGCCCCAACTCCTCCCGCTCGGACTTGTATCTCTCCTTCGCGCGCGCCATGCGTTCCTTGTGCAGGGCCTGTGCCTTGAGAAGTTTCTCGTCGACGACATTGCGCCTCCCCTTCTTTCGCAGATACTTCCGCAGCGCACTGTTCTTGCCACGGCCGCGATTCTTGATTTTCTCGATGTGGTCCTCGGGCCGACGATCGAGGTCCTTCTCCTCGCGGTTGCGCTTGTCGCTGACGGTATCGACACGGCCGATAAAGCTGGGATCCAGCGAAATCATGCCAGGCTGCAGCTTGTGCATGAGCGCGCGCACCTCGGCCTCCTGGCGTTGCTTGGGGTTCTCGTAGGGGTTGACTTCCAGGGCGTCGAAGTTGGGTTCGCCAGCACCGGGGACGATAATGCTTGCGAAGCCCTTGTCGTGCGCGACACCGAGAATATCCTCGTAGGGGGCCCAGCGGAGGTTCTCGATGCGTTGCCCATCGCCACCCCATGACATGTAGGGGGACTTGACTTTGCCGACGTCGGCGCTGGCGGCGTCGAAGAGGCCGCGCCACACGCTGACCTGCGTGCCCCATCCGACGGCTGTGAGGCCGCGGTCAGAGATGGAGACTGCGGCGCCGGGCTGGTGGCAAGAGTAGGAATGGATTTCGCGGTACATGCGGATGTCCCAGACTTGCATTTTCTGGTCCTGGCCTGTTGATACCATGTAACGGCCTTGTCGGTCGATTGCCATTGAGCGGACGGGACCGCGGTGGACGAGGGCTTTAACGAGGGGGGTTTGTGTATTGGGAGACCAGAGGGTCACGGTACCGTTTTGGTGGCCGACGTGCATGATCGCATTCCAGGGATTTTGGGCCAGCGATGTTGGGGCTCCCACCTTTGTAGGAATTTCGGCGACGAGTTGGCCGGTTGATGTGTCTGTGTATTTGAGGTGGCCGCTCATTTGCTGTGCGCCGTTAGTATATCTTTCGCGCGATTATGGCGAGAACGGAACTCACAGCTGAAGCGAGGAGAAAGTGGTAGGGGAGGAACTCAAGAAAGCAGGGCTCAACAATCCTGTCCAGGTTGTGCAGCTCCACACCCTGGCTATCATAGATATAGACCGACTTCTTCTGCGCAACCGCAAAGTACTGGTTATTATGCAGCCACCGCGCATCCCTCACAGTCTCCCGCAAATGCAGCTCACACCCCAACTTCCCATTCCGCCAGTCCATCGTCGCGATATGTCCCTTCCGCCCCGCTAATAGCAGCTCTCGCCCATTCCGTGTATAGTCCGCTCGGTAAGGCCCGAAATCATCCAGCTTCAACTCGAACTTCTTCTTCGCTGTCTCGATCCCGACACTTGCTGCGATCTCGTCCTGGCGCACCTTGTACGTCCTTTCCATCTCCGTCTCGGGCTCGAGGAATCCGGCCTCGTGCTCCATAAGGATCTCCGCATCTTTGGCGCGGAGGGCGGCATCTTTGTACTTTTCCTCGACAGCTTGCAGATTACTTCGTAGCTTCTTGTCCCGCACGCTGTGGGTATGAACAGCCTTGCCGCGGCCATATTTCTTCTGAGCTTCAATCAATCGCTTGTTTTCCTTGCGCTTGGTTGGCGCAACGGCCTTTGTCGGCGCTGAGTCCGCCATGGCGTAGATGGAGTGGGGATATCAAAAGGCTGCACAGGTAATTCAACGAAGCAGGTTCCAAATATGGTCGGACCCTTATATCGTAACTATTCAAGCTGCACTGAAGCTTCGAAGATGACGGGGAAATTTAATTTTTATTCTGCAGGGAAAAAAGCGCCAAGACCGCCGTTCTGAACGGCTCGCTTGTTTTTTTCCTCCACCGCCTAATTTTTTCAACAGACGTTCGATCTATATTATTCTTGCTCGCCGAGAACCTTGTAGGAGTTTGCCGAATTGTCCTCGATTTGCGATTGATACGTTCACTGCTAGCTCGACACCCTGGCATCTCTCCCGTTTCGCTTCAAGGGCTCCGGCGGTGCCAACATGGCGCCTACATCGGTGCAGCATCACCACCGTTCCACGACCAAGACTTCCAACAAGCCTTACAAAACTGGCCATGCTTCGAAGCGCGCGCTGAAGGACCAGGCTAAAGGTGCGGCAGCTCAAATTGCGACAGTATAAGCATCACATGAACGGTACTGACTATCACCAGGCAAGGTCGAAAGAGGAGAGCGGGGTACTCGCAAGACCCCTCACCAGCAACTCATGTCGAAACTTGACCGAAGGAACCAGGCTCGCCAGAAGCAGCAAAATAAGCAGCAGGAAAGGGCTCAGGCTACGAGCATTTTTTCCGGTCAGAATGGGGCCCCGCGCCACGTTGCCATTGTTCCGCTCTCAACCGATATCGATACTACCGCTATTATCAAGTCGCTAAACGAAAGCGTCGATGTTTCGAGCGAAGTCTTCCCGGATACCATCTCCCGCGTTCGAGTTGATCGATTCCGACAGAACTTGCAGTATATCCCCGCCAAGTATGACCTGATGAGCGCCTTGGATGCTTGCCGGATGGCGGATTTCGTCGTGGTCGCAGTTTCCGCACATGTCGAGGTGGAGGAGCAGGGTGAGCTGTTGTTGAGGTCCATTGAGGGTCAGGGTATCTCGAACGTTCTGGCGGTGGTACAGGGCCTCGATAAGATCAACCCTCCCAAGAAACGCCCTCAAGTGGCCGGCTCCCTTAAGTCCTTTTTGAACCATTTCTTCCCAGCCGTCGACAAGGTGCTTTCTATCGACTCGCGACAGGAGTGCTCAAATACCATTCGATCTCTATGCACTGCGACACCCAAGGGAATCCGCTGGCGCGATGACCGAAGCTGGATGCTTATCGAGGATATCAAGTGGCCCGAAAGCGCCTCAGCCGAAGTGGACAATGTGGTCCTTACTGGTGTTGTTCGTGGAAAGGGTTTAAAGGCGGACCGCCTGGTCCATGTCCCTGGCTGGGGCGATTTCCAGATCGACGCTATCACCGCTGCCTCACTACCCACTGCGCGATCTAAGCGGGATGATGCTATGAACGTTGATGAGACTGAGGCGCTTCAATTGTTGGATGGCCCGTCTGCGGACCGAGACGATCTGGCCATTGTTGCACCAGAGGAGATCGAGATGGAGGATGACGTCGAGTCGATGCCAGACACAGAGAGGAAGGGTGTGCTTCTGGATGACCACCACTACTTCTCTGATGATGACGACCACATTCCGGCCAAACCCAAGAAATTGCCAAAGGGTACCTCCGAGTATCAGTCTCACTGGTTCTTGGATGATGTATCAGACTCTGGGTCTGACATCGCGGATGAAGACGAGGATGAGGAGATGGACATGGACATCTCTGGTGCTCCCGAAGACGGCGTATTCCCTGACAACCGCGACGCAATGACAGAAGGCGGACCTTCTGAATACCCTCAATCAGAGATGTTCCTCGATCCCTCACCCGAGGACGAGGCGCAACAACTGGAAGAGTACAGACGCAGCCGCAGGAACGAAGCCGATGATGACCTCGAATTCCCTGACGAGATCGAACTTCACCCCAACGTTCTCGCTCGCGAGCGTTTGGCTAGATACCGAGGAATGAAGAGCCTCAAGACTAGCCCCTGGAACACGGCAGAGGACCGACCACACGAACCCGAGGACTGGCGCCGACTCCTCCAATTTGGCGACTACAAGGGATCCAAGAACAGGATCCTCAGAGAGGCCCTCGTCGGCGGCGTTAACCCAGGCAACCGCGTGGACGTTCACCTTCGCGCAGTTCCTGCCTCGCTCCGCAACAAACCTCAGCCCCTTTCTCTCTTCTCTCTTCTCCGCCACGAGCACAAGCACACCGTCGTCAACATCAACATGCACCTCAACGCCGCCGTCGAAGAGCCCCTTAAATCCAAGCAGGAGCTCATCGTTCAATACGGCCCGCGCCGCCTGGTTGTCAACCCCGTTTTCTCCTCCGCAGACAATACCCCCAACAACGTCCACAAATTCGACCGCTTCCTGCACCCCGGCCGCAGCGCGATCGCCACCTGGATCGGCCCGCTAACATGGGGCTCCGTGCCTGTCCTCGTCTTCAAGCCCCGCAAGACCCCCGCTGATCCCGAAATCCTCGACTCCGCCGACGCCCCTGAACTCACAACAGCCGCAAACGTCTCGACGTCGTCCCTCGAGCTCATCGGCACAGGCACAGTCGTGGCTCCCGACCTAAGCCGTGTCGTCGCCAAGCGCGCAATCATCACCGGCCACCCGTACAAGATCCACAAGCGCGTCGTTACGGTGCGCTACATGTTCTTCAATTCCGAGGACGTCAACTGGTTCAAGGCTCTGCAGCTTTGGACTAGGCGTGGACGCAGTGGGTTCATTAAGGAGAGTCTCGGTACGCATGGCTACTTCAAGTGTACCTTTGATGGCAAGCTCAACCCGCAGGATTCGGTGGGCATCAGTTTGTACAAGCGTGTGTTCCCGCGGAAAGCAAGGGGGTTGGAGGAGATGGTCTGAGGAATTGGCTTTGCTTCTGCGTCTCCCTTCGTGCTCGGTTCATGCGGTGGATTCGTGGTGGTAATGCTAGGGTTAGATGATGAAAGAGGAGGAATGATATGATACCATAAAGTTGCGTTGCATGATTGACGAGCTTTCAGTTTTCAGTCACTTGGAAATTTCTCGTAAAAAGTATTTTCAGCTATTTAGATAGATGTCGATGAACGGCAAACCAGACCGTAATGAATTATGATTGACTCCTTCAAGCTTCACAATAGTACCTATACCTACCCAATCACTAGCGCGCAGGACGATCCAGAAAATAAAGCAAATTCGATCAGTCCAATTAGCGAGAAACAATAATTATCATGACCATGTTTGAAACCACATGTCAAGCGAAATACATATCCTGTATCAATTGAACGAAACCGACTTGGAGAACGTAGGGGGGTCGAAAAATGAAGAGAGAGTATATGATGATATAAACAAGTCTTAGGCGAAATCGTCCTCCTCAGGTCCTTCGATTCCGTTCTTGACACGCAAAAGGATCGTCGTCTTCCACTTGTCCAGCTTGCTGAGTTGGTCGAACTGGAAGAGCTTATCGGCGAATGCCTCCTGGTCGTGCGCTTCGATGGTCTGGATAAGATCTACAAGAAGCTGGTGTTCTCTTGTGGAGGCGAATGTGTTGTCGATGTCGCGGTAGCTTTCCAGGGCGCGGTTGGCGGAGACCATGTCCTATCAGGGATCTGTGAGCAAGAACTTCGTAACTTGTAGGCGCGGTAAGCGAACCTGAGTGGCTAGATGGCAGAGTCCAGCCTTGAGGAGGTAATCCTTGACAGACCACTTCATCAGACCGTTGTTGATGGATGAGCGGCCAATGCGCTCGTAGTGCTCGATGGCCTTGTAGTAGTCGCCTTCTAGCGCTGCTAGATCAGCGGCCTTGAGGTAGTGTTTGTTTGCGAGGCTGTTTGCGGGAAGTGTTAGAGAAATGGTACGACGTATGAACCAAGAGGAAGACAACTCACGCCTCCGCATTATCAGCATCAAACCACTCCGCAGCCTTCTCGTAAGCCTCCAGCGCATTCTTCGTATCCCCTAGCTCTTGCTCGTACACTTCTGCCAGATACTGCTGTTGGGAAGCTGCTCGGCGCAGATTACCGTTCAATACATAGTGCTGGATAGCGACAGCAAGCACGCGGACGGCATCCTCGGGGTCTGTCTTGCGGTAGACTTTGAACGCCTCTTGCAGAGTGTTGGCGGCGTCACCGGGTTCATTAAGGTTCTGGGTCTGAATAGTAGCGGCTTTCTCGAACGCTTGACCGGCTTCCTTGTCTGATTCATAGCGCAGGATGACATGTCAATAAAGATGCGAACCATCTTAGCATTCCCCGCGGAGCTAAGGTGGGGTGCATACTCAGCTTCTGAATCCGAAACGCATTCGCGGCCTGTGTGTATAGGTCTGCCGCATTCTCGTACTTCTCTGTACGGCCACCGAAAAAGCTAAAGCCACCGGAAGCGCTTTGGAGCGCTTTATCAGCCTAGAAGGGTGCGATACTTTAGGATCGCTCTTGACAGCGGGGCGGAAGAGACATGAACAACGTACTTTCTGCAAAAGGGCTCGGGGGTCTGCGGTCATGTTGCCAAATGTAGAAGAGAGTAGAAGGAAGAGATTCGAGTGAACGTTGTAAGGTTAGTTCCAGATAGACACTAGTTATCTCGAAAGTTGTTGTTGGACTAAGCCGTTCGCATCCTCGTCACTGCCAAGCCTCCCGATCTTCCACCGGGCGGTGTCCCGACTCCCGAGCTCCATTGTCTTTTTTTGCTGCTTGATCTCCATCTTTCTTTGCGGCCTCGACAGTCAAGCAAACCCGAGGAAGGGACGAATACTACAGCCATTCAAGATTTTAATAATATAAAGTCATAATGCTCCGTCGCGCAACAAACCACCTAGGCTTGTCACCTATTTCCAGCCCACAGATTATCCAGTCCAGGTCCCGATATTATTCCTCGACGCCGAAGGTCACTGATATCAAGTCGATTCTTGCAAAGCCAACATGGTCTGTCCGATCATTGCTCCCCGACCCCGCCGCGAAACCGTCGTCTCCGTCTGTCACCCCTGCTCAGCTCCGACATCTGCTTCGCCTATCAGCTCTACCGCAACCATCCAGCCCAGAGGAAGAACAGCAGATGCTTGAAACCCTCGAATCGCAAATTCACTTCGTAAAAGAGATCCAGAAAGTAGACACTACGGGGGTTGAACCTCTGCAGAGTATTCGCGATGAGAGCCCCGAGGCAACGAAAGAGAACACGATTGGACTGGAACGACTCAAGGAGGCCCTGTCGAAGGAACGGGTAGTAGGCCGGAACAAGAAGATTCAACGCATTGAATCGGCAAGAAACAAACGACCTGATGGGGACGTCTGGGATGGAAACGCGCTTGGTCACGCCTCCAAGACGAAGGGAAAGTTCTTTGTTGTTGACACTGCCAATTCCCAAACCATTGCATGACTTCGAATCCTACTTTGTGTCAGCGTCAATATTATCGGGACACTCTGGAGCCGCAGGTCGTTAACAATAGGTATCGACTGCTGCCTTTTCTCAGCCTCAACCTGTTGCGTCACTGGGCAGTGCTGAGTCATCCACATTCCCCATGGTACCTCCACTTAACAAACTACTTCTTTCTACATACCACAGCCCAGCAGGGCAGCATCCTTTTCTGACAATCTAAGCATTGGACTTGGCGTATCTGTACTCGATGTGGAAGAAATTCAGAGAATTTGGTTCTGACCCCAAGGAGGGGTCGAAGGACAAGGCGGAGACGAAAAACGACCAAGACCTAACAACTATTCTCAGTCGGCCGCAGCGCGCAGATCTCACGGTCCTTATCGCTGAAATTACACAGCGCATGAGGGACTCGGCTGACGAGACATTCAAAGCTCCAACTGCACAGCGGTCTGCAGCCAAAGATTTGATTGACCTGAATGAGGATGCTGCTCCAGATGCGGATACGCAGAAGCTAGAAGAGTTGAAAGATAAGGGTAGACAGGCGCGCACTGAATATGTGCCCACCGCCGAAGATGCAAAAGCCGAGGCCCACCTTCTGACCACGTTTGATGATTGGAGAGACTCCGTTCTTCTCCGAGTTGGTGAAGTCGTCAATCGGGACTCGCCTGACCAGAATGAGAATGAAAAACCAGACTTTGATTTGGAGGATGAGAGACCCAGAAGCTCATATGACGATGAGGAGGATAGCACCTGGAGTCGACTTTCTGAGGTTTATCCTCCAGTCGAGACGCCGTTGATCCGCCTGCCCAAGCCCAAGAGACTATTGATCCTTCATTCTCTACTGCTTCTGATGCTTAGCCTGGAGCATTACAACGCGAACTCTCGTGTTCTGATGCTCTTGGCCGCGTCCAGTCTAGGGTTAGGTATCAAGACACTCAACCAAGACGAAGTGAAAGTGTCGCGAGGACTACTGGATGCCGCTCTTCAACTTCCTGCGAATTCCGATGCTCAAGCTCAAAAAAGAGAAAGCGACCCTAGCCGAAAGTGGAAAGTTGGTATTGCATCTGTTGCTGGAGCTGTCCTGATTGGCGTTACGGGCGGTCTCGCTGCCCCGTTCATTGCTGCAGGCTTAGGAACGGTTATGGGAGGCCTTGGCTTAGGGGCCACGGCCGCTGCAGGCTATCTAGGCGCTGTTGCAGGTAGTGGAGTCATTGTTGGCGGGCTCTTTGGAGCCTATGGAGGGCGTATGACGGGACGAATGATGGATAAATATGCCCGTGAGGTGGATGATTTCGCCTTCCTGCCAATCCATGATTCTGGCCGTGGTCGAAAGCGGTTTGACGATGAAAAAGAAGCTGCTCGAGAAGATCATCGTCTTCGAGTCACGGTCGGAATTACAGGATGGCTCACTGAAGAGGACAATTTTGTGGTCCCGTGGCGCGTCATCGGCAAAGACTCTGAGGTATTCGGTCTTCGCTGGGAAACAAGACCACTTATGGATCTTGGTCATGCGATAGACCGCTTGGTCACTACTGCCGCCTGGTCCGCCGGTCGCCACGTCTTGACCAAAACGATCTTTGCGGGCCTGATCAGCGCGCTGACCCTGCCTGTCGGACTTTTGAAAGTCGCCGGCATTGCAGACAACCCATTCAGTGTGGCCAAATCTCGCGCAGACAAGGCAGGCGAAGTCCTTGCCGATGCTCTGATTAGCAAAGTACAAGGCGAGAGACCTGTTACACTCATCGGCTACTCGCTGGGATCTCGAGTCATTTTTTCATGCCTACAGACCCTGGCCAAGAGACACGCATATGGGCTGATTGAATCAGCTATCTTCCTGGGTGCCCCAACGCCATCTGATGCACCTGACTGGCGTCGTATGCGGCGCGTCGTCAGCGGTCGACTAGTCAATGTTCACTCGGAAAATGACTCTGTGCTCGCTTTCCTGTATCGGACAAGTAGCCTCCAACTCGGTGTTGCCGGATTACAGGCCATTGAGAACGTTCCCGGTGTTGAGAACCTTGACGTAAGCGATTATATCAACGGCCATCTCCGCTACCAGTACCTACTTGGGCGGATACTACGAACGGTGGGACTGGAGTGTATCAGCGCTCGTGAAGTCGCGCGAGAAGAGGCAGCTTTGGAGGCAAGAGACCGCAAAGAGGAACAAGAACGGATCCAAAATGAGCGCCGTGCAGGGATTGAAGGAGACAGTGAAGTGGCCCGCAGAAAGCTGGAAAGCGGCGATATTGCCCCCGATGAAGAGCTTAGCCCCCGGCCACGGTCGGAAGCTCACCAGAGCATACCGCGTCGTCCTGTTCCAGTCAGGTCTACTGAGGATAAAGGAAAATACGAGGTTTAGGTCCACGGTCGTTATGGGTTTCATCGAGCCAAAAACTGGTTCCCTGGCAGACCGAAGGGCTGTGTAGAGTTGCTTGTTAGAGTTCATACCCAGTATTTTTGACCTGGTATTCTTAATGGTGGATTACATCGGTTAGAAGTTCAAAACTTGATGATTTTATTTGCATTGAACCGATGGACTCCTTTTCCGTAACCCAGCTGTTAGAGTACCTCGTTATCCCATGAAGATAAGCAGGTCAACACAGAAGAAATAGATAGTAGATATAAACACACGTGAAGGACATGGAGAGACTCATGAAAAGAAATTTTGACGGCACAGAATGATGCATTATGGAAGGCGCCGAGAAGAAAGAGAATGGCCATCTGAGAATATAGCAAATCACTCCTCTACCTCTTCAACGCGAGGGGCGAGGTCACGCTTTACTGCGCCAGCTGCATCCGCGCTTTCAGTTGCGGTTGTAGTAGCTGTGGGTGCGGTTTCTGCAGTCGCTGTAGGAGCAGACTCTGTAGACTGGGAAGCTGATGCTTGACCTGCGCTGTTAACAGCCTTCTTTTTAGAAGACTTCTTCTTCTTTCCAGTCTGACAAGGTTTCAGTCAGAGATCATTCTGAACTCACGTAAAGGGAAAACGTACCTCTTGCCAGCCCCAGAGTGGCTTGAAACTGTCGAAGAAACCAACATCCTCAAATAGGTTGGGGAAAAGCCACAGTCCAGGCGGAACAGCGAAAACGGTGATGCAGAAGAGAATAAGACGGAAGATAGCCATGGCGAAGAACAGACCGAGAATTCCCATCATGCCGACACTCAGGTACCACACTCCTTGTCTCAGCATTATGGGCCAGAGGGGGAAGAGCACGACTGCAAAGATACCGGCGACCACGGCAGCAGCCATAGCTTTCTGCTTCCATTGCGGACCCTCGTAGAGCCAAACGTAGTGCATCATCGGACCGGCTTCCTGGTGCTGCTCAATCTTCACAGTCCATAGTCCCTTGACTCGCTTTGTCTTTCCATGACCATGGCCAGCATGGGGGTCAACCTTAGAGACTCGAAGAGCAAGAACCGACAGGGGCAGAAGCTTGAATACGTTCTCAGCCGATGCACGGTCGGTCACCGGGGGTAGGAGGGGGTTCTTCTTTCGAGCCTTCTCGTATGCGGGGGATTCGAGGGCACGGATGGCACGTTTAACTAGAAAGGATCTATGTCAGCAACGACATCCACGGCTTGCGCTGAGGATAACTAACCCTTGAACATGTCTTTCCGCTGTCCGTCCATAATGCAGGTTCTCGGCTTCAGGTTCTGAGAGCGCAGGAACTGCGCAACTGCAATCGCCTTGGGGTCTTTGGGAGCATTCGGATTGACGGGAACTTGCTGGGTGTGCGTCTGCGGTTGTCCGGGTTGGCCTGGCTGGCCTGGTCGCGGGGGTCCTTGGCTCTGGCCGTTGGCTTGGAGTTGTCGCTGAACTTCAGCAGCCTTTTGCTGGGCAGCCATTGCGCGCATCCTCAGCTGAGTGACGTACTGTTCGGTTGTCATTCCATGCTTTGCGGCTTCAGCATTCAACTGCTCGCGCTGCTGTTTGGCGAACTCCTCGGGGGTCAATCCGCGCTTGGCCGCCTCGGCAGCGAACTGCTGCTGCATAGCAGCCAGCTGCTGGGGGGAGGGCTGGCCGGGTGTGGCCATTCTGGATCAGAGACGATAGTTGATGGAGACTGACTGAAATTGTATGTTGGGACGAATGATGGCTTGCTGATGGTGAGTTGGGGGACCTTGCTTAAATAAATGGATGTGGCCAGATAAGGCGCTGATCAGGGCCCATTCACCGCCTTGGCTCCGCGTCAATGAGACCAGACCCTCAAGCGTCACCAGCCCCATTCACCACCCCAAAACTACTCCAGAGTCCTCACCCTGGGGATCGCATATCATTATCAACTGATGGTTACAGAACTTCTGCAATGCATATACTAACTGCCCCCTTGCATATTCAATATTCTGCATCTTCATGTCCCTAAAATTTAACCCAGATGACTCTCTCTTGAATGCGACCTGGGCTACTGTCCTTCTGGTCAGTCTTCCTTGGCGATTGCGATACCGGGATTGTCAAACTGATTATCATCTAGAGCGAAAGAGATGTAGCCGGGCAAGTTCCCATCAACTTTGTCACCACTTCCGCTATCTCCCTGCGGGCCGCCTGCTTTGGCGACAACAAGTTTGGCAGGACTGCAGCTGAGAAATGCCTTTCCAACCTGCTTGCTGTTGGCTATCGACGCTTCAACATCGATCTGTACTGGTCTACGGAACTTCGGCAATGGATCCTATGTCCCGTCTCAGTCCCTAGTGGTCTGCATGTTGTGACAGTGTCCCCAGACGTTACACCCACTGCCACTGCATCGGTTGCACAAGGAACCATAACAGCGGAGCCCGATGATTCATCGGACGAGCTGCTCTATGATCTTGGCTCGTATAAATGCTCGGATCGCCTGGATCTGCAGGACTTGTTAGCTATTTTTAAGGATTATCTCCAGTACACCGACACGGACTTGGTCGTTTACACGAGATACCTGTCCCTCAATCTCCATGCTGCCGCTGATCCCACTTCGGCTAATGAGCCGCCGTCGCTCGTGACCAGCGGACAGCTTCCGGCTGTAACGGAGCAGGTCAGCTATATATTGAATGACAGGCTCGGATCTTACATATATGGCCCGTCCGACTTGCTTGAGGATCGTCGTGACCTGAATACCTCTTGGTATGCGGTTGATGAATCATATAAGCCAATTACCGAGTACTTCACTGTTGAGGAAGACCCGAACGGCGTACAGAGCACTCCAGATGGGTGGCCTAGTGCGAAGTTTATACAGCTTGCAGCTGACCGACGGTTGCTCATTGAATATGGCTTGGTGGATCCGCAGCTCAGCGAATATGATCTCTTCGCAGAGAATGACGTTATATTTTCTCCCGGCTACTTGACTTCTACCATACCGGCTGCAGCCGCTGATGATGGAAGCCTGGATTCTGGTTGTCTGTACGATCCAGATAGCACGGATATCTCCAACGTGAACGCATCCTGGGCAATCTCCGATCACATTCCCGTTCCTCACAATTTCAGCGACGAGTCACTGCGATCCATATCAGACTTGGTAGTAAACCTCACGGCATGCGGGATGACATCGACCCTCAACAACACCCTCTTCAATGACACCGCCGATGAAAACCCAGTCCCGTACCGGAACCTCACTCTATCCTCCTCATGGGCATGGGCTCTAGGTCAACCCGCTGCACCAACATCTGACCTCGACTCCGCCGAATCGGACGACACCCGCTGCGCCGTGATGGACCTGACCCTGAACGGACAATGGCGCACAGCCAACTGCAGCGAAACCCACCGCGCCGCCTGCCGCGTCGACAACCAGCCATTCCGCTGGGCTCTCTCGTCAGAATCATTTGCATACAAAGACGCGGACGACGAAGTCTGCCCGCCATCCACAGAATTCTCCGTCCCGCGCACAGGCCTCGAAAACACATACCTTTTCCGTCATCTACTGTCGTTATCAAATGATCTTATCGACCCGTCATCTTCGAACCCGCTGAAAAATGCGATCTGGGTCAATTTCAACTCAATCGATACCGAGACATGCTGGGTCACCGGTGGCCCTGACGCCACTTGCCCGTATACCGCGGACCCAGACCAGCTGGAGAGACGGACGGTTCTGGTTGCTGCAATTGCAGGTATAGTCATCTGCATTATTGCGGCGCTGACGCTATTCGTGAAGTGTAATGCCAATCGGCGGAACTCGAGGCGGAACAGGAGGGTCATTCAGGGGTGGGAATATGAAGGTGTACCTTCTTAGATTGTCATGTATTTCTATACGCTTTTGTCTCTCTATCAGAGTCTTCAACGATTTATTCATCCTTGAATTATCACTATATTCATAGGAACAGCTGTATCAATTCCAGTGGATCTACTCCGGATATGATCATATTAAAAGAGAAGATGGATCCTTGAGATATCATGGTATTCATTCCTAGCCTAGACTACTTAAAAGTCCTAAATACGCCAAACAGTAAATACAAGCAAGTGAGTAAAGCCCATCCCTATCCATAATGAATATCTCGTCCTACATTCGTCCAGTACATTATCCGTTTCCATTTCCATCATTTTCATGTCATTTGCAAATCATCGAGTATCTCCTCCTGTTAGCTTTCCTCAATCCAATAACACTCGTAAGTCAAGTAAAGCATCAGTCGATGTCCAGACCAGTGCAAATCACAGTCCAGCAAATCTCGCCCACCCAGCAGCTCGAGGCGTGGAGTTTGCGCTTGTGTTGGCGTTCCCGTTCCCGTTCCCGCTGCCGCCCTTGGAGTTAGGGCTATCGATACCGCCTCGGCCCTCCTCAGCCATTTTGCCACTAACGTCTCGTCTCCTTCCAACACCCAGACCGGCAATGTAGTTTCCATACGACAGATTTGACCCCTGACCGAGGCCGCGACCAAAGTCAGCTCCTGAGTTACTCACAACACGGCCCTTACGATCCTTCTCGGGCACGATGAGATCGCTAGGCATATCTTCGCCGTGCTGCTGGAGAGGACCGTAAGAGCTGAGCTTATCAGATTTGCGCTTGACAAGTTTGGTTCTCTTGTTGAGGGCCTTTGGATCGTCATCGATATCAATGGTGGTGTTGATGTCTGCTCCGTTGTAAAAGCGTTCTTTCTCGGGGCGCTCAAGAGGTGGTACCTTGTGCTTTGGCGGAGTCGGGGCTAGATTGGGGATATCACCGAGGACCATACGGCTAGGTGTCTTTTGGCTCTCGCTGGAATCCGGAATGGGCTGGGGTGTTGGTGGGTTCAGTCCGAGAGGGTTGACCCTGAGGGTATCTCCAAATTCTTCGTCACTGTCTCTGTGATCCTGGTAGATGTCAATGCGATGGTTCGCAATGTCATGTTCATCATTTTCATCGTGGTCGTATAATCCGTTCTTGCGCACATTGTGGTTATCATCATCAATTCCATAGTACTCATGCATAGCCAGAGATTCATATTCACCACGAAGGTCTTCTGATATTGTCTCGCTAATGTCCCATCCGTACTTCTGTGCGAGGCCCATCCAGTCGATGACACCGTTCAGGGATCCAGGGGTTTCAGCTCTACTGTAGACAGACGATGGCTCACGTGGTGCGACACCGCCGGTATTATTATCTTCAGCCGCGGAAACGGAGCGTGATCCGAAAACAACCCAGTTGTCCGAGCCGGAGTTCTCAGAAGCAGGACTGACGCATTGAGAACGGGTTGGCACTTCCGGGGAGGCTTGGCGCATTGGAGTACCAGACGGGATGATCGAGGTCGGGCGAGGCTCGAAGTCTGTGTCATGCACCGGTATTTCGTACGGTTCTTCCAGGGTATTCGCGCGGTACCGGAATGGCATTTCTGGAACAGAAGTCTGCGAGTTTCCTCTTTGCTTGGCCATGTCCACAGGCGGCCGTAGCGAGTTATTCTCCGAAGACTTAGTCCTCGTGTGCGTGAATGGAATAGTGCGAGGAACGCCAATCAAAGGCTGCGCAACCGAGTTTGTTGAGTCTAGCGTAGAGATGCTGGCATGCTTCTCTGCAATCTCGGACTTGGTTCTCTTGTGAGAACGAGACGTCAGATTATCCTCCAGTGGGTTCAGATCCGGGGGCAGCCGGGCGATCTGGCGGAAGATGCTGAATAAGAAGACAGAGATTCCAAGAGAGATCAAATGGAGCCCTCCATTGACCACGCTCAAATAGAAAGTCGCCTTCGCAATGATCATGATAACATCGGTCTCTGTGCTCAAGAGAGTCTGCCAATTGTAGGTACTACCGGTATATTCTTTATATCCCAAGTAGGCAGCGAAAACATAGAAAGGCACCAGTCCTAGGTCCAACGTCGCGGCGAAAAGCATATAGCTCGCTTGTGAACCAGGAGGTCTAGTGACCGGGGAACGGCATAAGTGATAGATGGAATAGAGAGTGTGAAGGATCGCTATTGCAGGCTTGGTCGTGTTAGTAGAGTGACGAGGAAAAATTGACAAAGGTGCTTTTGAATAACCCACCCCAACTCGGATAATCCATATAATTGAAGTCGCGACGTTCTTGATGACAATAGCGCAAAACAGTGATCCGAGGGCTCCGATTAAAGCTAAGACTCGCAAGCCCAATTGTATTCTGCGCCCATAAAAGACCTTGGGCTTCGTCCTCGGACTCATCGGAGTCCAACGCGATCTGCCATCGGGAAGGTTAGAATACTAAGAAAGTGTTAGTCATGCTATCCTTGTCCGTTCATGGCCAATATAAGACTTGAACATAATTAGTATATGACATACCGAGTCTGGATGCCGATTCAGGCTAACCAACGGCCCCTTCTGCTTCTTCTTTGGCCGAGGACGAGTCCAGCTCGCCTGCGTCACAGCCTTCGGGTTGAAGGGGCGATCCGTAGGTCCTTTGAAGCTAAAGGCATCAGGAGGTCCGTAAAGGAATGGAGGCGAAGAGTTCCCCATAGTTGCGATGCGACAGTTAGTATTCAGCAATGGCAGCCTTCACCCACGCGGGGCGGGGAAGGAAAGGAATGCGCCCTGAAAGAATGGAATGGTAAAGGAATCTAGGCCCTGTTTGAAAAGAAGATGCGATGTCGAGAGAACGAGCGTACTGCGTCCACGTTCCAAAATCACTGACAGCTCCTGCATGTACACGAGATCTCTCAAAGCGACCGTGGTTCAGGTGGAGAGAGAATGGGGACAACCAGAGAATAGTCGCTGATGAGGCTGAACAGTCCGGACACCTGCAGAGCGTCAACACTGGCTGCGTTGTCCCGGCAACAGTAGATAAGCTATCGATAAGAGCACACGTGACACGCGTCATTTGAGTCACGGACCACCGCCGACTTGAGATCTCGACATTTTATACTCGACAAGATGAGTCTTCGCACTCCATATGTATGTGCGCGATGCACTGTTCGCGCATCTCGGTCCCTACGCCCTGTGATTCTCTCTCACTTTCGGTCGCAACGCCGTAATGTCAGCCAAACAGTACAAACCGACAGACCCTTCCGAGTAGCCATTGTAGGCTCAGGCCCGGCTGGCTTTTACGCCGCATATCGCCTACTGGGAAAGGTTGAAAATGCGGTAGTAGACATGTATGAGAAACTGCCTGTTCCATTTGGACTGGCGAGGTATGGCGTAGCTCCGGACCACCCGGAAGTAAAGGTTTGTGTTCATTTACTTGGCTATTTGAAAGTGAGCTGACGGGGGACAGAACTGTGAAGACAAGTTTACGGAAGTTGCGGCATCTCCGCGCTTTAACTTCATTGGGAATGTCGAACTGGGCGGAACTCTGCCTCTTCGACTACTGAAGCCTCACTACGACGCCATTTTATTCGCCTACGGCGCTCCCAAGGACAAGAGGCTAGGGATACAAGGAGAGGACGCACTACGCAGTGTATACTCTGCGCGAGAGTTTGTGGGATGGTATAACGGACTTCCGGAGCATCGAGATCTTAACCCGGACCTCACTGCGGGAGAGGATGCTGTGATTATCGGCCAAGGCAATGTTGCGTTGGATGTGGCAAGGATCTTACTGTCGGATGTGGATCGACTGCGGCAAACCGACATTGCTGATTATGCCCTGGAGGCATTGTCCAGCAGTAAGATCAATAGAGTCCGGGTGGTAGGCCGCAGAGGCCCGCTGCAGGTACGTCAACCTCTCGCAACTACTATGACACATTTTTAACTTTGATAGGCATCTTTTACCATAAAAGAAGTTCGCGAACTACTGCAACTTCCCTCTGTATCCTTTGATCCCATTCCTCGTGACCTCCTTCCACCGGACGATGTCGTTTCAGCTCTCCCCAGAGCTCAGAAACGACTAATTCAACTCCTCGCCAAGGGATCAAACAATGACCCTAGCACAGCTACCAAGTCGTGGTCACTTGACTTCCTCCTCTCACCTGAATGTCTTAACTGGTCCCCCGTTTTCCCGCATCGGTTGTCTCATGTACGCTTCGCTCGCAACGAGCTCGACCCTGCAGATCCGTTCTCCGCAAGCGCCAAGGTCACTCCCAAATACCTTTCAAGTGGCAAGCCGGCAAAAGTCAACATTCCTGCGAACACCTTCTTCCGCAGCGTCGGTTACAAAGGCCTTCCCTTGCCTGGACTCGAGGACCTAGGAGTGCCGTTCGACGAGAGCCGCGGAGTGATTCCAAACGACGGCTTTGGCAGAGTCACTGTTCCTCCATCGTCAGAGGCCGGGAGCCGCGATATACTCCCAGATGGCTCTCTGATCTCTCACCTGCCGGGACTATACTGTGCTGGCTGGGTCAAACGCGGACCTACGGGTGTAATTGCAACGACGATGACAGACGCATTCAGCACAGCTGATGCTATCGCAGCGGATGTGGCTCAGAGTGGTGGCGCGCTGCTCAACCCATCCAATGAAAGGACAGGCCTTGGATGGGATGGCGTCCGGGCTGAGGCGGAGCGGCTCGGCGTCAGAGCAACAAGCTGGGAGGACTGGGAACGGATAGATCGTGCCGAGCGCGAGCGGGGATCGCAAAGAAACAAGCCTCGGGAGAAATTCGGACGAGTTGAGCAGATGCTGGGTGTCCTCTAGGCTTGATTTGCGCCGCTTGATAGTCACTACTGTACAATACTGTTTACTCCAATACGTAGATTAGACTCTAGACTGTTGTTACACCGGGAAGACACATGGGAATGGTGCAGATCAGTTCGGTCAGAGCCGCTTGTGGCCGTAGATACCCAATCTATCTTCCTGTCAGCCAGATTTGGTAATGAGGTTACTCTGTTGGAGCTGGACATTTTGTGCACCACAGAGTTCTGTGTCAGCGCGATTACATTCTGCAGAGTACCCCCCTGTATAAGCTGAGAGGGTGGATAACAATAAGTACGCGAAAGGTCATACGGCCGCCATGTCACTGGTAGCACCGAAAGCTGTCATCCGAATGTCGGAGTATACTGGGAAGAGTGAACTCGAATGAAGCAGGCATTGGTCTCTGGGAGTTCCGGGTTGTGCCGGTCTAGTTCTTGATTAAACAAGATTATTTGGCTCCAATAGCAGAAGCAAAGCTAAGCTTACAGCTAAGCAGATCCCGATTAGGGCTGAGCAGCTTGCGAGCTTGACGCACTGCGCCACCTGCGATGAGCATGACCAGTACCAAGTGCTAAATGCTACCCAGGCGACACATGCTGCCCTATTTTGAATCTCGCGGTGACCTGGCAAGACGGCGAAGACTCGTGTCTTACTATCTACCACACCGAGAACCCAGAGTACAAAGTGGACTGGCCGTTTGTTTACAGTCCGAGGCGCTGCAGGCTGGGATTTATAGTTACGCCTGGACCAATCAGATGCGAGATATAAATAGCCGGCTAGTCAGCCCTACAGAGTGTGCCTGGACGGTGAAGTATGTCAGTATCAACCTGGAATATTGCACTTGACACTTTTCAAACAATTGTTATTGAGTATCCTGTTCGCACCAGGTCTCACACTCACCGTCTGATGAGTTACGACGAGTAGCACTTGTCTGACCCTCTGCAAGCTTGGACGCCTTAACCTCCAAAGTCCAAACAGGGATTCCCCACGCCGATCTGCAGCCGTCTTGAACTAGCGAAGCATGTCTCACTGGCATCCAACACTGCCTCCGCTGCGATTGTCACCCGATGTGCCGATCATCCATCAATCCAGCAACAATGTCTCACTCGGCACGCATCGCCGCGGTCCGCCATTGCTGGGGTTTTACAGGCTGTTCTATTCTTCGACGTTGCACTGTCAGGCTGCAGCTGCCAGCCACGCCGGCGTGGGACCGAGCTGTTTGACGGTCACGGCTGGATAGACTCCGAGGGGACAGACGGAGACCGAGTACAACCTCAGGAAAAGACATAAATACCCGGTGCTGTTCGTACCACTGCGTCTTTCTCATCACCAATTCACCATCAATCCTCAACCACCAGCCTTCTACACAAACCGCAATCAAACCATCACCTCCCAAGCAACTCACCCTCATCCACTTCTACAAACACCAACACCAACACCATCCACTACTACAAACGCCAAAATGAAGCTCACCACCGCCATCCTCTCCCTCCTCCCCGCTCTCGCCCTCGCGGCCCCCTCAGAGCCTCTCGTCGCCCGCCAGTCCTCCGGCACATCCACCCTCTCCTACGACACCAAGTACGACGTGGCAACAAGCTCCCTGACCACCGTCGCCTGCTCCGACGGCGACTTCGGCCTCATGACCGACGGGTTCTCGACCTTCGGGTCCCTGCCAACCTTCGCCCGCATCGGCGGCGCACCCACCATCGCCGGCTGGAACAGCCCCAGCTGCGGCTCGTGCTACCAGCTCACGTACACCTCGGCCACGGGCGCCACGAACTCGATCATCGTTACGGCCATTGACACGGCGCCTGGTGGATTCAACGTTGGACAGACGGCGATGAATCAGCTTACGAACAACCGCGCCGTGGAGCTGGGTCGTGTTGATATCACCTGGACGCTGCTTGAACGGGAGCAGTGTGGTCTGCCTGCTAGGGGTTAGATGGCTCATTCTTGTTTGGGTTTACTTCTGAATGATGCATTGGCATTTGCTGGATGTTTTGGGTTTACTTGTCCATGACTTGATGCGATGTACTTAGTCACGCTCCTTATGACCTTACGCTAATAATAGACCTGCTTACCTTGGACTTCCTGATCTTAATGCATCTGAACAACAATACTACAATGATAGCAGCAGTAACATGAGTCAGATGACTCCCAGTTACACCGAACGCGTGCAGTCCCTTTCCGAATTCTTCCTGCAACGGCCATGTGGTCCGATCTAACTAGCAGCAAGGGGCGCGCCATCCATCCACGGCATATACCGGTATGCTGTACTATGATATAAGTGCAACCATCAAGCCCTGGTCAGGAACTTGCACATCCTAATACAAGAGGTCTGAGCTCTACTGGAAGAGAGGACAACAAGCCATTTACATCAACAAGTCTGACATGAGATCATTCTCGTCTCGATTACTAGTCATTTCGCATCATTATAATACATTAAACTGACCCACCGGGGATCCTTAAACCGACCCAGTCGAGAGCACATACCCACCATCAACAACGATAGTCTGCCCATTGAGGTACTGGTTTGTCGCCGTAAAAAGCACCGTGGCCGCCATATCCTCGTCCTTCCCGGGTCGCCCAGCAGGGACCTTCCCCTCGAACTTCTCCTTGGGCAGCGTACTCTTCTGCTTGTCGTCGCTCTCGCTGGCCGTCATCTCAGACGGGAAGACACCCGGTGCGATGTTGTTGATGCGGATCTTAAGCCCCGAGCTGGCGATCTCGTGCGCAAGCATCTTGGTCAGGTGGATGGTAGCCGCCTTGGACGCGTTATACTGGAAGTGGTGCTGGGAGGCCTTGACGATGCCGGAGATGGAGGAGATGTTGATGACGGTGGAGGACCAGGCGCGCTCGGCGTCCGTGCCCTTTTGCAGGAGCGGGAGGAAGGCGGTCGTCGTGAAGAAGCAGTGCACCACGTTGGTGCGGTAGGTCTTGTCCCACTCTTCCATGGAGGAGCTGGGGTCGTCGAAGAGCGCCTTCTGCAGGTCCTTGGGGGTTTTCTGGTCTGTGTCTTGTGTTGCGCTGGAGACGCCGGCGTTGTTGATCAGGATGTTCAGCACCTTCTCCTTGCTCTCGAGCTCCTTGACGAGCTTGCGGATGGAGTCCTTGTCCGTGACGTCCGCGGTTAGCGGGATGATCTGGCCCTCGATGTTCTTGTTGTAGAGCTCGGCGACACGGTCGAGTTTCTCGGACGTCCGGCCGGTGATGTAGACCTTGGCGCCGTTCTTCGCGAGGGCCTGCGTGGCCATGAGGCCGATTCCGGAGCCGCCGCCGGTCACGAGGGCGACCTTGCCCTTGACGCCGAAGAGGTTCTCCAGCTTGAAGTGGTCGTTGCTGGTCTGTGCGGACATTTTGGCTCTGGATGACACGGGGCGAATGGAGGTGTGGTACGGTGATGGCAGTGCGGTTGTTGGGAGTTTGGTTGTGAAAGCCGAGGTACACGGTTTTGTTCGGAAGAGGGAGCGAAGCATTCTATCGAGTTGAACATTGATCCACGGGACATGGGAGGGTTTTATAGAGAGTGGTCTGGATGGTCTCAGGGTGACGTCTACTGTGCTTGCAGTGTCATCATACAGAATGGATATTTGTTAGGGCTTGCCGTCATCGACATGTCATCCATTGCCTGACCACGAACCTTGCTGTCTTGTTGACTCCTGAGATTCTACAGCCTTTCTAGAACAGCTGGAACTCATACCTTGAATTATGAGTACAGTAAGTCAGTTACTCCCAATATAGCGAGTGAGTATGACGTCATCTTCACCTCTATTCAGCACAAACCATTAAGTAGTTGGCCGTTGATTTCGAGGCGGAGACCTCTACTAATACCATAACAAGCTAGACCAGGCACGTTAGTGAAGGATAAACGATCGCAACTGAGCCGAGTCGCCCTGGCGAACGAATAGGGCAAAGATAAATTGTTCATGGTATGTCAGTCATTATGTGGCTGGTTGTTGTCAATATGTGGCGCCTCAGCCACACATTAGAACCAAACCGCCCCTGTGGCCCAGTGGTAAGGCGCGTGACTTCTAATCTCGAGATCCGGGGTTCGATCCCCCGTAGGGGTTTTGCTTTCTTTTATATTTTTGCTTGCATTCTTAAACATCAGTCTGCCAGACATGCCTACCTCAAGAACATTGCGCGCGGAGTGAGCAAAGCGAACGTAACAAGCCACTAAGCAGGCGTCAAGTCGTTAGCGGAATTCTCATGGCCTTATCTAGATAGGGACCGGCCAACGGTTTCTAGCATGCTCCATGGCAAGCGGCCACAGCTCGCGCAGCGGCTTCGTGTCCCTGACACTCCGCAGCACGAGCGCGTACAGATCCGTCAGGACCAAGTTTCCTAGAACTCGGACCGTGCCGTTATAGTAAGGGGTCTCGATGGAATCACTTGTCGATGGTTCCCAGTCGGGCTCGACGGCTAAGACGTGGCCACGGAAGTCGCCCGGAAGGAAGCCCTGGTTTAGACACTCGGAGTGGAAGGAAGGATCCGTGTAGGAGGACAGGCTGAACTCATTGACTACAAGGAACAATCGGCGATCCCACAGCCAAGGTCCCTCGCGTGTTTCGTTTATGGTCTTGAAGTGCTGTCTTGCTGCTTCAAGGTTGTGGATTCCCTCGACATCGTCAACCCAATGGAACCTAATGCACCCCTTGAGATAATCCTCATATTGTTCTTCTTCGCTAATCCCTGATAATAGGTCGGCCTCTATCCTCGCACGGAAGTCCATCCATTGCTCGTTGGATAGGTTGTCGCGCCGTATACGGTATATCGCAAGTGGCATAATTTCTCGGCATCATCCATTAGAGTTGCGCGGTTAAAATGTTCGACCACTGAATGACTCAATAGCTCCTCGGGTAGTAGCCACGAAACTCTGTGTGAATTTGTTTGTTTATGTTCTGGAATCTTTCATACGGCGTGAGGCGCCAGGTAGCAGCGATGTCAGAAGCTGCAACTCCCTGTTTGCCCGATTTCGGCCGAGGTGGATCATCGGATATATGCCCGCAACGACATCATGCTCATGAAATTGGTAACCCATATAGCCATCCATTGACTTCCATATCTTCGAAACTGCAGCCCTTGTTGAAATATCCTCGAGCCGACTTAGGATGTTCGCGTAGAACCTTTTTTGCGGGACACTGGCGTCACCGTAACCAGGGGGGACGACTGAACGCAGCAACTCGTCGGCACGAGTAACCACCCATGTGTAAGCCAGTGTAGCCATCATAGAGAACCTCATACGGATGAATTGGTACCACAAGCCGGTCAAATCAAGCTCCGGTTCGTCTAGGCCTCGGGCCGAGCGGAGCGCATTCAGGGCGGACTCTGCCTCCTCCAGATCATTATAGATCCGATTATAAGCCATCCGCTCCTTGCTGCGGACCGGCAGAAGATCCATATACTCACAGGCGGCTATAACGCTCCACGAATAGCTCTCCGCAATAATAAAGTTTATCGGATCATTGAGCCTCTTTTTCCTCCCACCGTCGGCGGGACAAAGGGATATGGCCATCCCAAAGCCGGCTCATAAAGCTCTGAATGTTTCTCCCGACACGGCAAAGCTGGGTGGGGTCCCCAACGCCAGTTCTGGAAACCATAGAAATGTAAAAGGAGTCCTTCTCGTTGGTGTCATAAGGAACTGTCACCCACTCTGCTTTTGGCTGCTTCAGTAGCTGGACTTCCTCCCTAGTTAGAGTAGGGAGTCCATGCTCTGTATATTTAGGCAGTTTCCCACTGAGGCGCAGTCCACTCAATTACCAAAGGACCATCAAGGGCCTCATGGGCTGGAGCTGTCGGTGATATTACCGGATCAATCATAGCAACGGGATATGTACTGTACCAACGGCTGAATCCTGGGTAAGCCAGTGCAACTTGGTCTCTGTCCAACTGTGAATTCCCTTGCGGGCGGTGACATCAAAGAATGGCGTTGGCGTTGGATTTGTATGAGATTGGTTCGTGATGGATGCCACATTTTCACATGCTGAGCGACATCAAGACGGGCCAGTGTATTGCGGGCAAGCAGTGCACGCAACACGCGGAGAGTGCCATTGGCCTGCAGCACTTTTCTGGTGAGCGTCATGGCTGTCTGCCGCGCAATGGGGCTTTTTTGAAGCTCGAGAATTGACAGTCAGCGTTGTTTCTGTTTGGAACTAGCCAGAATAGTACTAGCTTCGTCGCTTATCAACAGTTCTATTATTTTACTGCTTGCAAGTCTATCCTATAATAAAATCCCTATCCCTATAGATGCCAAAAAAAAGCCAATGATAAATAAACACGTGCAGACGCATAACAGCGCGGGATATCTCAAGAGAATAAATGTTCCATGACAACATATCAAATGCGTGGGTTGGACACGGAGATGAACTGAGATTAGAAGTGGTATCATGCATGAAGAGAGACAAAGAAAAGAAAGAGAGAGTAAACGCTAAGCCGCTGCAGATATGCATGCTATGTAGAGTAGCCAAGTCGTGACGTAGACGAAACTCGGCGTGGGCGATACAGTCAAATGGTGCGCGGATCCGTGTATATATCAGGAAAATCGAAGCCATGGGATCGCTATATCTTATTGGCATGGCCCATGTGTCGGGACACCCGGCTTCGAACGGTCCTTGGAAGATGACTATGCGTGGAGGGTAGAGGAGTAATACTGTCTGGAGTCTGTTCAACATCTTCGACAGGGGGCAACGGAAGAGATTTCTCCGACCATGCGGTTTGCGGAGGGGAGTCGACGAAACCAGAAGGGATCTTTGGTAGAGGAATATTGGGAGGGGGCGCGGCTGGAGGACCAACAGTGAGCCCGGTCAGACTCTTTCGCCGTGACGTGACTATAGACGATGGGCGACTTGATGTATCTGCTTTGCTGGACTGATCACAGTGGCCGGGCGAATTCACAACTTCAGCAAGGGGCATTGGAAGTGAGGGGCTTGGCATCACTGGCTTGACACTCAGCCGACGGGGTGAAGTCGATGGACAATTGGAAGGCAGCATTGCAATATGCTCTGGCAGATGCGAGTAACGGACACGGCTGCGGTCGCGTTCCCGAGACGTGTTCACAAGCGCATCCTCAGAATTTGATGCACGAAGTGGCTTTTTGGCCTGATCCCGCCGGTCTGCTGGTCGGCGTTGTTCGGGCGAAGCCATTGAGACCGAAAACCCTTCCCGGCTGGGGGATTGCGGCGGAGACGAAAACATGGAAATAGTATCAATGGAGATATCATCACGATTGTCACGAGAAGCCTGGTGAGTATCTTGCCGAGCCGCAAATCTCCTACTAAAAAGTGGTACGCTAAAGTTGGGTGCTGGGGGCGAAGCACTCCGAAAATGTGCATCAGGGACTGTTGACTGCGCTCGAGGTATTTCCGCGGCTTTCGGGTTGGACGCCGGGGGTAGGAACATCGACTGTCGCTTCTTGGGAGTCGTGGAGGTTGGACTGGTCGGCGCAGTTACGGCCGATGCAGATTCTGAAATCACGCTGCCATCTGGGAGAGGAGGAGATCCGACTGCGGCATAAAAGCGCGCGGGCTCATCATCAGTATGGGCTGTGGACACCGAACCTGCGCGCGATTCGGGGGGTTGGGATATGACAATCGACCGGCGATGGAGCGAAATATATGAACTCCGTCGAGACTGCTCCCCAGCACTAGATTCTTTATCCTCAAAGACCATTGACTGTCGCGGTTGGAGATAAACCGCCGAGAAACGGTTAGGGTCCCTTTTCACCATCTGTCGCATACTAGGCGTGGTCCGCAGCTGAGTCTCCATCCCTTCATCGTACACCTTTTCAGACACATACTTTTTGCCGCCGCGGGCCTCTATCTGGGCGCGAACGGCCAGTAACCAGGAGCTCATTTCCTCCGGGTCACTGAATACAAGAAGCAGATTCCGCGCCAATCGCCGAGCGTGGGACCTGTGAAACCCAAACCGCGACAAAAGAGGTCTAGCTGTTTCCGCGGAGTTTGCACCACTGTCTTCCTCGGTGCCCTGGGATACTTGCAGCACCCAATGCTTGCCTGGAATCGCATCGCTGGCAAACGCCACGGACTTTGGCCCGAGGAGAAGCATTTTCTCTGGTAATCGGTCATGCTTGCCATCACCAGGGTACTGTAGGATATACCCAGACGTCGCTATAACATAGATTCTTTGAGTCCATTCGCCGTTCTCGACGTTTTCTGACAGAGCACGCAGGTACTTTTGCTTTTCCTTGTCGAGCTTCTTCTTCCTGGCTGTAGGTTCCTCTACGGGTTCTTCATTTGCCGGTTGACTTGCTTGTTGATCATTGTCCCGCAGATTTGCTTCCCTTGCCTTAAAAGTAGCATGAAGGCGCATAATGGAATCGCTAGACAGAATCGGAGATGCAAGAGTCGCATGTTTCAAACCTTGCGGATAGGCTTTGAAGAGTGGAGGTGGCTTCCATGCTACATCCTCGACAGGTGTATTATCTTCCTCAACAGTCTTTGATCTCTGTTTGGACTGCAGCTTGGATCGCGGCGGTGTTGCCGATGAGGAAGTCGTGGCTGCGGCGGGAACAGCTGAAACTGGAACAGCTCGAGGCGTGTCGCAATCATCCGGCGTAGGCGATAAAGGCGCCTCTTCGTCGGTCGACGCCTGGCTCACTGGGTCCTGGACTTCCTCGATGCCCGAAAGTCTAGCATCCGACTTTCGACCGTGCTTTTCGCGGCTGAAAATATGACGGAGGCTGGACCGGGAAGACTGTCGTTTAACATGCGCTGACTGCAGAGGAACTCGTTCTGTCTTGCCATTTTCATAATCTGACGGTCGTGGACGTTGCTTGAGGGGAGATGCGACATTGACAATCTGAGAGTTGGGGCGACTGAAGTTGGTCTGTAAGTGTAGGGGTGCTAGTTGATGGCCTCTCCGTTCGCTAACAGATGGCTGAGGTGGCTTGGTATTGAGGGACATCGCTCTGGCGTTTCGCTTCTCTCTCACTTGACTGGCGACAGAGAATTATTTTGGAAACCTAAACAGGATTGAGAGGGGGATATATCGATTCTGATCCCGCACAACATACGACGTCAGCTGTGCAATGTATGGCCGTGAAACAATAAAAGGAGTGGCTGAGATGATCTGTAACGAGGGCGGCAGAAGTCTGGATGATTCATTTGAGTAACAACATTCAAGGAGTGATCATAGATTTCGTGATGGTGACGGGAACGGCGCAGAGAGCGAGGCGTCGGACAATTCTGGATGTTGAAATATGTATGAACAAGAGGTATATTTAGGGAGCGACTGTAATTAGAAATAGTGAGGCCGGCCGAAAGCTGCTTGTCTCATGCGCGCGGGATCGGAAGCTTTCTGGAAAGGAACGTGCACGAAAATTGTCGGCTCTCGAGTCGACACGGGCTGAGAACTGAGTCGAGGTCTGGTTCGATTAAACCTCCGTCTTCAACAAGCCCATTGTAATCATTGTTTCAGATGCCGAACGCCGGAAAGAATATGAAGAAAGTCGAAGGATCGTGTGTGAAAGAGAAAGAGAGGGAAGATGGATGAGAGGCTGAGAGCGAGGAGCAGGCCAGAGCGCGACAAGGAAAATTGCCCGCCTTGGAGAAGGGCCGGAATAAGATGACTGGCCTGTCCTTTGTGGTGAAATTAACTAAGTGCCCAATCCTATCCACTGCTGGGAGTTGGCTAAGGAGGAAACTAAATTACTTAGGGTTGTTTGTGATCAAGTCTGAAACTGTTCGGACGAATCCCCTGGGAACCGTGGGACGGAGGCCGCAGTTGAGATCTATGATCCATGGGCCATCAATCGGATGCAAAAAGAGTGCATCTCGATTTGGTGTTTTAGATGAGACCATGGGGATGGAGACTCGAGCATGGCGAGAGCCCACTGAACTGAAGCTTCATGGTTGTTTAACTTGTTTTCGAGGCCGAGAAACCCCCTGAATCAGCTTTGTCCGTCTCCACTCCGAATAACGGTTGTTGGCTTAGAAAACTCGAGAGGAGTTTAGCATGGGAGTCTTTCATCCCAGCCAATGAGATTGCAGTATTTAAAAGAGAAATGCTGGAGCTCGAGGCCTGGCTTCTTCCAGACTCTTGGATCCGCTCGCCTGTGAAAGGGGGATCAGCATCAGCCACAATTCATCACGTCACTGCTGCCGCTCACCTCAAGACGCATTGCTACCAAGGAATTTCGCCTGTCATGTCGGCTTCTCGGAAAGACTGCAAGTGCGAGATGCAGACGAATTGGAGCACGGAGGCTGCGATCGTCAGCCACGCGAAACATGGTGAGGCTCATTAGTATCGGGTTCCGCAGTCTCCTCCCCGGACTGGCTCGCGATTTGCATACAAAGAGAACCTTAAAAAAAACTATGGAGTAGCTTGATTTTCATTGTGTAGTGGGATAATGGATCCCGTGCCTACGTCGCCGGTCCACACTTCTGGCCTTGCCCTTCCTGCACTGCACCCATCAGTGTTGCTGCCTGCTCGCAGAACTGTGCCATCGAAGTGTCCTTGTCGGTAAGGCCGCGAGGATGATGAGTAGTCCAATGAACATCCACTGATCCGAATCTCTTGAGCTCGCCGTCAGCATGCGAAGAACGCCAATCGTCCGGATTACGCGACTTACAATCGTTATTGTTGCATGGTGCTTCTTGGTAGCGCTCTGTGATGCAATTGTGTTCAAGAAGCTCTGCCGCCCATCGGAATAACATTCCCATGTCAGCCTCAAGCTCCGAAGTGGAGGATGAAACGAACGTACCACGGCCTTGAAATATGATCGAAAATAGAACGTTTTTTGGATGCCAATCTTGCCGTCATCCAACCTCCACCCTTGCTCCTGCAATTCGTTCACCATGGGACGCAGCTGTTCTGGGTCAACACCCTCGGCGAACTGGAGCTCTGTGCTCATAGTAGAAGCTCTGCGAATGAAGCTGACCCCGTTGCTCGGATGAACTTGACGGAAAGCGATAGAGGGAACTCGCAGACTTGGTGACTGATGGAAAATCGGTAACTGACGAGCTGAGTAATTGCGAGTGCAGGCCGGGAGGAGTCTTAATATCGACTTATGTAGGCGCTGATAGCCTTTGATTGTGGGTTCCATGACAAGGTGCACTGGCTGGTTGAAGCAAAGCGTCTTCCCATGATGCCGCATTCTCAGATGAGATCCCAGCTTGGTCACATGACCTCTTCACTGAATGTCCTACATGGCTGGGGGCTACTCCGTAACGAGGTGAAGAACATGTGCCAAAGACGACATTCGATTACAAGAAACATGGAACCACTATGCGATTTTTCAATTCGCTATGAGCCACAATACGTACAATTAAGATTAAAGCTTGGTATCTAAGGGAAACACAAGATGAGTCAAAAGCCAAAGGTGCAAAGCTGAAATACAGGTCAAGAGAACTGATGGCGATGCGCCAGTGGAATACCAAGCAAGTCTTGTACGCAATTATAGAGGCATCACGGAACCATGCGGTCCACAGTATGGTATGCTGGAAGCAAGGACCGCGTTGACGAACATTAGACGGAATAAGAGAAATAAGGAGCTAAAGCATCCCTTCGATGTTGAGGTGAGAGTAGAAAAGAAAAAGAAAAAGAAACGCCAGGAAGTGTTGACATTGGAAGGAGACGAGACGGATCTTTCCAGAGGCAGCAAGTTTCAAATGATGACGCCGAGCCGGCGTATCTGGAGTTGGTATTTTTGCATCCATTCGATTTTCGTTCATCATAATCGTCATGCTTGTTGGCTGTTTACAAGTCATTATACCTCCGAGAAGCTTTGCCGCGCAGAAGCAGTGCGCGAGGTCGGACGAGACGCCGCAAAGCTGTTCTGTCGGCTTCCCAGGGTTTGGCGGATGCGCAAGTTCTGTTGCGATCGAGCAAAGGAGTTTGCTCGCGAGCCCGTTGGGACGCGCGAGAGCCTGCCGGTGTGGATTGCGCCATGGCTTTGCAGTTCGGCCTTTGCATCGGACAACTGCTGGGCGAAAGGTGATCGCTTACGGAGCGTCGGACCGTACCAGTAGATAGCATATACTGCAATCACCAAGAGGAACGAAATGCAGACTAACACATGTTAGCGATTCGCTGCGTTGGTCTGATGCGGACTGTACTTACAAAGAATGGTAGATGCATATTCCAGATGGTGCTCGCCGCCGATATCTGCAAGATGGGTTAGCATTGCGGGAGTACATGCGATCAGAAGCACACTTACTCTGGAAGAAGGGTGTCGCGGGAATTGTCAAAATACCAGCAAGGAAATCGCGTGCCCAGCCGTTTCCACCAGTGGCGGAAGCTGAGTACGGCCCATAGGCACAGATCATGTAGTCGATGGTTGCCATGTAAATGCTGTAGTTGGCGATGCCGACAATGGCGGAGAAAACCATTGTACCTATCCAGTGAACAGGAGGTCCCAAGCTGGTCCAAGCGAACCCAATCAAGCCAATTGGAAGGCAAGGAGCAGTCCAGAGCAGCCACCAAAGACGCGATTCGTACTGAGCCTGTTCGTCGTCAGGCTTCTCGCGCCTCTCACGAATGTTTCTCTTGATAGCTGGCACAAAGGAGAACCACGCAATGAAGTAGCCCACGAGAATAGGAATGAATGACAAGCCAAGTTCAACAGTGCCAAAGCCCCATTGCTCGTAAACCAGGCCAAAGGATTGGATGAACATGAAGATCAGTGCGTCACTGAAGCCACTCAGGAGCGAAAGTGTCAAGACAATGGGCTCGGTCAAGAACATCTTGAAGGGACGAATCCAAGTGACAAGGATCTCCCGCATCGAGAAGCGCTCGCTGTAAGGGACGAGCTCGTTGGGTCCGTAGATGTTGGGGTTCTCGCCACTCTTCCTCATCTTCTTGGCGATTCGATCCATCAAGATTGTGGTCCGCGTCTCAGGAACAAGAAGCAAGTGTGCAATTTGAACGAAGCCACCGAAGATGAGTTGAATCCAGATGCACCAACGCCAGGGCAAGTATTCTTCGACAAATCCGCCAACCACAGGACCAATGACTGAGCCAGCAACGGAGGAGAAAACAACACAAGCAACAGCATACTGCTGCTCATCCGCTTCCCAAAGATCGGCGATCATACCAAGTGTAACGGAACCACCAGCTGAACTAAGACCACCCAAAGCGCGGCCTACCATGATGGAGGCGAAGTTGGGTGCAAGGGCAACAGGAAGCTGCCAGATGTTGACAAGAAAGAGACTCGCCTGCAGGATTGGCTTGCGGCCAAGTTCCTCGCTCCACGGAGCCCAAAGCTCGCAGCCGAAGGCATACAGGACAAGGAATATCATTGCGCCACAACGCGCAGCCTGCATACTCACACCGAATTCCTCCGAGATGCCACCAAGGGCATTGGAGTAAAGACTGGTGTTGAAGTTCATGGATGTCTGGACAAGGAAGATCACAGAGATGACCATCCATTTCTTCCAGCTTGGCCATGCATAACCGAGTTGATCGTAGCAGTCGTCTTCGGTCAACTCAATTTTCTCGCCAGGCTTGTTCTCTAGCTGGTGCAAGGTAGTACCAGCCGTTGGGTCACGAGGAAGCTGGGATTTGCCGTTGAGGCCTCCACCAGCTTTCTCCTTCTCAGCCTCGAGAATCGCATCATCCTGAGACGAGGAGGATGCATCAGGCTGGCGCAGTCTCTGCGGATTTTCGATCTCCTTCTCGGGGAGTGGCGTGGCCATCTTGGTTGGGTCACCACTGTGGTTCAAGTTAGCGTTGCCCTAACGACTAGATAGAGAAGCCAGTTGGGAGGAAGAAGAGTAAGGAGGTATCATGAGTGACAGTAACTCAACACTGATCATGGAGGGAAACAGTGGAGTACCAACAGTGAGATACTTACAATGACACGCGCGATGAGGGTTGGGAAATGATCGGCGTCGACAAGAAGAGAATAGAGGAACAGGAAGGTGGAGTGTCGACAAAAGTGACGAAGAGATACTCCTCGGAAGGGATGATGGGAAGATGACGAGAAGAAGAATTAGGAAGAGAGAAAGCGGGGGAGTAGTAGATGTTAAAAGAGGAGGGAGTGGGAAGAGAAGGAAGAAGAGCTCCGGCCTGTCATCATTGTGAGCTTGGAGGCAAGAACTCCCAGAAGGGAAAGAACGGGCAACGGCCGTGGGCTGGACCCAGAAAGCGTCGATGCTACCTCTGACTTCGCTCAGTTACCACCCCGACTTCTCCAGTTCTGCTCGTTCTGCAGGTAGCTTTTGCGTTTAACTTCCAGTGAGCCAGTCGCTCGCCGATCTTTCTCGAGTCCTTAGCTACTTCCAAGGTAGAAACGCCCCATGAAGATCTGGTGCCTTGGCGGCTGATTCTTTGCTTTTGCTGTGTAGCCTACAGTACCTACAGTGCATGTCTACGGCGTACGGAGTACGAGGTGTAGATGCAGAGACTGCATCAGCGACTCCGCATTCGTCCAGACGAGACTACACCTGGCGAAATGCGGTGGCTGTTGGACGCTGTTCTGGGCCGGAACCTCCCTCGAGGCCGGATCAGGAAGGCCGGCAGGCGGGACTCGATTCCGGCATCGAACAAGTCACACCAGCAGACATGGACCAATCGCTTCTGGCAAAGCTCAGAGTGAATGCAATGTTCAGCATCGACATCTCACGATATGCAGCGTTGCTGTCAGGCTCTCAGTTTACCCCGTACAACTACACACTGTGGTCGGTCGTACGACGCAAGGGGCGTCGGTATGCCTAATGCTGGGGCGTGGTTCCCGAACAGCGGTCGGACCTTGGCTCCAGGGTCGAGAGTCAAAATGATATGATGATGATGGATCCATCGCTGTCTGTTTGGCTTGACGCATGTGGCGACTGACTCAAGTGGAGTGCCTGAAGTAATAGTCGCTCGGGCTTCCCCTGTCGTTCCATCTCGAAATCTTGCAAGGTTGAATTTGAGAGCCAGTCGCGGGGATGTTTTGCCGCGGATGACGTCAATGGCTCCTCTTCGCCCCAATCCTTCGTCTTTGCTTTCCTTGAACAAATCTTGACTGCTGTTGGCATGTTCATCATCGCCTGGGCATCGCAAGGATGGAGTGTAAGAGATTGAGTATTTTATTCTGTCATATCACTCGGTCCTGCGTGGTGTGACTGTGATCAGCAACACGGTTTGCCGACTGCAACCTCGGGGTTCCGTGGAGCAGAAAATTCTGAGGGGGTGTGGGGGCTTCTCCATGGGCATCCCAATCTCTCCAGTCTCCAGGATTCGTAGAATTTTCCCCATATCATCTCATCCAGGCGCGCACGCCGCAATGGCAACTCGCGAATCGCCGCCAGATCATTATGTGTGCTGTATGCAACCGTTGTATGGACTCTGTAGTCGATGTTTACTTCTACTTTCTTTGTTCCACACTTCCGAAGCCTCTACGGTAGGATTAAGCACACGCTAAGGCGTCGTAAGACCAGCCACCGAAGCCAAGATGAACGATGCCAAGCGCGGTACGTACTCCGGAGTCCGGACCGTACTCCTAGTAGAACTGTACTCCGTACGAAGTACAGAACACGGGATCGCTCCAGGTTTCCCAACCAAGATGTGCGATCGTCCGCAAGTCTCCAGATTATTTCACGTTGAATGCGACTTGGATTCCCCGACATTCCACAGATCCCCACTATGCCGGCAAAGACAGTAGGTCACGTGTGAGATTGACCCTGATTCTTCGGCTGTTCGGCTGTTTCCGGGCTCTGGCCACCAGCACTAGACCACATGCGGCTAGAATGACCGTGACCGTCTGAGCTTCTTGACCGCCTTCTGCTTGCGACAGCTCCCCTCATTCGCCTCGGGCTCGGCCTGGCCCATCAATATTACCATCAGCCAGACTCTAACAGAGTCAAGCAAGACAGCCAGGTGACAGCCTCCATCTCCGTTATCGTCAGCTTTAGTCTGCATCTGCACTTACTCTTGTTGTCTGCTTTTGGGTCACTGCGAGGTTTAGCTCGATCCGGGGCTCATCCCACTTAACCATGTCTCCGGACATCAATTCCCTCCCCCCATCTCGCTCGGCATCTGCTTCCCCACGCCAACGACGGAACCTAACTAGTTTACTGGACGCTATTGCGTCAACCGGCGCTTCCAACTCGTCGACCAACTCAAACAACAACCACTCCAACAGTAGCACCATGTCCTCCGAGCTGCCGCGCCGCCATCATCCAATCTCGGTGTCGGAGCGTCGCCGATCTGGAAACCTGAACATCAACAGCAGTAGCAACAATAGCTATAGCGAGCCGATCGGCGATAATTCGTCGGCGTCGCCTTCGGAGCCTGCCCGTGCAAGCTTGTTCAATTTTCCCAATAGTCCCATTATGGGCTTCGGTGATCCCCATCATCATCGCACTCCTTCACTTGGCGAGCTGCATCAGGAACTAGAGCAAGAGCAGGAAGCTCAGGTGGTAAGGCATACTTTTCTTTAGCGTCTTTGGTGTGATGTTGACCATGGTTCACCTCGTTTTCTAGAACCGACTTCTTTCGACGATCAGGAACCAAGAGCTCCGTATTCAGCATCTTGAGCAGCAACACCAGTCTGCGATCGACGATGCTACCCCTTCCAGCGAGCGCTCTGTCTCATTTCCACCCGGCGCTTCACTATCTACACTAGGCAGCCGAACGTCAACCCAGTTGCCCTCGTCTTTGTCTAGTCGCCGCCCGAGCCAAGGCCAGGCACACTCCCCCAGTCTCAGGCCAGCCGATTCAACCCGGGATATGGCCGCACCAGAGTGGGTCGCCGGCCCCGGCCTTAGCCCCGGTGAGAGCATAGGACGGCGGGGTAGCCTAAGCCGAGAGGACCAGAGTAGTAGCTTTTACCAGGCCGAGGCCGCGTCGCTTGCAAGAGAGAATCAGATGCTACGGCAGCGTATTCGGGATTTAGGTGCGTGATTTTCCGGCCTGTCTAACGACACTCGGACAGCGATCCGAACTCAAATGCCCAAAATGCCTCACCTCGCTAACATTTTCCTGTCATAGAACGTCAAGTGAGCGAACAAAGCACGAACATGACGGTTCCTTCTGCAACCCCCGGCGACCCTAGCGTTAGACAACCGGCAGCGGGTGCGGGATCTGAAAGTGAGTTGTCAGACAAGACGTGATTGGCTCAGCGCGTTTCTTGGAATGCAACCTCAAATATTATCTATATTTCGCCTACTCGACTCAGACCTTGAATGAACCGAACCATCCGAAGGTACTCGTGGAACGCTCCCGTCAACCTCGAAGAGGTGCGCATGGCGGCTTACTGAGTTACCCAGCACCAGACTCACCCGAAATAAGCAACGCAGTGTTGCACCTTCAAACGCCCGGTTAAGAGGGCAACTTAGAATGAACAACTGTCCGTTCAACTCCATTTGCCAGTTGTTTAGACATGGCCCGAAAGACTATGTTCTCACCGCGCAACGCAAGTAGTGCAGCGCTGTAATGAACTCATCTCAACATGTATCTATCTACCAATCAACATAGATATCCAATTCAGTCAAACACATGACATGAAAAGCCTAGCGACATATCCTTCTCTTCAATCGAAAGCTCGAGATCTTCCTTCCCCAATCAGCTCAGCGTAAGAATACATGTCCCAGAAACACGTGTACGGTGTACCAACCACGCGAGCCTACCCCTTGCGCCGCCCCCTAGATACATCGTATATGCATCTGTCTCAGACTCTAATTCTAAGATCCTCCAAGCAAGGGGCCCAACACGCTCGCAAACTGCAGTCCCAGCAGTCCGAGTCCCACTACTGTCCCAACCTAAATCTCACGCCCGCCGGGTCTGGCCTCTCGCGTGGCGTGCAGATCACCAACTCTACCTCTTAACATAGACCCCGAGAGCCAGCCAGAGGTTCCAAGGTAGACATCAGAAACATGTAGGGGATTCCTCTTCCGCTGATGGTTCGTCCACTGCGCAGTGGCTGAAACACTGGCCAGTGAAACGGCGGGAGAAAGATCTTACCTACTGGTAATCGCAGATGTGCATACAGCCCAGGCTGGCTCCTACACCCACCCTACAGTATCATCCGGCCCGCATATACGGAGTAATCGAGACCGGCCTGTTCTACAGCCACACTGTTCGATCATGGTCCTTGGCGTGGCTGGACAAATAGGTGGACGTTGCTTATATTGCGGTGTACATATATTTAGACTGAATAGACTGTCGATAGATGATTGTGTTGCTGATCATAATACGATCGCAGCTGTCTTCCCAGTTGCAGTACATGAAAGAAGGAGAAGCTCGCAAGGATTACTGCGATGCTCCATTCAATTGGACAAGGCCTGGACTCGGCGAGTGAAGGTAGGCGCGGAGGAGTAGACATGATTGTGCATGCTACTCGTCGTAACTTAGTAGAAGAGGCTACCAAACAAGAAAACAAAAACCGCATAGATATCAAGATCTATTTCCAAGATCGAATAAAGTACATCAAATAAACAGGCTAACTAGAGCAGATATCCCAACGAACATAAAACACAGTTCTAGGCATGCAATCGCACGGCCGTGACAAAACCGTCTAGGTCTTCTCTTATGAAATAATCAAGGAGAGAAAAGGGGGAAAACGAGCCGATCTACAGCTTCGCCTTCTCAGCCTCGGCAGCAAGATCGGGCATCAGCATGTCGCGGATGTCACCCGCAGCCTCGTTGAGGTAGTAGCTCATGCGCTCAGCGCCGATGCGCTTGCAGACGATGTTGAAGTTGAGGCTGCAATTATTATTAGCAATTAATTTATCTCCGGGGGCTATAGAATAGGAGGTCTCACCTGTTCTCATTAATCATATACGCAATTCCAAACCCGTCATCGATAACCTGACTCCATCCGTAGCCGTTGAAGAACTCTGAGCTCAGCTGTGAAGTAGATAGGTACCAGGACCCGCTGTAGGCAAAGGCCGGGTCCGAGTAGATGGAAGGCAGAGGCTCGCCCTCACGGAGGAGCTTCTTCAGACCGAAGAGGTGGCGGTCGACGCCCTTGCCATCGCTAGCTTCAGCAGTGTACTTGGAGTGCGCGGCGAGGGCAGTGCGGAAAAGACGGACGGCTTCCTCGCGCGGGACAGATGCATCTGTGATGGCCTTGCAGAAGGCGACGCTGTCGTCGGAGACAGTGCGGATGGTCTCTGTGCGACCCTCGGCGAACTTGCGGGTCGAGGCAGACTCGTAGGTTGGGCGGTTCTTGCCATACATCTTGAAGTAGGCCAGCTGGATGATCATCTGCACGTAGGCGTCGGGACTGCACTTAAACTTCTTAATCAGGCCCTTGCCATAGCCTTGGTAGGCTTGGACGCGCAGTTCGTGTGCGGCAATCTGCTGGCGGTGTTCCTTGGCCGCTGCGTCAATCGCTTCGAGGGTTTCTTCGTTCAGGTGGAAGTTGATGGGACGGGGGTCGGGCAGGTCAGAGCGAACGGACTTCGCAGAAAGATCGATCTTGTTGTTGAAGATGAGGGCGTTGAGGTGGTCGTTGAGACGGTGGGTCGGGCTACCGTCCATCATGCTGTGCTCACCCATAAAGCCGGCGGTACCGTTCTCGTTGACGATGAACTGCAAGGGCTTATCAAACCAACGGTTGTGGCCGTCACCGTGCCAGTATTGCTCCGCACGCTCCTCCAGGGTCACGGGGCTCGCATCATCGAGACAGACAAGGAACCCACTAGACTCAATCTCCCGCAGGGCATCGGCGTTGGCCGGGTGAGCCTCCAGGAGTTTTTTGCGGGCGGCAGTCCAGTGGTCACGGTTTGCAACAGTCAGGACACCAACGGGCGGGACCTTCTGCGCAATCTTGTAAATGCGCTCAAATTGCTGCTCCAGCTCCGATACGTTGAGCGGACGGCCGTTAATAACCAGAGGCACCTTGAAAAACTGGTTCTTGCGGACAACCACAATATGCTGGTTCTCCTTAGCAGCATACTTCTGAGGGTAATCCGCAGGGTCGGCGGGAATGCGGCAGCAGTTGAACATGTACTGGTACGAGCCCATAGCCTGAGGAATCTTGCGGAGGTACTCGGGCTCGATAGAGCCATCATCCACCTGACTCTTAAACTCAAGCGCCGCAGTAGTAATAGCAGCAGCGCGCTTAACGGGGTCCCGGCGGGCACGGTCATCGCGGTAGGAGTAAAAGTAAGAGACGTATGGAATCACGGGGTCCCGGTAGCCGAGGTAAGCAGCGTTGTTCCACCACTCGGTGAGCCAGTTCTTGGTGTTGGGGTCCGCAGCGCGAGCAAGAAGCCGTTCTTGCAGAGTCTGGCCTGCGCCTCCAGGGCGAATGAACTCTTCGACAGCCTTCTTGGTGTGTTCGTACTCGGCCTCGGATACAACGGCATGAACGGACTTTAGGTACCGACGACCTGTCTCTTCCAATGTTGGGACCGGTAGGCGGGGGAGCGAGTCTTCGAATCGGAGCATCGCTCCTTTGGAGTGATCTTCCTTGTAACCTAGTTGGAGTCAGAAAAAACCGCTTTGAACCCTATACACCCGCCGCAGAACGTCAAGTGTATTCTTGCATGTGATTCTTACCCTCAGGGACAGAAGAAGCCTTGCGCCGCGGTGCCATTGCTGAAGCCTAGTACTATTAGCAAGACTCCAGTTACTTTAGGTATCAAGAGGTAACCGTACCACTGAAGATCTAGCGAGGAGAGAATTTGTAGGAGATAGGCGGGGGCGAGCAAGAGTAGAAGAGAACCGGCTCCGGGCAGCCGCTGTAAACATCACTCTCGTTGTGGAGGGGTGACAGGAGAAAGGAAAGGATAGTGGATAGAGCGGTATGGAAGCGGTCGAGTAGTTTATGAAGAAGGATTGAGAAGAGACAGGGGCAAGAAAGACGAGAAAGCCAGTAGAAAAGTAGAGAAGAGGCAAGATGAGGCCAGCGACTCTGCAAGAGAACCGAACAATGAACCTCGGCTGAATGGGAGGTGGATTATTACCGTATCAGCCTGTCACATTCCTGGGAAGTGGAGCGCTTTTTGCGTGTAATTATTGTATCACAGATACACCGCGGGGAGCCGGAGGACACAAGCAGCCAGGTTCGGACTCTCAGCCTCGGTCCGATCCCATGACCATGTCACTCTTATAGAAGATCGTCGTTATAGCTTAAATAGAGTTATATGATGACTATTTCTCCCTAGGGCAAACATAAGAGCCGCTACATGGAACACCTGATGGCAGCTGCGAAGTGCAACACGGAAATTGTCACCACGAGGCAGAATGCGGGGAGAGCTCCAGCCTCCAGATTTCGAAGAGCCCCGGCCGAAATGGCTGAAAATGTTCTACAGCATTCCGTGGAACAGCATCACAAGTATACATTATTATAGAAGGATTATTATGATTCTGCTGTAAATTAAGCTTAGGTTCCATTCACCCGCTGCGTCCGTTGATCCGATCTGCATGCATCTGGACGAATCAAAGTGTGGCGTTGAACGTGGAGATGTAGGACTATGGAACTGTCAATGTCATGCCGATTACCAACTACAGGGTATAGTATTAATATCATCAGAAGAGATGGAGCGCATGTACTGAAACTGGTGTAAATGACAAACCGTCCAGGCAAATGAAGAATAAAACCCGACAATAGGCTTGCGCCACGCCTCGCTAGTACACAATCAAGAAAATCAAAAGCATTAAGGGAATCAATAATAGTAAGGTTGTCTCACGAGACAATTGGCATGGCGGATGTAGGCTGCTCTTGGCCCTCGATTGCCTTCGGTTTGCGCCGTGGAACCTGGATTCCACTGCGGAGTTGATCCAGCTTCACCACCCCGGGTCCTGTACAGATACGACCGGACTGGATGAGGTTGCGCAGGCGTTTCCTCCTGGCCTCGCCGCTGCGCTCTTCCGCCCGACCGACTCCTTCGTCCACCCACTCGACACGAAGAACCTTGAAGCTCATGCCATCGTGATTCTGCTCCCAGACACGAGACTTGAGACCGAATAGCACACTGCTTTCATAGCGTTCCAGCTTGGGGAGGATGAGCAAAGTAATGTGGAGGTCCTTGCCAGCCGGCGGTGGCGGAGGGATTTTGGGTCGTTCGCCTTCTTCGAGTCCCATGTCCTGGGCCGTCTTAGGGGCGTGCTGGAAAGCTTCCTTGATCTCCAGGTCGAGCATATCGGGATCCACGTCTTCGCCCCAAGCACCGCGAATGAAGCCCGAATGAATCGCCGCCGCAACTGGATCCGAATCGTCAGTATAGATACCAGTGCCCCAGACAGCGCGTCGAGCGCAGATTTCCTCGCGGTGACCGTTATCTATCCGGAAGCGAGGGACGCGAATCGTGAAAGTACAGTTCTCCTTGCCATCGAAACGGGGGAGAGGCAGGGGAGTGGTTGTGTATCCGAACTTGGCGCTCTCCAATGTCGCTTTCGCGGTCGGCGCTCCAATCCGCGGAGCATATAATGTTGAGCCGAGATGCTGGCGAGGAAGATGAGAGACGCTGGAAATCACAGGTTCGATTGTAACGACAGTTCGAGGTTCCCGCATTGGCATCAAAGCAGCAGTAGCTGCGGTTCGGGGCACATGGTGGTGGTGATGATGGTGATGGTGGTGGTGCGGATGCACGGCTTCTCCTCCGAGACCATCACTCGGTCGGTGAATCATGTTCATGCCAAGTGGTCTGTGAGAGCTGCCAAAGGAGGAATGTTCCTCTTCAGGTTTATGATGATGGTGGTGGTGACTGGAAGATATCAGTAACATATCAAAATTTGGAATACGATAACACATACTGATGGTGGTGGTGATGATGCGGAGCAGCGCGACTTCGTCGACCACCACGCGTAGATCCTCCTAGTCGTACATCTACCCCATTTTCGCCTTCCAGTCGATTCTCTTCCTCTGACCTTCTTGGGCGCTTCCCGGTTGCAGAGCCAGGTCGAGTAGTTTTATTCTCGTCCGCTGGTTCTGTATTAGAAGACCGAGCAGTGAGGCTATCACGCTTGAAAGGGCTTGCAGTCATCGGCGTTGAAGGTCCACTGCCCGTGGTAGTAGCTGTGACACCGCCAACACCACTCCCGATGCCTGCGAAAACCCGCCCTAGCTCGCTCTTGATGCCTGACTCGCCAGCAGGGCCAAGGATTTGAGCTTGAGCACCTTGCACGGCTTGGGGAAGTGGAGAAGCTCGGCCCTGTTTTACATTTAGACCAACCCCGAGAAGGTTACGATGGTGTAACAACTCATCGCTGCCCTTACGAGGTTGATCATCCGGGGAAGGGTGTGCAAACGTAGGAGATGGACCAGAAGAGGGCCCGCCGTAGATATGAGAACCGCTGTGTCGTTTGTTGAGGTACGCCGGCTGATCGCGTGGGGAGGATGTTCTGTGACCCTGCTGGGTCTGAACCGGGAGCGGCTGGCGAGCACCTCCCGGCTGCGAGCCTAGAGTCTTGGTGTAGTTCTGAATCGCGCCGAAGCCGAAGCTATACGAGTTTGGTTCCGATGCCGACAACCGCTTAGTTTCCGGCGAGGCTGGTTGCGAACGACCCATTTCCCACGCTGACGAAGTGCTTTGCTGCCGACCGGCTGTTGTGTCGCGATCCGCGTAGAGTGAACCATATCTTGAAGGCGCAGCGCCTACCTTACTTTCTGGCTGCGACATACCCCGCTCCTTATCTCGACGAGCCTGTTCCTCAGCCTGACGGTCGCCGTACAATCCTCCGAACCGGCCATGCTGAGGGTCATGGCCCATGTATGACGGGGGTCGCTGATGCGACGCTCCAAATGGGCTCTCAACAGGAGCGGCAGCATGCCGTGATAGCGGGCTATAGCCGGGTGGTCGTGGTGGAGGTTCGAGGTGCTGGGGCTGGCTGTTCGGTCGAGGCGGCCCACTGAAGCTCGGTCGACGCGACTCATTACCGTTGTACGTTGGTTCGGCTGGAGAGACCTGCGGTGATGGGTGCGCGGAGTTGGGCTTACTCGCGTACTGCGACGCAGACGATAGGCGAGACAGACCGCTATACTTGGGCTGTTCAGTACCTGTCGTCGGCGGGCCGCCTCCCGAGCTCGTTCGATATCCTCTGTTCGGCTGGTTGTTCCTCGCAAACGGTTTTTCAGGGGTTTGTGATCGTCGGAATAACGGGTAATCGTGCTGCGCTGGTCGTGCAGGAGCCGTAGGAGGGGACATGGCACCGGGGGCTGATGGCGGCGGGGGCGCGCTGCCGAACGGGCCGGAGGAGACAGGAAGACGCGAGAATATCGACGAGCCTACATCCCGCGGTGGTCGGTCAGCGTCCGAGCCTAGCATGGACGATATCGACATGCTGCTCCCTGGACGATGATGGGCCGCGGTGTTGGGAGGCTCACGCGACAAGAATGGTGTGGAAAGAGAGGCCGTATTTCCCGATGGGCCGCGCGACGGGTAATGTTGCGGTGGAGACGGAGGAGGCATCCGACGAGAACCTGACGAGGGAGCGGAGGGCTGATCTGGCTGGCCTGGTTGATGAACACAATCGCACGTTAGCAGATGGAACCATACAGCAACATTAGAATACAGCGCGTTTGGGTTGCGGAAAGCAGAAGGCTAGGCGTTGGGCTGCGTTGTCTCGGGTACTCCGCGCCGGCTAATTTCGCTCTCCTGGCACAGAGGAGCAGGAGAGAGAGCAGAAGCCTGACACTCACCAGGAAAGGCTGAACTACCGCTGCTACCCCAAGATCTCCGTCGGGAGTGGTCATGCGACGGGGGAGGGTTCATGTCGCATGGGTGATCACGGGTAGCAGAGAAGCGAATTCAACGGGGGAAGACAGCAAGGGGAGACGAAGCGACGCGAAGGAGGCGAGCAAGGAAGCAATAACAGAAAGACGCGAGTCGCGAGAGGTTTTGGTTGTTTGAAGAAGAATCAAGGCAGGCGATGAGACAAATCAGATGAGAGACAGGCGTCTGGGCCCTTCTTGGGGACAGAGGGAATGGAAATGGAATAGTGAATGTGATGATGATGAACAACCACCAGAACAAGCGCAACGGCAGATTCACTCTCCAGTGGGTTCAGCTGAGCCCCGTGACTGCTGCTCCCCGTGATTGGCCTCCGGGACGCGATGCCCTGGCACGCATCACTAGCCCCGATCAGGACTAGCGCTCCCGAGCGTGCCTCAGGCGGCAGTCGATCAGGAGCTGGCGGACCGGGGCTTGATTGGTTGGGGCAGGAGTGGGGCTCACGAGCAGATGCACCGGGGGAGATAACGTGACAGGAGATAGAGAAACAGCACAAAAGTACATAAACAGCTAGCGACAGACTCACCGGAGTACACAGTGTGACCCTCGCCATCGCCGCGGTAACGACGACCTAGATTAGGATCAACCTCCGGGCCTTCATCGCGATGAGGCCGCTTCCGTGAACCGTGGGTCGCCTGTGAGACGTGATACACAATGTCCCCTCTCCGATATGACGCATACCCATGATCAGCGGAATGTGGCGCGACAGCAGGGGTGCGCTCTGGCAGGGGGTAGTTGTAGGCGGCTGATGGTGCTGATCGTGGCAATTCGTATCGCGCCTGGTCGGCCTGATGGCCCTGGTCGGACGAGGGTCGCAGTGGTCTGTGCGAATACGAGGGCGATGAGACGGATGGAGCAGCAGCTGTGACGGCGACGACGACAGGGGGAGCCGGAGGAGCAGGAGGACGTGATGCAGTGAAGCGAGGGTCGTGGGTTGGTATTGATAGCGTATGCGGAGGATATGTCGAGGGCGCCGGATAGTACTTCTGGTAATTCATCATGATGATTGTGGTACTACCAGATGCAACAAACGCCAGCGGCTGGAGGAATAACGCGCAGTCGAGTTGTGAAGGAGAAACAGAACTGAAAGGTCAAGAAGAGAAGTTTGTTTGAGTTGAGTTGGGAAAGGAGAAGAGGGCGCAAATTACGGTGAGAAATAACCGAAGTCAAGCAAGGAAACAAAAGCCCTCCACGCGACACACTCGCAGCGACTATGCTACGAAGTAGCAGTCTAGATTTATTGGAGACATCACAACAGAGTGCCTGCGCACAGCCAATCAGACAGGGGATTTCTGCAGAGGCAGCGGGGAAAACGGTCGATCCGCCAGATTCTGCGGTGATGTCGATTTAAGGCATCGTTGGGCTCCGTCACTCGATCATCTCCACTCACAGTGTATGATATGCAGTCAACGTGGCAGGCCGGGACACTGAGCGCTGCATTACTCCGGAGGTATATTCCTCATCTGACGAAATATAATCCAAGCTGGGTATAAAGTATAATACAGGGTCTTATCAAGATCTACAGGCATCAGAAGAACCCCTTAATAGCCCTTGACAAGTCATCCAGCAATGACAATCGTCGACATCCTTTCCCCAAAACCACGACTGTGACCGGTCGCAGTACAAGACCCTGCTCTGCGCTCCGATAGGACAAATAACGCCTCTCGTTCAAGGCCTCTAACTGGGCAACAAGCGGCGGCCACGCTCTTCGCATCGGTTTTTGAATGTTCAATAACAATGTAAACGACTGCGTTGGGTTCTCGTCAAAGAGTCCGACCGGTACCAGATCATTTTGACCACCGTTTTTCCCAGTCAAGTTGACGAAAGCAGAATTCCGAGCATCCAGCTGAGACTGAAGTGATTGGAGATAAACGCTCTGCAGCGTGTGCTCATCATCGAGGCCTGGTCCCCAACTCCCCACAAATAACTCTTCATCCCTCTGTGATAGATCCACTTTGGCGCCAGTACACCCCGAAGCAAGGGTATACTCGACGGCGTCGCCCGTCACTCCATGCATCTGGGCCTGGACCGAAGCGTCATACACACAAATAGCCGCATGATCGATTCCAAGCCCGAGCGACCGGTCGACCGTATCTAGTGTCTGGATGAAACCCGGAAGATCCTGCCTATAGTCCGGTTCCAGAAAATAAGACACAATATGCGGCAGCTGGACCAAAAATTGGACAATCACACTAAAACATAGTCAGGACTAAGACACACGCCAAAAGTATAAAACCAAACCAGTTAGGCCGACTCACAAAAACATCAACACAAGACATAGCAGAGGTAGCCCGCGCTCCCTCCAGCGCCTTCGAACAAACGCAGAGCATTTGCGCGTGAATTCGGTGACCTCAGGATGGCAATTGGTATCGTCTGGATAAGAGCGCAGGGGATGGTCCTCGAGAAGCACCCAGGCGTAGGAGTCGTACTCCTTCGTCTCGAGAAACGGCTGGGCTTCCACGTCTGAGAATTGGGAGGCTGCCATACTTGACTAGCTCCGGGCGCGTAACTAAGTATGTATGTATAGATAGGGTAGCTACCTCTTCGTCCGACGCGAGTGGGGAGCAGGTGTAGCGGTGAAGCACTGAGAGCTTGAGCTCCTGCTTCAAGGCTGAATGCTCAAGCAGGGGTGGGAACACGACAGCTTGGATTCAGAGCTTGCACGGCTCGGTGCGACATGCGGCTGCGGATCAAAAGGCTGGGTGCTCGAGACATGGTCGAGAGACGGGGCCGGCTTGGGATTTGAGGGGAGGTGGTGAGGTGAGATGAGCCATAGCACGCCATTGTTGGTTTCGATGGTTCATCTGAACTAGAGGAATACAGACCCACCCAAGCAAGGGATTCACCCCCAGAATTGGGGTATATTGACACTTGAAGCTCACAACAAGCATCTCTGTGGGTATAACCTACTTACCTTAAGAGCTTACATGATCATAGCCTGTGAGTTATGTTTGATGAACAATGTGTTTTTCATTAAGAGGCAGGCAGAGCTTCAATCGGGCCAAGCTTCGCGTTGCAGATCAGAGGGGCTACTTTATCCGGCGCCTGCAGGAGCCTGCCTTATCCACAACCTAACAGACGGATACTAAAGGATATATACTATTACTGTCGGTATGGCGAGTAACAGTGGTAGATACTCCAGCTTCGTTGTGCAGCTTACAAGTGTGGTTGCTCACATATCCGTCTATTATGCCTAGCCCATTATTATGAATGCGAACCCGAAATATATATATACCTTGCGTATATGTACTGTCCTGTTTCAGTACAAATGCCAAATCCAATGTTACAATAATAAGCGCGCTACCTTAATCAAAGCAATCTTTCACTTCTTTCACGGCGTCCTCGCTCCCTCACCAATCCCCATCAGCCCACCTGCCAGTCCGGACATCCGGCGACGTAACAGATCCTCCTCGCTCGGCAAACTGGCCAAGCTGGAATCTCGTGGCCGTGTCGGACTCACAGGATCGGATGCCCATTCGGGGGTTATGTCAATCTTGTATGGTGCCAATGGTCGCCGTCTGCCCAGTCCCCTAGATCGTGTGGGTCGGCCTCGAAACCTACTCCCGCCAGGTTTCTTTTGATCATCCGGCTTAGTGCTGGTGGTAGGGCTGACGCGACTTGATGGTAGTTGCTCGGTTTCCGTCTCCGTCTCCGTCTCCGTCTCAACTACCGGACTTGGGACATGTTCGTGATTGTGGTCTGGGTTGCTGCCAATACGCACCGCAGGAGTTAGTGGGGTCATTTTGCCTATGCTCATTTCGAGCGGCTTGTCTTCGTCTGCGGAGGACTCGCCGGTCAGTGTGCGCTTGTGGTAACGGAGAAGAGCATGGTCGACATCGGTCTTTGAGATATGATTGTGGGAGAGTGTGTTATTGCTGAGACCAGAAGGTGACTTCTTGAGATCGGCCATCTCGACCAGCGTCTGAATCCAAGATGCACACCGGTTGATATGCTTCCAGCTGTCAGGGAAGAAGCTAGCCATCTGCATGAAGCCGTGAGAGATACCGGGGATCAGCGAGACCTCTACATGGTCTTTCTCATTGAATGTGCGGTGCGACTTCTCGAGGCCTAACTCCTGCCGCTCCTGGAATCGGCGCAACTTGGCCTGCCTTAGCCGTCCTGCAAAGACTACCGTGTCGTCGACCAATGGATCCCGCTCGCCTGTGAGGATGCATGTCTTGGGGAATTGCGCGAGAAGCGCTTCAGGGGCAAGAATCGGGGACAGTAAATAGTCTGTGTTGAAGTCTGGACGGTTGTAAGGTCCGACGTAAAGGATGACCATGGCTCTCATCATTTCTGGCGACAGAATCCTGTCGTTTACATATGAAATCATCGATGATACGGCGAGCCTGGTTTGGATTTTCTCTGGTGGATTATTGGCAAGATAAGCAGTCTGTTCATCCAGATCTTCCTCATTCCTTTCTAAAGCCAGCCCCGCGGTCTCTTCCACCAGAGTCCCTGTCTCTAGGTCTGGCTCAGAAAGGTAGGAATTCTGTCGAAGATCGTCGGACGAAGCGCCTGGAGAGGCAAACGGCGTCAATCTCTTGTAGTCCATGTCCTTTCTGTGCACGACGCTCCGATTTGTACTTTTTTCTTGAATCAGGGCCATTTGTTCTTCGGTCATCCAGCTCTCGATCTTCATATTCAGCGCCGGATAAGCAAGTACCAATCCATCTGGCCCTGGAAGAGAGCTTTTCCCTTGCCCAAGGGATGCTCCTCGATCACCAGATTGGAGCACCATTAGAGTAGTTCCAATAGCAAGATTGGCGCCAGCGCTGTCACCAGTAAGTATGATGCGAGGCGGCGCATCCCCACTTAGCCCTAAGCAACGACCACGCGTGGTGATTATCGAATGATAGACATCATAGCATTCATTTAACGCGTACGGATACGGGTACTCTGGCGCTTTCTTATAGTTCAGACTCAGAATCGGGAGCTTGGTCTTTCCAGCCCACGCAAGTAATCGATCTTCAGAGTGCCGCGGTGTCATGGAAACAAATCCGCCTCCAGGAATATCGAGGACGATGCAAGTTTGTTCCTTCAGTGCGCTCAGCGGACCATCAAAGTACAACCACGCACTTGTCGGCTCAGTGTAGATTGATTGCCGCGGCCGAGGTATGCGTATAGCACGGGGCAAGTATCTGGTAAGCCTTGGACGTACCAGACTCGCAAGTGCCCAGAGATAAGGTGTAGTTCCTTTATTCCATGATACCCGCAGATGCTCCACCGTCAATGTTGCTCGTACACGGCGGACCTTATCATCAGCCTGTTCGGCCGCAAAAAGGTAATAGACCGTTGAAACCAAAGACGCAATGTCTCGAAGCCACTTTGGCCGCACTTTCATCGCAGTCCAAAAGCCAGCATCCAGCGCTGTTGTAATCCATGTCGCGCGAAAGTAGGGCCGGGAGTAGAGGTTCGCTAAAGGTTCGGGGCTCTCGAGGCCTACGATTTTGGCGAAATTCCGAGCGAAATAGAGCCAGAGAACGACAACGACTGTCGTCTGCCAAACACTCAACTTCTGAGATAGACGAGATGATATCTTCCGGATGACGGGCGGACCATGTTTGTTTCCCCTACCAGACTAATATTCAGCAGCTGTGGCATGAAGATGCAAACTCCTGGACATACCTGAAGAGGTAGTACGACCAAAATAAAAATACGCCCAGTACTTGTACCTTGCGGGACCTGGTTGATGGCCTCCCAAGAACGTGATCTAGGCCAATCGTCAGTGTTACCCAGGACTTACTCGGGCAATTCCGCATACCTATCATTGCAACCAGAGTATATCGAGGAAATGATTGTGCGACACGGAAACCTTTCGGGCTGAATGAGCGGGTGATCCGACGAATACGTCGCACGGAGCGTAAGAATATCGGAGAAATAGGTTCTTCAGAAAGCGCTGAGATACGAAAAGAGGCATGTACATAGAACGTGGATAGAGAGGAGCGATTACTCCGTCAATTTTATCTTGCAATCAGCTAAGTCACGACAGATTCAACGTGAAGAGAGTGCAAGTTGAAGCCAGATGAGTGAAAGAAATGAAACAAACCAGACCAGAGGCTGAAGAGTGAATGAAGAAGAACAAAGGGCCATGGTTCATCACTGTCAAAGCTGGAGGCACACATCATGTTCCCCAGACAATGATGCATGTGAAGGCCCCACCAGCCTGCTTACCACGACTTACTATAACCCACGCAGCAGGCATCAAGGGCAAGGAGCGGCAGAGAGAATCAGATCCAAGGTAAGCATGGGGATGTTGAGATTAGAGAACAATCAGCTTTCTCGAGAGTGGTGGTGTGCCTTCTGCTGGCAGTCAAGCCGGGCTCGGGCTTTACCCCGGCGCTCTCCGCATTCCTCAATCACATGCAAATGGGCCACGGCCCTGGAGTCCTGTGACGCAAATGCTTGTCAGCTGAACTTCCAGCTGGCAGTTACCTGACGCAGACTCAATTTTGGTATGTTTCGAATACGCATACTTCGTATGTCTTGAATGTCTATGTCTTATCTGGTATTGTATCAATCACGTTCTTCGACAAAAGTCCCTTCCATGCGAAACTTGCCAATCACAGAGCCAGACTTCGAACACCATCCCCAGAAAGCCGGCGATACAAATACCCCCAGAGTCGCTGACCGTGGTTGCGCTGAGTGAGAACTCGCGGTCTTCTCGAGGTACTCGGTCGCCGATCTCCGCAAAGGTGTTGACGTATACTAGACCTCCTAAAAGGCCTTCCCAGAAAACCACGATAAAAACGAGACAGACGTTGGGGAGGAAGTTAAACAATGAGTGCATCGTCAACACTATCAGGTTGACGATCTGCAAGAGAGACGGGAGGTAGAGGTTATGTATACGGAAGAAAGGTGTGGAGGAGCGAGAGATGAAGACGCCAACCTGATATATTGCATTATACGCGGGGTAGAATGCACGGTAATGGGCGAAAGGGGTCTCCTTGAGCGGAAAGAGTAGCGTCGGTGATACCCCTTGGTTGATGGTGTACTCGGCAATATATACGAGGAGCAGTGGAAGCATACTAGGGACATGGTCAGCTATCATTCATACTAAGGGTCAGAGTTCATACAAAGGGAAGAACAGCCCTCGCGCGTGATGCAGGTTGGCCTTTAAGCTCTGCCATCCACGCCCTCGATGTGCAACTTTGAGACTCCCAGCGGAATGAATGGACGAGCCAAGTAAGCCCTCCCTTTCATCAGGATCATCGCTGAGTGCCCCGTTACCCGCATGTCCTTCTTCATCTCCAGATCCAGCGTGTCCAGACCGTATCCGCGATCGGGGCAATATGAAGAAAAAGCTGACGGCCAGAACAGCCGGCAGAAAAGCAGACGTCATTAATGTCGTTTTCACTTCAAGACCCAAAGATGTAGTCGCCAGTGCATATGCACCAGCCCCCACCAGTCCAGCAGCGCCTGTACCGCTTCCCCAAGCCGCCAGACTAAACGGGCCGTAGAAGTGTGTCAAACCAACGAAACTCAGTTCCCCGATACCGCTCGACAAGCTCGCCAAAACAATGCCCGCGAGTTTAGAAGATATCGTACCGCCATCAACATATGCCGGACTCAAAGCCACCACGAGCATGCCCAGGGCAGAGAAAGCCACACATATCACGATCCGGACGGAGTAAGGGACGGCCTGGATAAAGTAGGGGGCGACGAGCTTCGCCCCGAAGGACGGAATTACATCGGCAAGCAGTACCACGCCCTTTGGCACATTCGGCCCGACAAGGTCGAGCGCAGCGGATAAGATGATAACATAGAGCACGTTGTTGATCAAACCTGACGATTATGATTCAGTCAGAGCGCATGAGAAGGTCGAGGGGGCTTAATGTCTACCGAATAACCAAAATGCCACACAGACCTGGGGGTCAGCTCCGTGGAATAATGCACCAAGGTGCACGCGGAAACGGACCCATGTGGAAGACGTTGAACCCGGAAGAGGCAGCATTTGTCCCTTAGGCGTAACCCGTGGTCGCAAGCTGAGACGTGATGATTTAATAGACTACAGGAGCGAGATAGAGAAAAAGTTCAATTGCAGCAATAGGTGTACAGTCATATCATAAGTAGGTATACCAAACCCCCTTGGATTATTGTGGCAAATAAATGGACAAAGGATAGACAAAGGAAGAGCGACGTTGAAAGAAACATCAACGTCGCGTGATGAGTTGCCTGAGCGGTGAGCGCTTGTATAGGTAGAGATACCGTAAGGCGTGCGGAGTAGATAAGTAGGGCAACCGAACTACAGTATACTGATAAGAGAATCCATAAATGACTTAGCTCAGAAATAACCCTCATTGCAATGGCATACAGACTATGACTGAAGCCTTGCTACCGTCGCCTTCCCTGCTCTACTCTCATTAGGCCGACCAAGCTCATCGCTAATCCATGACCCAATTCTTGACATCTCCTCCAAATCAATGCCAGTATGCATGCCGAGACCATGAATCGTATGCACCAGATCCTCGGTTGAAACATTGCCCGTCGCCCCCTTGGAATAAGGGCAGCCGCCGAGTCCGCCAACACTGCTGTCGAAAATGCGAACCCCGTGCTCTAACCCTACGATAGTGTTCACCAACGCTTGGCCGTAAGTGTCGTGGAAATGGAGCGCCAAGTCTGTATTGGCTATGCCAGCTGCCTTCAGAGCCTGGAGGAGTTCCATCGTGCGGGGTGCAGTCCCCATGCCGGTAGTGTCGGCCACCGACACTTCGTCCGCGCCCATCTCGAGTAAAGTCGCCGTGATATCAGCCACCTTGGATGGTGAAACATCTGGGCCCTCATATGGACAGCCCAAAGCAACGGAAACGTACCCGCGGACCCGGATGTCTTTGGTCTTGGCCAATGCTACGATGGGACGAATTCGATCCAGCGATTCTTGGATGGTGCAATTGGTGTTAGCTTTGGAAAAGGCTTCTGTTGCTGCAGCAAATAGGGAGATCTCAGTCGTGGTGGGGGATTTGGTCTTGGTCCCTTCTGTGCTTGCCGAGGCCCCTGTTGAATCCATGACCTTGATGAGGCCCTCTAAACCCTTGACGTTCGGAACAAGGTAATTGTATGCGATTTCATTTTGAGATTGCGGAGGTGTTTGTAGGAGATGTTCACATATCTCTGCAGTACTCGCCATCTATCAATTCCACCATCAGTAAAAACATCGAACCACGCCGGCCGTCTCGGTTACGGACTCCCCGCCCGCAGACATACCTGGGGAACCCATTTGGCCGGTACAAAAGAGCCTGCTTCAATGGTCGTGACACCTGTTTTAGCGAGTTTTGATATGAGCTGAAGTTTCGTCTCGAGCGATATGGACTTCTTTTCGTTCTGTAACCCGTCGCGAGGGCCTACTTCAACTATACGGACATGGTCCGAAGTCAACCGCGCCTCTGTCGCAAAGCGTCTCGTCGAATGTGGTCGTAGGGCGGACAAAAGGCTCAGTCTGTGCATCGATTTAATCATTGCGATAAGCGGAATAAAGCCAAGGTACACAAGCCAGCTTCAAGCGATGAAGAAGGACGATGATGGAATCAGGCCATGAGCCCCAGATTGTTGGAACAATGTCCGGGCGAAATGCGGAGAAGCCACTTGACAGACCGGAAGAGGTTAGACTCGGCAGCCCCACATGACCCCTCTTAGTCAGATTCCGATTGGGAAAAATTGGCTTCATCCCACTTCATGAGAACTTGTTACAACAGACTAGCAAACCGGCAAGATGGGTGACTCTAGTGAGACTCCTCAGACTAATGCCTCTCTACGGCAACCGAAGAAGCGGTTTGTCGGAAGACGCACAGCAGACGCACAGGCACAATCATCACCGAGCGTCCAGGATGTTGAATCCACAAGCATACAGAAAGGTACGGCAACAGGCCGCTCTCAATTTTAATCAAATGCTCACCATGACAGCTGCGCCCCGAAGGACGCCCAGGACCTTAAATCAAGTCCCTCCCGAAATCTCCCAGGACCCGGACATCCTCGCCGCTATCGACCTCCTCCCAAAGAATTATTCGTTCGAGATACCCAAAACCATCCACCGCATCCGCACCTCCGGCGCAAAGCGCATAGCCCTCCAATTCCCCGAAGGCCTCCTCCTCTTCGCAACAACAATTTCCGACATCCTCACACAGTTCTGCCCAGGAACAGAGACTCTTATAATGGGTGACGTTACCTACGGCGCATGCTGCATAGACGATTACACGGCCCGCGCTCTCGGCTGCGACCTCCTCGTCCACTACGCGCACTCCTGCCTAATTCCCGTGGACATAACAAAGATTAAAACGCTCTACATATTTGTCGACATTAGCATCGATACAACACACCTCCTCGCAACCCTCGAGCGCAACTTCCAACCCGGAAAGACAATTGCCACCGTCGGCACAATCCAATTCAACGCAACCCTGCACGGCCTCAAGCCCGTGCTCGAACGCGCCGGCTTCAACGTTGTCATCCCGCAAATCACCCCGCTCTCAAAGGGCGAAATTCTAGGCTGCACCTCACCCACGCTATCCAACCAGCAAATCGACTACCTCCTATACCTCGGTGACGGCCGCTTCCACCTCGAGTCCGCTATGATCCATAACCCCTCAATACCCGCCTACCGCTATGATCCTTACTCCCGCACTCTCAGCCGCGAATCCTACGACCACACCGAAATGCATACCCTCCGCCGCGACGCCATTTCCACCGCCCGCTCCGCAAAGAAATGGGGCATCATCCTCGGTTCTCTTGGCCGGCAGGGAAACCCGCATACTATGGCCATGATCGAGTCGCATCTTACCGAGCGGGGGATTCCATTCGTCAATTTACTTCTCAGCGAGATCTTTCCCGGGAAGTTGGCGGCCATGTCCGATGTGGAGTGTTGGGTGCAAATCGCTTGCCCACGACTGAGTATTGATTGGGGCTATGCGTTCCCGAGGCCACTCTTGACGCCATACGAGGCCCTTATTGCGCTAGGGATTCGGGAGGGCTGGGAGAAGACACATGAGGGTGTTTACCCGATGGACTTTTATGCCAAGGATGGGTTGGGACGCACAAAGCCGCAGACCGTCCAGGCAGCCTAAGTCATGTATTGCATCTGGAAAATGTGTTTACGATCAGCTACGACTATATAGACAGGAAAAGGGAAACGGTTACGAGCACAAATCACTCGAGTTTCGCTTAATTTAAATTACATAATTATCTTAACTCATTACAGCAGAGATCTATCAGCCCTGGACATCGTCTGCGCTGTCCATGTTGTGGTCGCTGGTACTTTCTCTGCGAAGAGAGAGGACAGTCTTGCTAGTAGTGATCTCAGCAGACCGCCACGTAGTTACCGCCTGCTCCACATCCTCAAACATCTCAATAGTATCCTTGACGATGCCGCCCTCGTCAGGCTCAGATGCGTACCGCCGCCGTCCAGAACCACCGTCCGGCGCCATTGGGAATGCTGGTCCGAAACCACGCTGCGGGATGGGGTTGTACATGACCGCGTTGGTAAACATCCGTATCAGTTCCTTTTCTAGCTGCGCTGAATTGACAATCGCCTTTGGCGGAATGACATCTTCGGTTTTGGGCAGCATAAGAATGGCGCTCCTCGATGGAACCGGAGACTCGCCGTCCGCAACTGGTGTGTTGGCGGCTTCCGTGACGGCAGCCAAAGCCTTGCTCCCCTGACTGATGCTCGACTTGATAGACTTCAGGTCCTGCGGTCGGTAGATAAGATCTCGGTAGCCAGGCGCTTCGCGTTCCGTCAAGGGTTTGGCGAACATAGATGCATGCTTATGGGTCAAGACATCATTCATAATTGGGGTGCCAGTCCCTCGAAAGTTGCGCGCACACAGCACGAAAGGTGCCGATTGATCCGAATCCGCATGGTTTATCTGACTGAGCTCGGGCTGAGGCTGAGGCCGAGGCTGGGGCTCTGGTTCGGAGGCCTCATCACGTTTGCGCTTCGGCCGGCCTCTCGGAACTTTTTGGCTAGTCGAGCTACGCTCGGGCCCGACAGAACCAACCCCAGCTGGAGTGCTTGGTACTTCGCGCTTGATCTTTCCAGCCTCCGCTCCTGATTCGTCATCACGCGAATGTATAGATCGCCCTCGACTTCTCGATGAAGCGGTGCTCCTGTCACGTTTTCTCCCGGCCGCTGGTGTGGTCTTTTCCGTTTTCTTCTTTGGACCTGCTGGAGTGGTATCTGTCACCTTCTTCCTTCCACGTCCAACACCTTTCCGGCGCGGAGGCTCGGATTCCTCCGGGGTTGCCGCTCGTGAGCCAAACGGTGATGGTGCCCTTTCGCTGATCGGACTGACGTCTTCTGGACGAGGTCTTTCGGGTGAGCGAGGGGAATTTGGTAGAGTGGAGAACGAAGATTGCTTCCAAGGGGTGGATGATCCAGGAGTCGCGAGTGATAGCCGTGGTCGTGACGCACGCGGTAGGGTTGCCGGGAATCCTTGAGGGTGTCCCACAGGCGTCGCAAATCCAGACGGAGGAACTGGAGGTACTGGTGTTTGGAAGGCGGGACGAGGGGGTTGTGGCGTCGATGGAGCTGCCACAGGCTGAGGACGCGGCACCATCTTTGGCGTGGATTTAATGGGCAGCGGTTGAAGAGGCTTGATGTGACCCGCAGGTTGAGATAAGGAGGATGAAGGAAGTTGCGGCGGATGTTGTGGAGTTTGTGGTTGGTTCAAAGACCATTGTTGGAAACTGGCTTGAGGTGGTCCACGTGGAACGGCGGGAGGCACACTCTTCTTTGCAGCGGGTTTCGTGGCTGAGGCGGCCTTTTTCGGAGTAGGAGAAGCAACTGGTACAATGGCCATCTGCTGGGGTAGTTGAGATGGTCGAGGGGGCGGTAACGGAGTGGTTACCTGTTCGTGAGAAGGGGCAGGAGCCATGGCAACGGGGATCGACAACGGTTTTTGAGGCTGCGTAGGCGGCACGTTGACTGGCTTCTCCTGGACAGATGCGCTGGGAGCGGCAGCAGGTGGCTGTTGAGCCGGCGGTATAACTTTTCCATTGGGTAGTTGTGTCTGTCGTGGAAGATCTGCGGCTGACTGATCTTGTTGAGAACTGATGGGAAGACCCTGCGGCTGCTGAGCCTGAAGCAGTTGCTGTGCTATAGGGCGCGGCGTCGCATGCGGTGTGGGGTGTGGAGGTTCTGGATGGGGTAACGCTGGAGGTTGGGGCTGGGGTGGTGGTGGTGGCTGTAGGGTTTTCTGGATTTCTGGTTGTTGTCCAAGGGTTTGCGCCGGCGACTCGGTCCCCGAGAGTGGTTTTTGTTGTTGGGTGAGCTGTGTCGGCGGCTGATCCTTGCGGGGAGGCTCTGGCTGAGGTTGTTTCACTTCTACGCTCGTAGAAGGCTTAACCGGGGTAGGTATCGGTTCCTTGGCAGGCTGTGGTTGAGCGACTGGTGTCTCGGGCGTATCCAAGTCCATCGGTTCGGGCGCAAGCCCAGGTTTCGTATGGATTAGCGTTGGGGCCGGCTCAGCCGGCTGCTCTCGGGGCGCTTCGCGCTCTTCCTTCTCTAGCCGTGTGATCTCATCCTTAATGTCCCTGTACCGCTTTTCTTCAAGCTTGATCTCCCTGGTAACCAATTCCTTATATTTGGCGTACAGGTGCGGCACCAGATACTGGACAAACCCGGGGCGAGATGCATTAATCTTGCGCTTCTTTGGGTTACTAGGGCTTGATTCCGATTGATGACCGTTCGGTTCCTGTGTAGAGGCAGGCGAGTTGCTACCATCGTCGTGCATCAATCTCGAATAAAGGTCCTCCAGCGCCTCCGGGGTGAACCTGCGCGGGTCAAACGCGCCATTTTCGCGAATGAACTTGTTTTTGCTCAGAACATCTGATATCGACACAAAGTTGGTTGGATGCGAATCGTGCGCGGCGAGAGTCTGGAAGAAGAGAAGGGATTCAAGTGGAGTATAAGCCGATAGAGAAGGCATCCCCCATTGCCCGCTCGACCGGCCACTGGGGGAAGAAGACGGAGGGATAGGGGCCACGGTGAGAAGGGAGTAATGGAAGAGAAGCCCGGAGAGGTCAACTAGGACGAACTGATAATATTGATGCCGGTCGCAATCCTTCTGTATGATTGGTTGTTGATAGCGCAGGTGAGACCGATGATCGCATACGGGTGGGTATTCAGACCATTGACGCAATAGATGAAGGGGAAAGGAAGAAGGGCGACACGCGACGAGATCGGATAGGCGGAAGCTCGGCAGATGGAAAAAAATGCAGAAAAAATCGTTGAAAACCTAGGATATCAGAGGAGATACAAAGTGGGTGGGACAAGGATAGAATCGGAGATCAAGGGCGCGAAAATGGACGTGAAAGAGGACGTGAAGCTGAAGCAGCGACTGGGGAAAATCTCGTTCCGAGCAACGTTTCCGTTTCTCAGAGTCGCTGGTTCCCGCCCAGAGAGTAAGAGTGACGAGGGACTGCACTGGAATCATCACGTGAAAGCGATCGACGCGCCAGCCAATAGCCGTATGTAATGTAACCGGCTTACCTCTGGCCCTGCGGAAGCGCTGTGCTAGATGACGCCACGGGTTGCCCCGGCATCATCGCGAACTACGGAGTACGGGGTCTGGGGGCCGTGTTATGCATGAAGTACTCGGGGTAGCACCTGGAATGGTCCACCGTCCGAGCAGAGCCGGAGGGTTGTTGTCGCCTGGCCTGGTAAGGATCTCAGATGAGCTCTCTTAGTGAGTCTTCGGTGACTCCAGACGAGTCCAGAGTCAGAGTCAGAAGAATTATGATACCGTATTTTACGGACTCCATAGTGTCAGGGGTCAACCTGAAATTGCCCGTGCCCCTTTCTGACGCTGAGAATCTAATCTATAGACTCGGGATAAGATATCAGCCATGCTCTGTGGCACCTGCGTGTATTTTCAAGCTTCAGCTTGCCAAACGCCAGATACTGCAAGGCTTCCATGAGTGAAATACGCTATAATCCTGTAACTACGTATGCCATGCCGAGTGCTTGGTGGATGGGACTGATGGATTTTTGATGAGTATGGAGTATCCAGTTAACCTGTGGGGAGATTGAGAGCACTATTTAGCTTCAACAAATGTCAGTGGCCATCAAGAGCTGTTGATTTGGACCCGTTTCTCACTATAGCTCGAGTCAATCTCCCGTCTCCTTTCTCTCCCTCTCCTGTGCCTCGGGCCCCTTGCACCTGCACTCGCCTCTGCACTCCTTTCTTGCTTTCGTTGCGTATTCGATGCTCCCCTCATCAACTCGAGCTGTTAGATAAACGGCCAGCTTCTGAAGCAGCCACCCCCGAGCTTGAACCGTGGAATTTGACCATCCCCCTTTTTGTTCCTCATCTCTGTCATTCCCCCGATCGTGCAGGGCCCCTGTCAATCCAACTAAAAAGTGGTCCCTCCTGGCCCCATCAAGAAGAGGAGTACGACAAGGCTGTCTTGAGTCTTCCTTCCAACTTCCCTCATCATCGACTCTGCGTTCTTAACTTTATCCATCAACTCTCTTCTTCGCGGACCTCCTTGAGTTATAGCTTTCAGCTGGTCCTGATTCCTCCCATTTAATACCACCTTAATCTACGTTTCGGCGATATCTTATCAGCCGCCGTTTCTTCTTATACTTCATTCAACCGTGATACCCCTTTGCCGCGGCTCTGCTGAACCAGCCTCGGACTTCTTTCGATTACAGAACCGCTTCTTCTACGACAGCTCTCGAGCTTATTCATTATCTGCATCTTTATCTTACAATACCCAGAATGTCCGACGCAGACCAAGAGGTTAAGAAGGCTCGGCCGCAGTCGTTCGTTGTCCCCGCTTTCTGTATACTTGACTGAGCGCTAACTAAAGTAAATGCAGCACTATGGCGCTGGCTTTCTCTTCTGCACTAGATTCTGCTTTCTCGCTAGACAGCGATGTTGACTATCTCTCGCAAACCATCGATCAGAAGTAAGTTTTGCTGGGCCCCTGGAACGTCGGCGCGTCTTTCGGGGAGCTCAAATTATCCAGAAATCTTGAACTGTGGAACAATAGGCTAACCGGAACCCTAGAAAATACGAGATGATGATCCAGGAACGAGAGTTAGAAGAACTCCAGGCCAAAATTCGCCAGGCCGAAGAACGACTGAAAGCGCGTGGATCAGTGATTATGAGTGGTAACAATCAATCTTCAGGGGTGCATAGAGATGGCGGGTACCAGTCCACAGGTAAGAGATATACAACCTTGCGATCTTCAGCGACCGGATTCTGATGTGTTTCCCGATAGAATCAGCCACAACATCGCCAACGGACTCGGCGGGCCAGTACTCGAGCGGCGACGAACAACGGCAGCGACCAGGCGACCGGCAGCAGGGACGCAATTCCTGATCGGAGGCTGCCCGTTAGGGTTGGCAGAAAGTACTATATTCGGCTGAAAGTAGGGCTCTAATGGGCTCGACTCTGACTGCTCCTCGTCTTGATCTCTGGTATTCTAGCGAGCACGTACGTTCAGAGGAATCAGTTCTCTTGATTTCTCGCATGCGCGCGCGATTTCGGCTCGTGTCCGTCAGGCGTTGGACGATTAAAGATGTCTCTTTGATCTATATCTCACAGCGATGCATCCCTGGCGCCTGTAGCATTGTTTGGCGTATTCGGCTCGGTCGAAGTCCCGTCATGATTGCGCCGGCCAGGAGCCTGGGTTTACTTAGCTGTGGCATTCTTGTTATTGTCATTCCCATTGCCGCTTGAGTAGTCATGTACTGGCCTGAATTATACTCCGTATATGTATCATGGTACAATCCATAATCTTATGAGTTGCATGATGATATCTTAATTGGTTATAGTCGGGCCCTTATCCAATGCGGCGTTGTGAAACATGAAGGCAGTTGTCGGTGACTCGAGATTGCGAACTAGTAGTTCAACGAGCCGGGATGGTTGTACCTAAGTCAACCAGACTAAAAACGCCTCCCAACTACAAGCGCCATAAAAAGATGCTTGGATGATGTCAGTGCACTGATTGCTTTCGCTCCACTCCAAAAACCCTGGAATCGGACAATAAGCGCCCGCAAATGGAGCAGATTGCACGGGGGTTGCGGTCCAGACTGCGACAGCCTGGATGCAAGATAAGCCTGCTGGCGTACATCCGCTACGTATTGACAGCAGGGCTCTTCTTCTAGCTGCGCTCCCCTCTTTCTCTCTCAACATCCCCTTTCCCCTCATCTCTTCTCTGTCATTTATCCGGGTCGTCAAGTACTACGATCATGGTCCTTATAGACAAGCAAAGCTACACCTCCCGCGAGGAACAACGCCTCAAAGAGGATCGCGATCGCATCAGGTACTGGAAAAAATGGGGTCCCTACGTTGCAGAGAGGCAATGGGCCACCGGTAGGTGTTTTTTATTTTGGAATCTCTGTTTTCTGCTCAGTTACCGTCGTTCATCGGCGGATATTTCCGGGGGCATTAAAGCTGATGAACTGCTTTTCGAATCTCCGCAGTACGCGAGGATTATTCGTGAGTCTACCACCCAATGTCTTTTTTACTTCTCCCTCGTCTTCACCTTGTTTCTGTCCAACCTATGCAATGACTGTATATGCATTGTCATGCATTTGCTGACTGAGGTATCACTGCCAGAGCAAACGGTGATGCTTGGAGCTGTAAGCATCCTAACCCCCGCGGGGACGGACCACTTGCTGATCGACACTAGACTTTAGCCACGACCACGCCCGCTCGAGAACCTATCGTTGGGGCGAAGATGGAATAGCCGGAGTGTGCGACACGCACAACCTGCAGAACATCGCATTTGCTTTTTGGAATGGAAAAGAGTATGTTCCGTCGCTTGTGGATCGGCTGTCGGCCCCAACCGCGACCTTGCTCTAATTCCCCATCTTTATAGTGGTTTCCTGAAAGAGCGACTGTTCGGCCTATCCAATCCACAGGGTAATCACGGCGAGAGCATCAAGGAAGCTCACTTTCATGTTGACAATACCCCTACGGTATGTTATTGTGCGGTCTGAAACGAAAGTCTGCTTCTCTAACAGCCCTACCTCGCAGCATTCGTACATGAAATATCTCTACAAATATCCCCAGAACGAGTTTCCATACCAGGAGCTGGTTGAAGAGAACGCTCGACGAGGAAAACAGGACCGCGAGTATCAGATTCTCGATACCGGCGCTTTCGACAATAACAAATACTGGGATATCTTTATTGAGACAGCCAAGGAGGACGACGACGAGGATGAACTTGTGTTTCGTGTGATTGCGTACAACAGAGGCCCGGAGCCCGCTCCTTTGCACATCATTCCACATGTCTGGTTCCGAAACACTTGGTCCTGGGGCTACGAGGGTAGGGTGAAACCTTCCATCCAGCAGACTGCTCCTCTTGCTGTCAAAACGAACCACGACAAGTTAGGGGAGCGATATGTCTGCTTTGCCCCGTCTCCCGCTACTGGAGACGGCCAAGAAGATGTCGTACCCCAGATGTTGTTTACTGATAACGAAACGAACAATGAGGTTCTCTGGGGTACGCAGAACGATCAGCCTCACGTGAAAGATGCCTTCCATCGTTACATTGTCAATGATGAGAAGAGTGCAGTCAACCCAGCTAATGAAGGCACCAAATTCGCCGCCTGGTATGCTTTCAATGAAGGCGAAGGAGTCCCTCCGGGCGAGTGTGCTGTTGTTCGTTTTCGCCTTTCGAAAAAGGTCGAGCCTTTCGTGAACGAGGAGGAGCTAGACGATGTGATCGACCAGCGTAAGACGGAAGCCGACGACTTCTACTACCACATCAGCCCTCTGCCAATGAGCGACGATTTACGGAACATTCAGCGTCAAGCGTTCGCGGGCATGATGTGGACAAAGCAGTATTACCATTTTGTCTGGGATCAATGGGCCAATGGCGACCCCGGTTTGATTCCCCCTCCACCAGAGCGAAAACAGGTCCGAAACCAGCAGTGGAAGCATCTGCATATGGATGATATTCTCTCAATGCCAGATTCCTGGGAATACCCTTTCTTTGCTGCTTGGGACACAGCTTTCCATTGTATCCCGCTGGCGATGATCGATCCAGAATTTGCCAAGCGGCAATTGGATGTCCTCACCCGAGAGTGGTATATGCATCCAAATGGGCAGCTAGCAGCCTATGAATGGAACTTCGGAGACGTTAACCCTCCTGTTCATGCTTGGGCGACCTTCCGGGTCTTCAAAATCGAGCGCAAGATGTACGGTCGGCAGGATCTTGATTTCCTTGAACGCGTCTTTCAGAAGCTACTTCTAAACTTCACCTGGTGGGTGAACAGAAAAGACTATGACGGCAAGAATGTTTTTGAGGGTGGTTTCCTTGGGCTTGATAACATTGGCCTCTTCAACCGCTCTGAACCTCTTCCTACAGGTGGAGTTCTGGAACAAGCTGACAGCACCGGTTGGATGGCTTTCTACTGTTTGAGCATGTTGAATATTGCGCTCGAACTAGCCAAACATCGGCGAATTTATGAAGACAGTAAGTTTTGGTCTTGTGATTGCAACTGCTCGCATCTCTGACATGGACCAGTTGCATCTAAGTTCTTTGAGCACTTTATTCTGATAAGTGATGCTATGACCTTCAAGTCCGGAGAAAAAGAGAGTTCCTTGTGGAACGAGGAAGATGGGTATGTCACAAATGTCAAAACACTTTCATATCAGGCCTAACCAGTACAGATTCTATTACGATGCGATCTCATACGGTGGGCCGTGGACACAGCAACTTCCGGTGCGATCACTCGTCGGGCTGATCCCACTTTACGCGGTATCGACGCTCGAACCTGAGTTGATCAACAAGTTTCCGTCCTTCAAGCGCAGACTGGAATGGTTTGTCGAGAACCGCCAGGACGTCGCTGAGCGCAATATTGCTAGCATGAAGCGTCGTGGAAAGAGTGACCGGCTCCTCTTAGCCCTGGTTAGCAGGGACCGGTTAGAGAAGATCTTGAAGCGCATGCTCGATGAGACAGAATTTCTCTCAGACCACGGAATTCGGTCGATGTCAAAGTACCATGAGGATCATCCTTACTCCATGGACGTCAATGGCCAGACGTTCCAGGTTAGCTATGTTCCCGGCGACTCAGACAGCGGCCTCTTCGGTGGCAACAGCAATTGGCGTGGCCCGGTCTGGTTATGCGTAAACTTCCTACTCATCGAGTCCCTCCTTCGCTTCTACATGTTCTACGGAGACTCTTTCAAGGTCGAGTGCCCCACGGGCTCGGGGGATTATATGCATCTGGGCCAGGTAGCGGAGGAAATCCAGCATCGACTGCAACATCTCTTCGCGCGCAATGACGAAGGCCGACGTGCAGTCTACGACGGCTCTGATCTGCTCGATTACGACGAGCACTGGAAAGACTACATGTGGTTCCACGAGTTCTTTGACGGCGATACGGGCCGCGGACTGGGAGCATCCCATCAATGCGGTTGGACAGGGTTAATTGCCAAGGTCATCCACGATACAGGGTATGTCTCCCGCAATAAACTTTCCTGCCTATATGTTCTTCGTTAATTACCAAAATAGTGTCAACTGCCGCCTTCCACAAACCCCACGCTCCCCCTTCGCCGCAGCGAGCCACTACTTCGACGACATCTTCACCCGCTCGGTCCGCAGCCAAAGCCGCCGCGGCAGCAGCGCAAGACCATTTGTCCGCCGCTCCTCAACCAGCCGTTCCATCGGCAACAGGAGTGACTTCGAGTCTACGTTCGCGACACCTGCGCCTCAGACGCCTGCTGAGTCTGCAGTTGGCGACGAGGACGAGAGACGCAGCAGGTCAAACGGGACACCTGGACCAGCATTCGACGAGCATGTATCCAACTATGTGGAGAGTCAGTTGCAGAGGGTAAGAAGCCAGGCGTCTATGGGGGCTTATGAGGATGAGTTCGAACCGCAGGTGGATGGCGCCAATGGGAATGGCCATGCCAATGGGAATGGGACCAATGGGCATTGAATTCCCGCACAGCTCTAGAGAGAGGAGAGGTCGTTCGGTGTGAGTCAGTAGATCGGTATACAGGGTATGCTACACGCTAGAGCTGGGAAGTGTGGGTATCAGGCTTTGTCTTGTCTTGTTTTTAGATTGTCTTCTCTCTTTGCACATGCCTCTCTTTCTACGTCGCTACACGAGTTCATGATCTGCTGCAGTCTGTTCAAGGACATACATTGTCAATTTTCGGTTGCAATATACAAATCAACATGTTTATACATCGTCCAACGAGCTGTCGACTATTGCCATATATATCTAACTAAACTTGATTGTTTGAGCACGCATCTAACTTTATATTCTCTTCCCAGGCAGAATCCTTACCTATTCCACGCCCTTCACTATTAAGCCCACGAATTGAAATAAACCAAGATAAACAGAACAAGTCTATTCTCACCGGACTCAAGTCTCATTCAACGGACTCTCGCATAGTGCAGCTGGATGCTAGGGTACATAGGTAGGTAGGTAAGTAGTAGAAACTATAGGTAGGCGATAGATAGATATAGGGGCACAACAAAAGAGATACGGGGTCGGTTAGATAATTTACAGAGCATCGGTGAGGGCCTTGTTGAGCTTAGCGATCTTGGAGGAGACGCTCAGGTCAATGGTGCGGTCACCGATCTCGACAACGAGACCGCCGACGATGTCGGGGTTGACCTAAATGTGGGTTAGTTGGTTATTCTTTGGGATGGCGAGGAGAACGTACTTTGGTGACAACCTTGAGCTTCTTGCCCTGGCTGTACTCGGACTTGGCAACGGCCTTCTCGAGGCGGTTAAGGGTGCGGGTGTCGAGCTCCTACGGGACATTGTTAACATCCACGTCCACGAACAACAATTGTTCCGGAGAAAGTCATTGTATGAGAGCATACCTGAGCACTGGTGATGGAGAGCTCAATCTCACCACGGTGAGCGCTCATGAGAGCACCGAACTTGTCGACAACATCGTTCAGCAGACCGAGACGGTTGTTCTCAGCAAGGGTGGCGAGGAAGTTCTTGAGGAGGTCGCCCTTGTCGGCACCGGCAACCTTCTGGAGCTCGGAGACGATGGCCTGCTTGTCGGCGACGGACAGGGTAGGGGTGGAGAGGATGCCGGTGAGCTTAGGATCGGCCTTGAGGGCAGCACCGAGGTTGTTCAGGCCCTTGGAGGTAGCGTCGAGGGAGGAAGCCTTGGCGGAGGCTGTGTACTATTTTGGAGGAATTGCGTTAACTATCACGGAACTGCAGTTGATTGTGATGGTAACGGTCGTGGCTTGTACAAGTTGCCGGTTGGTGATATTGAAAGGGTTTTCGGCTCAACGGATCCGGTCGAGCTAGCTAAGCTATCCACGCGGGTTTGGGGGGAGCATACCAGAGCAGTGGCGTAGGTACCGTCGACACCGAAGAGAGAGACAGGGGGCTTGACTTCCTGGGCAGCGGTGGCATAGGTGCGCAGGCCGTTGACAGCAGCAGTGCGAGGGACGGAGACCTGGGCGGAGGCACGGAGGCCAGCGCGGGCGAGACGAGCGGAGAGCATGGCGATGACTGACGTGAGAGACGAGGCTCCGACGGTTTTCAAGAAGGGGAATTGAGAGAGGGTGGAATTGGACGCGAGACGGCGAAGACGGTCGACACACAAGAGGGGCGTGAAGACGATGCTATTCGGACGAGGTCCAACTTCTCCCGGTCCCTGTCACGTGAGATTCCGCACACGCCGAGAATTTCGGGTCGTTTACTTCAGTTACTTACTCCATGAACGGCATTCATTTTTTGCGTCATTCCAAGCGATAATTTTCGTCGTTTTCATGGACAGCTGATCTAATTAGGAAACCGTGCAATATCACCATGCGGAACACCTTAACGCCAGACCCCGTGCTTCGTTCTCATCAATTGCTACGTAACCGCCATGACCATGAAGGCTTTCAATCGCTTCGCAGCATGCTATCCACTAGATCCCCCAAAGGTCCCCAGAAATCCTTCCCGCTCGCCAGCCGATGCTCATCGATGAAGAGGACGTAGTGCTTGAAGCTGGTGTTGAGGTGTGGCTCAAGGCCCAGATGGACGATCACAGGGTAGTGGTGGCAGTAGATGTGAGCATATACGCGGTACATTCGCTTGAAGATCTGACGGACAAGACTGGAGAATGCCTTTGGAAAGGGAACACCTGATCAATCAAATCAGCATTGCCCGGTCGCTTCGTGGTGGAAATTGAATCCGCGTACCTAATCGACTGGGGAACATCTGCTCGTTGTCAATGTTTCCCTGCACCCAGCTCATGAGATGCTCGATATATTCGGGCGCAGACATCTTCGTGGGACGCTTATAGTTCTCCGAGTCCTGCCAGAGGTACTCGAACCTGTCCACAGTCAGCTCATCGCTTGTCACCACTTCTTGGTGGAATCTCGTACTCATCGGTCGCTTTCATCTCTGGGCATGTCTGCGGCGAGCAAAACTCGGTGATCGCTCCGTAAAGAAGATTGATCTGGTTGTAAAAGTCGACCACTACAGACGAACATCAAGTCAGCCCAGGACCATAAAATCCACGCAACAAACGCACCATTAACAGCTAGCCACTCATTGACATCCTCCCCCTCGGGAAGCTTCACAGCCTTCCGCAGACTTCCACTCCCAAGTGTCGCCTCCGCAAACTGTCTCAACTGGTAACTGGTCGTCCCTTTGGCCGCAGAGCGCGGTTTGAAAGGCGCTCTTGTCCGAGCATTGCTAGGAGGTGTTAGTACACATAATCCTTGTTTTAGCGCACGAACAGCGGGCGATAGATATGAAGGAGGGGCTAATAATGGAGCATGGGATATATGAACGGTGCTAGATGATGTAGAAGGGGGGAGGGCTTGTGATTTTGAGAAAGGCGATGGCGACGATGGCAATGGAGGGGTAGTAGGGTCATCCGCAGATGGAACAGAGACCAGGGGAACGGACATTGTGGTAATGAATGAAGCCATTGCTATCTCACGGCTGCGACAGATTGATAAAGAGTGACCTTGATGAGCGAAGGGGTTGGAATGCGCCGTTCCTTGACTCGTGCGCTTGCGGAATTCGACCGGCGGGTTGGATGTGTTTCAAGTTTCTTGAGGGAAAATTGGGCTATTTGCACTCAATAGAATGATGTGGTTAGTAGACAGTAGTACAGACGGTGTTTGCAGCTACTTATAGAGACTCACTGCGTCAGCGCGCGCTCAGGACGCGAGGAGACAAGGACGCGACGTTGAGCTGAGTAGGTGGAGGGGTTGAGTTGCCGAAGAAGAAACAGATGGCAGTTGAGGATCGAATCGCACCCAGCAATGGATCAAGCAGGAAACTAGAAATAGGAAGGCGCTCAATAACAAGGAAAGGAGCTTTAGGGCGACAACCGATCGTATCTTGAAAATAGTATATCGACTTCCTTGCATGGATCCCCCCACGATCGGAGCCACGCCGCCACGGTCCATGGATAAGTGAGCTCCGCCGCTCGTTGCCCTGGCAATCACGACAATACACATTCAAAATCCATTACTGGATATCAGCTACTACATACTGGGTCATTTTACATCTTCAACATCATGACCATGAAGCAATATGTTCAGATTTAAATAGAGTGCCCTTCGTTCTCTTCCGGCAATCGCTCCCGTACAGTTTCTCCATATATCGTGATGGGAATTGCAACCTCAAATGACTCGCAGCCTAAATGCTCCAAAGCCGACATTGTAGCCCCGCGATCATCCTCAGAGACCGTCTCTAGCAGTCGCACACCGGAAGGACCCCGGCCCAATTCATCTGGCGTGCTTGTAGTGACGAACTCAAATCTCAACTCCCACTCGACATTGACACCGCTCGTGAGTATTGTTGGAGTGGCAGAGATCGGGATTGCCGGACTGAACACGACTCTGGTCGAGTAAAGAGTGATTTCAAAGAAAGACGCATGGATTCGGCGCGTCGCTCGCCGAATACTGGCGCTAGATCGTACCGCCAAATTCGCTCCAACTTTCTCAGAGCTCTCCAGGGTCGCTCTAAGTGCGTAGCACGGAAGTGCCGCATCAGCTAGATTTACCGTCGCAACGAGAGTTTCGCCGAGGCGATGGGCTGGTCGGTTGAGCACTACAACGGCAATCCGACGTCCCCCGCGCGCGATCTCAAAGCGATTTGGGCTCTGCGACGAATTGACCGTCTGGTTGCTTCGAAGAATAGCAAAGTCAATAGCGTCTTTACAAGAGACCGGCCCTCCTGTCAGATCATAACTTGGCCGCCTCTCGGCGAGCGTGCTCGGCAGTTTGAGAGAACTGTTGCGAGAGCGTTGTTCGAGAATCTCATCCACATAGGATAAGAACTCGGGGGCTGATGTCCACATCGGCTTGCTTATGCTCTCGGCCTTCGCGGTTACTTGGGGAAGAGAGCCAACTTTCTGCACCCTGGCCTCATCCCGTAAGATCACATAGGGACGCATCAGATCATGCCCGATGATTTCTCCTTGGGCTAGAAAAGATTAGTCAAATTGCACCAACATTAATGGCAGGAAATAGTGCTTACCGTTTACGCCACTGAAGACACGGAACGGTATGCTAATGCGGTTGACTCGTTGGGGCTCGTTGCTCCCGCTGGGTCGCTGTGTGCCTATGACAAGATTGTAGGATATTTTGATAGCCTTCCCCTTGTGACTCGCTGGTAGACCGCTGGGTAGAGTGAAGGCGAAAGAGAAAGACTGCTCCTCCCCTGGAGCTAGTCGAAGGTCCACAAAAAGAAGGGATTGGGGAGTCGACAGTAAGGGTATTGATTTCGACGAGGATACGCCTCGCATGTCTCGAAGACCGTCGAGGTCATTATTGGAGAGTAATCCACTGATAGACTCCTCTATTGAATTCCAGTTCAAGGCGCCCCAGAAGCCGCCGCCTTTTCGACCTTTGCCGCTAGACGAAGCAGGCCTCGAGCTCGCTGTACCGCCACCATTCCCTGAACCACCAACCACACCCTGCCGCTTGACCTCGTCGAAAGCAGCCTGGTTTATCAGCGAGCCATCTACTGTGAATGACGCGCTTATTTGCGCATATCCCATAAGAAGCGCCTGTCCGGTTGGGACTGGCACCGCTGACTCCATGCTAGACATATGCCGGCTGTGGCGTGGGTAACCTGCGCGCAGCATGGAGGTTGAATAGTTGGTATATTCTGACTGTAGAGTCTCAGTAGAATTGTTGCTGAGAGAGTAATATTCTCCACTGCTTCGGTGACTCCCATTTAGACTGGAAGCTGAAAGGACTTTCGACGGCATTTGCCCTGGAGCGGCCAAGGAAATAGAGTCTTTGGACGTTGACGCGGGCGTTCCGACAACAGGCCCCGTGCTCGACTCGCTCTCCGGCCCTGGAGGAAACTTGAAATCTATGGGCGGTAATTGAGGTCTTCTTCCTGGCGCTCGTATCTGAGGTGTCGGTCTTATGGGGCTGTGGGCTCCAGATAAAGGACCGCTAGGTCGTATCGCATCCATGTCTACTCTCAGTCCCCCGGGTGATTGCTGATTAGGGGACTCAGGCATTGGAAATCCGCGAATTGGGCTTCGTAACCCTAGTGAACATGGTTTGATCAGTTATTGTAGGCCTCGTATAGAATTGCGCACCAAGTACCTTTCGGGTTATCCTCATAGCCTTCATATCTTCTTGGTACAACTTGCAGGCTTGCGGAGCGTCCATGGCCCCTCACCGGTCTTGAATGGGTTAATTGAGACGGGGTCCTTGGAGTTTTATCGCCAGCGACGCTTGAATTCCCTCCCTCGCTATCTATAGACAGTATAGATACCGACCTTTTATGTTTGTGGCCGGCCGAGGGGCCAGTTCGCGGCGTAGAGGGAGGTGGGAAGCTATGAGAGCCGATCAACGGCGAACTCACGGAGGACGATATGCGATGGGACGGGCTCTTTCGAGGAACAATAGGGTATGAACGGCGATTGGGATTTCTAAAGGGATTTGACGGGAGCCGTAGGGAGAAAGAATCCGAGCGAGGGGTCATCGCAGCCCGCGACTGCTTCCTGAGATGAAGCGTTTGCGCATTGTTCGGTTCCTCGCCGGTCTCCGCAACGTTCTTGAAGGTAATGGTGCATTCAACATCTTCCCCGGCGAAAATAGACTGGTCTTTCCATTTGACGAAGACCTGAATGTCCGATGACATAGCGAACGGCGGGAATCACCGCATGGACGGATGGATGTAAGCTGGGTGAGGGAGCTTGAGCACTGAGCAGACAGTGCCGCCACCTCGCGGAACAGGGGTAACAGCAGGAGTTTGGATATGAAGGTATAGAGGTTGGAAAATGCCAACTACGGCATATACAGAGCACGCTCCATTGTTTAGCGATCGGTTGAAGCAGCGGATGAGTGTAGGCGTGAGCTGGTTCTTGTTGAAGTTCGAGTGATCCCCCGTTGGCGGAATTGCGGAGTGGTGACCTTGGGGTCGATTGAGCTAGTGCATCCATTATCCGAGTAGCTGCGATATACCAAGCTCTAAGAACTCGCGTCAATTGGACATTACTTTCACAACGAAAGATACTGGCCATTCTCCCTACCGTATAAAGAATGCCAATATAAGGATTAATGAGATGAAGCTGCTTAAAGCTATCCACTGCGAAGGGCATATACTTCAATCGCATGGGGAAGAACAAATCTAAGCATATAACAACTTAGACGCTTAAAATGTACCGCTATTATACATATTATATATAAATTAAAATACAGGTTGTCGTTGATCCGATATACATATGATTGCCCCATCCAGCGCCTCACGAGGACTCACTAGACACCTGGCTTGGCTTTCGTTTGTACAGCATCTTCTCCGGATCGCCCTGATAGTCTGGAAGCTTCGGTCGCAAGCCCAACTCTGCCATATGACTCCAGATTCGGTCATGTCGCTGCTCCCAGCGTTTCCGACGTTCCTCCAACTCTTCCCCAGAGGGGCGCCATTTGCTTTTCAGAATCCTCCGAATAGCTTCGGGAGATACCTTAAACTCCTCTGCGAGGACAGCGGTCGTGAATTGGTCAGGCGCGATGTGATGTAAGTGACGTATACCCTCCATAGCATCAGGAGAAAGCTTCTTAAGTGGTGCCCATCCGTTCGGAAATTTCTTTTTCAAGGCTTCTTTGTGGATCTCCCATTCTTCAAGTCTTCTGGGAGGCTTGGGTCCGGTGCTTGTCGAGGTTTTCTTTGCGGATTTCTTGGAATCTTTCTTATAATCGCGGTCGCCTGTTTTCTTTTTGTTTATTGACTTTGATTCGGGTTTCGTTCGATGTGCGAAATTTGAACCTTTGGCGCTTGTCTTAGCTTTGGTAGAGAATTTTTTGTTCGAGCTTTTGTTTGAAGCATCCGGTTTGTCGCTGCTGGTGGTGGTGGTGGTGGTGGTGGCCGAAGGCTCGTCCTGAGTGATCGCTGGCGTTTTGGGCTTTTGGGCAGAAGGAACAGGAATGGAGTCAATGGGAACAGTGGTGACGGTACGTCTGCCTAGGAGATGGTGGCGTGGGAGAGAAAGACACGCTCGGTTCAAAGGCCGCATTAACGGATTGCGAAGCTGAGGAGCGACCTCGGAAGAGAAGACAGTCTGGAGGACATTGGGAAGCGAGATCTTCGCTGATCCGGGGCAGAAAGAGGGCATGACAAGCGAATTGCGATGTATATCGATTATTGAGGCGAAATATGTGTCGCATGCAGGGACGGAAATTTTGGAGATAAGCTGGAGGCTGACTGTTGCCTTACCTAAGGCTAAGATAAGGTCATGTGACGATCCTCTTGTCACTAGATTTTGACCAATTTTGCAAATTTCAACTCTCCATTTCATGAAAACGAATAATCATTTGTGGATTCAGAAAGACTGTTCAAACAAAACAGTATCATGGCTGACGTGCTGCAATTGCCCGCCATGCTAGATATGTAACAATGAGGTAACCAACAAGGATAGATGTACTCACAACACTTCACGATGTCATCTATTCGGCAAAGACAAGGATACTATTTTTTACCCAGATCTTGGGCTATTGGACGCTTGCTGTCCCTGTCATTCAATTTCGCTCTGAAGTGGAGCACCATATGACATATGTACGGAGTACGGAGTACGGTCACAGATAAGCATCCCCGCAAAAGTTTGTCCCCGCAAAGCCCGACACCTTGGAAAGCCTCGAGTGTGGAGCATGATGCATCTGACAGGAAGATTGGTCTCAGTGTCTCACTTTCCCCAATCATACTAGAGAAAGCGAATCTTCTATATAAGCACCTACAACCGTCATTTACGGCCTCAGGGATCCCTTGAGTTGGCCTACGCAAGCTCTATTGAATAGAAGACTGCCTTGTCCAACCAGTCGCCCAGCTTTGCAGGACGCGTTAACCATTGATCAACAGTCCGTGTTGGTTTCTATTAAATAGTGCGCCATCAGAGACAGGATATCATGAGCTTAGCGAGCAATTACGGGCATGGTTGTCGCAGAGATGATAACCAGCAATCCAACCAGTTGGCACTCCTCCGATATATAAAGCAACAAGCCTCCAAGCCCTAAACAGGAAACATCACCAAGTTATGAAGTCAGCTTACATAGTATCGGAAGCCTTGCCGGCGAAATATCAGTCTCTCTATGACCAATAAGGCCTCAGGTTACAACACGAACTATCAGTCTGGGACTGCTCATATAGACTCTACCAGATGCTGTGGGTTGACGCTGGTAGTATAAATTGGGCGGCGCAAAGGCTTCGGTAGATCTGCTGAGAAGCCCTCGATTGCGTCTGTAGGGTACACGAGAAGAGGATGTAGCATTGCCTGTATCTAATGCTTCGTGCTACATTGCTCCGCAACAATTGCTATTCCGCTGAACGGGCAATAAAAGATACTATGCCGCATAGATCTAGTGGCGAAAGTAAACCAATTTATCTCCACAATCCAGAGCCTTGCTGTTATATAGGCAGGGACTAGTTACTAGTAACCTAGAAGGTTGCACAGTAAGCAGGAACCAGGGACTGCTATGAGCTGGTGCCTCAGCCTTCAGGCAGAAGTCCGGAAAGTCGGCGATTGGCCCGCGTCTTGCTCTCCACAATGTATTCAGAACCTCAAACATTCCTACTAGTATCACCTACATTCTAATAATGAGAATTCATTCAAAAGAACAGATATATATGATATTTGCTGCTATTCCAAGTGCTTCAAGCGAGCTAGGCTCTTGCTCCCCCTCCTTGTCCTCTGCCAAGCCGAATGGTTCTTAAGATCGGATCCTGTCCGTGCTCGCATCTCCGCTCACTAAATCTTAGCAGCTCGAAAAGCTCCTGTCCAGATCTCTGCCTTAACCCTGATCTCCCGTCCTCAGCCTCACTTTGCTCCATCGTTGTCTTTGCATCCCAGTCCTACTCTCGTTGAAACTCTTCTCAGTCGCTCCTTAAGCTCGTTTTGCACTGGCCAATCGCTCACTTTCGCTGATCCGGATCTCAGCCCGTTCGTCCTCGAGCCCCTCCTATTTCGATCCCGCGGCCTCAGCGAGTCAGCTCGAATTAGCTTGGTAGAACGGGATATACCCAATCGACGGACGTCATCAATCGTTACCTGCTGCCACCTCTTTCCTCGACCGCTTCCCTTATCGCGCCTTCCTTTATAGTTCGACATACCATAGACGAAACTTTGTTTATCTTGAGGATATCGATTAAGCCCACTGCTTGCTCGACTCGGCAAATGCAGCCAAACATTCTACACATATCTGGGGACAGTGCAGCTTCTTAATCGCTCTTGGCCCCAACTTGTGATGGCGAACAACGCATTGAGCGTGAAAAGCAAGACTGCTGGCCCAAATCATTCACTCCGAATTACTCCCTCCAATTCTCCTTCGATCAGACCACCGACGCGCTCCGCTAAACCTTCCCTATATCAATCCGCCTTGTCGCTCCAGACGGTAATTGGCACGACGACAACTACACCTAATGGCTTCTCATATCACGATCAAAGCAACTCGTTTGCCTTTTGCGCTGGGTCCGCCGCTGTATTGGCGGAGGTGGACGAGAACAACAATTTGAAACAACGCTTCTTTCGTGCGCGACCAACAGCCATCAGTATCAATCCAATAACCTCGTTCTACAACCAGTGCACACCCCCGGCTACGCCTGATGCTAGAATAAAATCTCTGCCAGGTATCAAAGCCACACCCCACAACGGTAGCTACAATAGCTCACCGTCAACTGAAGCAGTGGACGGGTCTAGTCCCCGCGCATGGTCATCAAGGGAGAGGGTGAAGGCGGTCACCAGTGTTGCCATAAGCCCGAATGGGAGATTTCTTGCTCTAGGAGAGGTGAGTACAACGACGATCTGCTATCGATCCCTAAAATGACCATCTTAGACGGGCTACAACCCCCGAGTCCTGATATTTTCAACCGCAAAGGACGCACCTCCAGACGTCCCACTTTCGATACTCACGGAGCATACATTTGGTGTTCGTGCCCTTGCATGGAGCCCAAATTCGCAATATCTAGCAACCCTTGGGGATGTAAACGATGGTTTTCTTTTCGTATGGTCCATCGGCCTCAAAAATGGATCAGCAAAGCTCCACTCGACGAACAAATGCACAACCGTTGTTCGCGACATGACTTGGTTAGGCCAAGCTTTGATAACGTATGTATATCGGACGCTTTCTTTGATCATGTCCAGGTACTAAACATGCGACAGGGTGGGAGTTAGACACGTGAAAGTTTGGAGACTTCCAGATATCAGGCCTGTGTCTCCGTCCAAGTCTCGCACGAACACCGGCGAATCTTCCAACTTCGTCACGCCCAAGGCTCTATCTGGAAGGAACTGTGTGTTGAATGCGTTAGCTGACAGTATATTCACCAGCGTAGTTGGAATCTCTGATTCAGAGGCTATTGTCGGCACTGATTCAGGGGCACTCTGTCTTGTCGATGACAACGATGGCAACGCCAAGCTTACTCTCGTACAGCATATGGATTTCGGCATCACGTCACTAACAGCCGACTCGGACCGGGCTTGTATATGGATAGGTGGGCGTGGTAGACGTATACGGAGACGTGCGTTCGAGTCGCTGCGACCACCAAGCAATCTTCCATCTCCACGTTCCTTTAGTCGATCACCGACAGAGCCAAAGTCGAAGGAGCCAGCTATCACTTGCATTGGCTCCCTTGCCTCTCATATAATTACGGTGGACGGCACCAAAGCGATCCATGTCTATCCTGTCGATGACCTCACCGACGAAGGCGAACAGTGTGACACGGGAATTGCCATGCCGGCTCATCGAGACTCTGTTCTTGGTGTGGGACCGCTGAAGATACCAAATCATCTGAGTGCGGATTTCTTTACCTGGTCCAGCCGGGGTGTCGTCAAATTTTGGAACACCCAAGGCGAGTGCCGTGATTCGCGGACGGTCCCTGTTGAGCCATTTGCAGGCGGCGACGATGGCACCGCAAATGAGCTCAAGATATTGCGGACAAGTACGGACATGGGTCTGTTTGTATCCGGCGACAAAGTTGGCGTTCTACGGTATCTTACCTTGCAGTGCTTCAGTTTTGAGCCCTCTCGCTGACCTCTGTATAGTGTACTAGAAGGACAAGAGTGGAAGTGCGTGGACGAAGTCAGGGCCCACGGGGGCGAGATCACAGACATTGCCCTCTGTGAAACTACTGACTCGTGTGTGATTGCTAGCTCAGGTCGCGATCGGATGGTGCAGCTTTTTGAAAAGCGCGACAACAGCCTTCAGCTGATTCAGACCTTAGATGATCACGTCGGCGCAGTGACCCAACTTCTTTTTGTCAATCGAGGAGAGAGGCTACTATCTTCATCCGCGGATCGTACAGTTCTGATAAGAGAGCGTGTTACTCGTGAAACCGAAGGGAGTACCGCAATTGCCTACATGGTATCAAAAGTGATTACCTTGAGATCATCCCCGGTGTCAATGTCCCTCTCTCCGGATGACCCAGACACTGTCGTTTTCTCGACTGTGGATCGTTGCGTACACCAATACGACTGGACTTCCGGCCGTCACATCCACTCTTTCCGCGCTGCTGATTTCGAGTCGAATGATACAGTAATCATGGGTTCATTAACTGTGGCTTCTGCTATCCCCGGACAAACCCCTAGATTGCTTATAGGGGCCTCGGGAACAGACAAGTCAATCCGTGTATATGATATGGAAAAAGGTGCCTTTCTTACAGGCGAATTCGGCCACACGGAAGGTGTCAGCGACATTCAGCTGCTGGAAAGGGTTTCCGATGCGCCCAGAGATCAACCGGAGCGGATATTGATAAGCTCCGGCATTGACGGGGTAGTCATGATTTGGAACATATCAGTGCAATCACAGCAAACACCAGAAACTACGCAGGCAAGCTCCAACGACGAGGACGATGTTTCCTCAAAGGAGCCGACCTTATCTAGACCTCCTATACGGAAAGTGTTGTCCCGGCAAGACCTCGCAGGATATCAACGAACGGAGGGCTCAGGTTTGACCTCTGTTCCGGCACGCGACGGGCCGGAGCAGTCCCCGCTATTATTGCGCAGACTGTCGCGAGTATCTATCGTTCCAACACTGAAAAATGAGGGCTTGGTGCCAGCGACACCTCCCTCTGCACCGTCGCGTCGGTCGCCCACTTTGTCTGTTCGGCCAGAGAGGTTGCGAAATTCGCCGTCGCCACCCAGCCCAAAATCCACAGGTGCAAAAAAGACCATGGATTCACGCCGCCGCAACAATGGCCGCTGTTCGTCTCTCGATTTTCGGGCAAGGTCTCGAGCTTCTGGGAGAAGTGAATTCGGAAGTTTGAACATGTCAACTGAACAGGTTTGCCGCACTCTGAAAGCATACAGAAAGAAGCTCAACGGGTCGACTGAGTATTTACAATCTCAAAAAGAGCTAGAGCGAGAGCTAGGCCTCACGCTGCGCATTCTCAACTCACGGGCGAAAAAAGCTGAAACCCATAAAGGGGAGATTGAGACTGATAGCAGCGGCAAAGAAAATGAGAGAATTCCTCCACCTCCCCCCGTCCCGAGCAAAAGCGGACGCATACCCCGTCGGGTTCCGTCAACACCAAATCTGGGCCAAAAGAAATCGCCGAGGTATTCTCGTCGGCGCTCGCTTGACGCAGCAGGAGAAGGCTGATTTGCTCTGCGTTTTCTCTCTCATTCACACTCATTTACTTGATTTTCTCCTTTCCGATGGCGCTTCTTGGTAGTGTGGGACCTTTTTTGGAGTTAGTATCGATAGATCTTTGCATCATGCAAAGCGTGTGCTGCCAACGTTCTTTTGTCGTGTTGCGTTTTGTCTAGGCATAGCAGGTGTTGGGTTGTTTACGGGTACGGCTTTGCTTTTCTCTATCGCATCATGGGTCCTCCAGGACGTGAGAATTGCGGCCCTCAAAGGTTGCATTTCGTTGATTCTTGCTTTTGCCAATTCTGTCTTCTTTTCGAGCCAGCTTTGGCTTGGTGGTCTGGTTCTGGACCACGATAGGGTCTTACTTGATTTCCTGCTTGGTTCTAGATCTACCTGCGCAGGCTTCTAGACAGTTTCCACAATGATACCCATCTGCATACGATCCTCCGAAGCCTCTTTAGGCCGCCGGCTCTAGAGCCTATTGCTAGGTTGGTGCTAGGCTGTCCCATGTTGATATTATATGTACACAAGGTCGGTTCCGTAAAGAACCTTACTAGGCTTCAAGGTGCGATGACCAATCCACTAAGTGTTGGCTCAACAAGTCTACGCCAGTGGCACATGCCGCTCATACTCGGATAGCCACATCGTAAGAAACGATTATTATGGTCTAATAAGGAGAATGAACTAGTGGCTCGATGTTGGTGGCACGTGTTACACTATTTCACATGCTACCGTCAGTTAGTCAGGGTTTGGCCATGGCGGGACCCTATTTCGCCCTTCCTCCAGATTATGCTTCATACTCTTAACAGCCTCAAGTAATTCTATAACCACCCGGCGCTGGTTTTCTTTCATGATGTCGGCCTAAATCACAGTTCTCTAGGCATGCACATAGATATATAAATTCCAGGCCTTCACATTCGACTTCCACCTTCCACTGTAGAAAATATAGAACGCCAGTTCAATTCAAGAGCTCGACGAAATTGAGTGTGATGTTGCTCAAGCACCCTTAGAACTAGGTTGAAGCTTCGCAAAATTCTTCCTGAGAAGCCTACCCAGCTCCCCACGGTCATCGCCTATCAAATCCGCCAGCCCAATCGCCTTCCCCGCCCACCGCCGACAGTCTCCATCCGCAGAGATCAGGAAGAACTCGACTGCGCGATTGAATGCCGTTGTTGCAAGCCATTGGACCTCGTCTTTCGGGTAAGTGATGGAGTTGGAGTTAGACTTCGAGTCTGGTTCGCGGCGAGCAAGCATGAGGGCTTGGTCGAGGACGGACTCGGCGAGAATGTACTCTTCTGCTTGTAGTGAGAGGGAGAAGAGGCAGCGGAGATGGCGGGGGAAGTACTCGGCGAAGTTTGGGGAGTTGGTGCTGAGAAATGGCGAGGGCGAGGAGTGGAATGTTCGGATTATTTGCTGTGATTGGGTTGCATGTTTAGTGAGTGTTTGGCTAGTTAGATGTAGTTATATGCCTGGCGTACCTTGACGGCTTTTGATAAGTATGACGAAGGAGCCCCGGAACGAAGAAGGCAGTCGAGGAAGACCGAGCTGAGTTTGGCGCCTACGACGGGGTTTGAAGTCTCGATTATCGTTGTGAGGTCACCCCATTGATGAAGGTGGACAGCGGCTTCGAAGTCGAATGATAGGATAATGCGGTATCTGTCTAGCCATGTGTGCTCGTGTGACTTTATGATCGAATCAATGCCTAGAGATTGGATATAGATTTGAAATTGTTTGATGGCTTCGCGGGCTTCTCTGTAATGCCGTTCCTAAATAATGGTTAGCTTGGAACACGGAGGGGATACATCCATATACTTTTCTGGTAGATTTCTTTTCGTTTCGAGCTTCTGTAACTACAATCATAGATCGGAGGAAAGTGCATTTTAGATAGTGTTCTAGGAGATCAGTATTTGGCTCTTTCTTTGTGTTCTTCTGATCTAGCTCCATGAACTGCGCGGGATATTAGCATAGAGTTGCAGAAATGCGTTGAAGACATCACCTTGGTGGATATATTGAGCAACTTGACAATATTCGGCAGTGGTGACAGTTTATATAATTCGAGCGCGATACCGTAGCTTTTACAAGCGAGCCAGCGTAACTCATCGGACGAAAATGGCTCCCTTTGACCGGTGTCGGCTGCGGTCAATGCTAAGCGATGATTAGCTATATCCATCTCATTGAAGACTAAGTGGACTTACCTGACTCTAGCAAAGAGCTTACGGGCCCGAGCGAGTCTTCATGGTTCGCTGTGTTCTCGCGTACAGCACATATGACGTCGAGCAGCAATTGGGGAATCTGCAGTCGTCCAAAACCGCTGTCATCCAGAGCTGCCATGACACCCTCAAGGCTTTGCAGCGCTATACATGTCTTTCCTAGCTGTAGCGCATCCGCTACGCAGGACCAGATGTACGTGGCTTCTGCGCCTTGTCTGCAGAGTAACTGAATGTAGATAATGGCTTTAACCTTCTCAGCCAAAGTGCACGCTATAAGTAAAGAAAGCTCATGACTTACCGAGAGATGCATCATCTGCGAGAAGAGCCAGTCTGTACATCAGATACAGCGTGAGCGGGCATGATTTGCAGTCATCTGGTATTTCGTCGAATACCTGGCGCGCGGTAGAGGGGTCATACTTCTCCAAGACACAGAGGATGAGCTTTCTGTGGCACGTTAGTCGAGAAAAGGCGCGCGCCATTGTATCATACCGGAAGGACTTGGTTTCAATGTCTGGAGCCTGCTTGAACATAGGTTGCTGTAGAAGGAAACGGCACCATTGTTCTGCTGTGGAGGTTGAACCTTTTGATAGCATTGTGTCAATATACTTCCAGATGAGCTGCTTCCTGTCAGTATCTGGGACATCACGGCATTGTGCAAGGCTTACGATTAGAGACGCCTGCGTCGCATCTTCGCTCGGCTTGCTCAAGCCACAATCCGTCAATACCTGCGCTGCTGCTTCAGCTAGCCTCGGGCATTTATCCTCACTGGGGCCGGTGCCCGTCAATGTCCAGATGACTGAGACGAAGATCTTCTCCATCCATTGCTCTTTGGTACTCAGATCAAGAGCCGCGAGCTTGCTCAGTAGTTGCCCACAGGCTTCAACGAAAAGTTGCGGACTTGGAGGTGTCAGTCATAGTCAGAAGCACAAATAAGGGGCTGTACTTGCCTCAAGCTTCCCAGCTTCATGACATAGTGGTAAACTCTGCAGAAACAAGTTAGTCAGGAGCGACTATCGCACAGGGGTACTCGCATCTTGACTCCTGCATCGTCGTCACCCATTTCCTTGATTGAGTACTTGAGTGCTGCTTCATTGTAAGCCACTATCGGCCGCAATTGTAGGCCGCGTAATGGCTTACTTTCGAAATATTCTTCGTTCGGTGCATCCTTGTTGAGGACCTCGAGGGAGAACACCAGGACAGGGAAGGAATCGCCGTACTCCTGAGGCGGGGATTAGGGGGACACACCACTCGAATGCTGTACTTACAGTTCTCAACAGGTCCAGGGCTCTGCGAAGCTCATTCTGGGAGGCTGCGGTAGTAAGATGAAGGTTGGACCGTGCTGCCGTGGTTAGTATAAAACAGCATTATGAGCGCGGTATCCCACCATAAGCATGCAAGACCAACAGCCTCTTGTCCTTCAGCCCCAGCGCAACATCCTGGCTTATATCGCTCGGCCACATCTCGCATACCTTCAGGGCCCTGGCCAGCCACGTCGATGCCTTGTCAAACTGACCAGCCTTGAGCGCCGACTCCCCAATCGTATAGCATATATCCACGATGACCCTCTGTTGCTCCGTCGATTTGGACTCTGGGATCTTCGTAAACATGTGGTCTGCAATGTGTAGCCGTTTCTGGGCCCAAGCCTTTCATCTGCCTGTCAGCAGGGCTTGCTATTTGACAGTCATTGCTGCTCACCAGATATACACGTAGCATGTAGTATTCAGTGGCAACGATCTCAGACTTGACGATCTCGGTATCGGGCTTAGATCTCTCGATCAGATCTAATCTGGCAGCGGCCGATTCCATCATCTTCTGTGCCAGACTGATAAGATCGTGCTCTGATCTTCTTTTTAACATGATCCACGCAGGCCAGACAGGCTGGACCCCAGATGGAAACGACATACCTATGCAAGCCTTGACAACCTTGAACGAAAGTTCAAGACTTCGATAGTTACCTAAGCCGCGCAAAAACAAGCGGTCAGTCCTCGTTTGCCAGTGCGTACCCAGTGGATGTAGGTACTCGTACCCGGACCTGTCGTCGGTGCGGCGGCATCTAGCATTGAGTAGGCGAGAGCTCTCACTGCTGCCCTTTAGCAGAGGCAAGAGACATCGCCGTTAATAGTACCTTTGCATAGTAGTACGGCATCATTATTCTCATCGGTAGTTCGCAATTGCAGTAGGCGAATGTTCCATAGCTTTGTTCCTTCGTTATCTAGTTGCCGGCGAGTAGACGGGGAAATAGAGTCTGCAACGAGGGGAAGCCGACGCAAGGTCTTCTCGAGCAACTCCAGGGTCTCTTGGTTGAGAGCTGTAGTACCGGGAACGTCATTTTGGGTGAGTTGGTTATGGAGGCCCGCGGCAAGAGCTGGAAAGAGAGTATGACGGATCAGCATGCCGTTCGTACACATTATATAGGCTTACCCAGTATAGCTTGTAATTGGTCTTTCAGTTTGATAGAGTGCTTTGCTGCCATAGCGTTGAGGTAGTTTATGAGGCAATACTTTGAGGACGGAGGGAACAATACTTGAAAAGGAATCCCAAGGGGTAGGCACATGATCACTCTCGGTAGGTGTAGATACATAGAATTTGGAACAGGCAGACCCAACTGAAAGTCGAAAGGTTCTTTGCGGCAAAAATGTGATGACAAAAAATATCCTTTCAGCAAGAATATAATACAGCACTTCGCAGTAGCCATGGTATATACGAAAGTCAATATGTAGAGTCGAATATGATTGCGACCCGGGCAATAAAAGGAAAGCAAACCAGTACCCGATAAATGTACCCAATAGTCCCATAACGCCAATTTGTGAAATGGCATTTGCCTAAACTATTTGCTATCTCGCTGTGATGGTAGGAAGTTCCCGACAATAAGAGATGGACTGGAAGCAACCGAGTCAGAGAGGTCGCACCAAGCCTGGTAATAATAGGTCACTTACATGTTGTGATTGTCTCTCCGGATAGTGAATGAGAAGCAGCACGGTATCCCTTCGCTCGGAGTGGTGGCATTCGGATTTTTCAAGGTGCAGCTCGTGAGCATCGCTTTTTGGGTGTTATCAAAGGCGATGGCGCCGAATTTCTCCCAGTAGCTCACAAGCTGATCTTCCACAATGATTTCATGAATAGCCAGCTTACCCTGTATAGGAACAACGTCAGAATAGTACTGAGAAGGAAATGGTCTTGACAGCTCACGTCTCTGAGAACCTCGATGGGAACGCCGATTAACTCCGCCATTTCCTTATTACCACGGAAAATTTCACCCGTTCGCCTCCAGCAGCACGCGGGTATCGCCATACTGGCAAAAACACGATCGTATTCCATCAAGCTTCGCTCGAACCACATCTCCACCAGTATGAGTTCGATATCCGTCAACTTCTGCATCCTGTCGCGGAATTTGGGCCGGAACTTGTCTAGTTGCCGAGCAATCTTTTGTCGCGAGGACAGCTGAAGGTGCTTCTCCATGTAAGAGCTCAGCCTTGCATAACCCTTGACGTAGTTGAACGGCCGCAATAGACCGGCGTCGTATTTTGCTTTGAGAAGTTTATTCATGCGCTCTTCTGGTGGATCGGATCCGGCGGGGTCTGCAGCCGTCATATAATACGTTTCCCTTGCTTTGTCGTTTCCAATCATAGTCCCCGAAGTAGTGTCGCCCTGATTCTGCTGGTTTTGCGGTGGTTGCAGAGGTTGTGCCTGCTGAAGTAGCGATGTACTGGGCCCTCCCAGCACAGCCATGGAGTTGATTAACGTTGGATCTGAATACATTCTCTGCATATCGTCGTTCTGGAAAATGCTGCCATCGTCTAAGAGACTGTTGCTGAGGAAGTCACCTAAAAGATTGTATTCGTTCGTAACTTCCGGCGCGTTGAACATATAAGAAGGGTGGAAAGTATGCATGTCTTGGAACTGGTTTTGGCCACTGACCCAGTCATTGTATCCGAGAACTACAAAGCTATCAGCAAGGCGCCCGAGTGAAGAGTATGCGAAACTGGACAAACGCTTACGCTGCTGTTGAGAAGTAACACCCATGTTTTGGCTTGTAGAAGAAGACATGGGCCCCGGTTGCACCGCATTCATAGAGGACGAAGTAAGGCCAAGGGGCCCGTCGCCCAGAATCTGCTGGCCTGCAGCATCTTGAATATCAACCTTCCGGGGCATGGCGTGGACATTCGAGTACTCGTTATTCGAAGAGCCCTCCTCGTCTGCAGCAGACTGCTCGTGCTCACTACGCGATCGCTTCGATGGTTCTCTCGGTTCGTCATGACACAGGTGTCCGATATTGCGCTTTATACATCGAGTGCAGGGTCGTTCCTTGATTTACGGAAAGAGGATAGTCAGCAACAATTCGTGTTCTTCCATCCTGCGATACGTTTCACAAGGACTCGCGTGCGGGTATAATTCAAGGTATGTCTTACCGAATCGCAAGTCATATGCTGTAACACGTGAGCAAGGGGCCTTCCGTCAGCAAAGGAATACCAATGAAGATCTGGATCGGAGGGGTGTTTGAGCACCCGAGCTCATATTTCTTTTTCACATCCCAGCAACAGAGGGAGGGTGAGGGGCTGTAAAGAGAGGGGCCGATGGTGAAGAAGAAAAACCCCCACGGGGTGATAGGCTTACCGATCGCCGACAATAGACGCATGCTGCAAGCGTAGCACATTGATTAGCAACGTGGTCTGGATGTTGTAGGCGGAGCAGACGTAGGGAACCGCTGTCGTGGCCTGCCAGGATGTGAGCTCTTACCATGATTGACCTTGCGCCGTTTCTTCGGGCTGGTGCGTGGCCCCGCAGGAGTGCTACTTTCGGCCTTTGGAGCTGGCGATGTTTGCGCGCTTTCCTTTGCATTTGAGTCGCTTTTTCTGACCGCGGTCCCATCTGGGATGTTGCTCGAGGTTGGATTTTCCACCGCTCCATTGCTGGCGTGTTGATCTGGGGCGACACCCGGTTGCGCAGTAGTTTTCTCCGTCATTGATCGCGAGGCGCAAAGCTGTTGCGCAGAGACCGGCTCGCTGCTGTCGCGATCGCTGTTCGGTCGGGAACACAGGGGACAGAGTGAGATGGGCACTTGCAGGCACCGACGTTGGTTGAGCCGAAGGGAGGACGAGCAACCATCGGTTCAGCTGCACACTAGTAACGGCGAAGCTGGAGATACATGCGACCACAATTTCCCCGCCGATTCAGCGGGACTCGCAGGCACTTTGGGCTTGGGCTCTGGCACTACTCTGGCAGAGTGGGCTCTCAGTCTCGGCAGCCAAATTCAATTCCCGGCGTTCTCCGCATTGGGAATCGCCGCTCTTTTAAAGGCGGCTCAGCGACACGGCTCAGCCTCGGAAAGATCTTGCCTACGGTACTCTGTGCCGAACTCATGTGCGGCCAAATGCCTCGGTTTTATTAACTATATATCAGGTTCATATTCTCAGGCTTTTTTCTTGAGCATACGTCAGAATTGGGAGCAGTTTCAATTCCTCTGCTCTCCAAAGCGGTCCGTGAGCATGGAGATCCGCTGGGCCGGTTATGGTCAAAGCTACGTAGCTTCAGACAGCATGCGTTCAACCTCAAAACTGGCTAACAAACGCTCCGATCAACTGTATACTCTCTATTTTGAGGGCAGGCGTTGGCTTGCTCCAATACCAAAACCTGGTTCACCCGGGAAGTTTCATGTTGTTGCATGTTTCATCACAGTGTATCCAACGCGCAAGGTACTTATCTTGCAAGAGTTTGGTTGCTGTAGCCTGCCGTCTTACACCGCAGCTCAACGGTTGAAGGACCGCGCTGCCTGGGCCATCAAACGGTCGCACATTTGGATAGGGGGCGGTTTCGCTGACTCGCCGGGTTCATGTGCATGTACAATGCTGATCTTGAAAAGCTTAGTTTTAGGAGCATGCCTTGGACGCTTCAATTGCTCACTCAAGGCAACCTCAGTCATCAGGCAGAGTTGCTAGAGTGAGCGCCGTTTGTGACCGTTTGATGGCATCATTAAGTCCAGCAAGAGGGGCTGTGTTGCTTTGCATCGATTTCAGGTGGTTGTTCAGCTGCTTTAGTAGACCTGACACTTCCGGGTCGGTCTCGAGCTAGAGAACAACACGTCAGACAAGGGCACATAGATGAGCATCCAGGTACCTACCTCACTAAAGTCCAGCGAGTCCTTTGCGAAAGAGAGGTTGAACCCGGAAGGCGCTTTGGTTTGTTTCTCGGATCCATCTTGGAGCTGTCGGAGAACAGGATGCTCCTGCCATCAATTAGCGACACACCAAAGCCAATGGCGGCAGAACAGCATACATTCTTCATCTGCCTCTTCCGATCTGACTCGGCGCGCTTAGCGTTTTTCTCCAGCTCCTGCAACTGCTTTGTTTCCTTTGCGAGAAGGGCCTCCTCCTTCGCAATCTCATTATTCAGCAGATCGATACTGTCGTTCATCGTAGACAGAGAGGCCTCTAGCGCGCTCTGAATAAGCATGTCAGTATGTCTGCATCCGCAGCTAAATTGAAGAGACACACATGTTCCTTAAGGGCCGCTTCGTACTCGAACACGGAGTCTTTCGTCATCGGGGGAAACGGCATTCGCGGCAGTCGCTTTCCAAGACTAAGACACACCATATCAATCAGCAACATGCACAAATAGCAAAACGCGCAGGTACATACTTTTTCACAACAGCCTGGACAGCTGCCTGAGCTTCGTAGCGTTTCCGCTCATTCTGTTGCCGGACGATAACAGGACGTTCAAGAGCTCGTAGCATGTCACGGATTTTGTCTTGCGTCGGTTCTGGAAGCGTAGACCATTTGGATTTGATTGTTCTCTCTGATATATGCCGCACTTGAGGCTTCAGGTAGGCGTAGGACTTCTTGCGCCGACTGTTCTTGTCTTGGTCGGGCGCATCGTCGGAATGCTTGCGTTTTGGAGGCATCGTGAAGAGTCGAGTGTCACCTGAGCTTCCTCTGGGAATATATTCGTATGCGTGTCAGAAGGAGGTTATGATTAAACTTCAATTTGCATATTATTTGAGGGGTTGCGGAGTGCGGACTGTTAAATGCCCCCGGACGCGCCAAGCAGCATAACAGCTGGAGTCACCTGCGCATATCCAGCATAACAAACATTACGGAGTACGCTAATCCGCTTTGGAATAGCAGCTTGGACCACCTACAACCTCTCCTCATTCATAGATTTTCACATGTTTCAGTCTGGTTGATCTAAGCTCTGTGAGATGATGTCATCATATTCTTCTCTATTCATCATATCATTATAATGTACTATTCACATTGAGGGTTGTAGCAATGGTGCTGGGTATAAACATCAACCCGATGTCAATAAAATATAGGAGAGGTACCATATCCTGGACCAAGATTGCAGCGAGGTGAACGCCTATAGTTTCGCCAGTAGAGCCCGCATCCCGCGGGGCCACCAGAACGCTAAACTGCTTCAATCAAGCCTGAAAAAGAAGACCAAGGGGGTCTGGTAGGAAGCAAAGGGGTCATCATCATGTAATTATCATTCTCATGGCCGCATCATCTCATCAGATTGTTCCTGCCATTTGAAAGCAACATTATGTCCAGTTGCTTTTTCAGCTGCTCATTGCCTGTTATGATATCCTCCAGCCAGTCGGCGGCCTGGGTGAGCACAGCGCTCTTGCTGAATCCCCCACCTCTTAACCCGGGAACAAGTGTGCACAGATCATCAAACCCTTGTTTGATGAGGTTTCTCCGCTTCTGTTCTGAGTGTATGTGATTGCTTCGTTTTTGCTCTTCTGTCAAGTTCTCTCGGGGCTTTGAGCTTTGTGATGGTCTCGACTTGCGAACTGTGTCAGTGGAGAGTCGTCTACCAGAGCCCTTGGAGCGTTTTGTCCGTTGCTTGGAAGTAATCCCATCAGAAATTTCATCGTCTTCCTCTTTGACCAATAGTCTTTGTTTCTTCTTCGGATGCGACAAGTCTTCTATGCTGTCGACGTAGTCTTTTCGCAATCCGCTGTTCTGATTGATCGCTTCAGATTCGAACGGAATAGTTTGATGGCTTACACGACGATCCGGCGTCGGTGGTCGTGTATTGGCGGCGCTGCTTTGTCGTTCTAGGCATTGTAATTTCTCCATCATTTCCTTCGTCCGTTGTTCCTCATCAGGCTGATCAGGAGGCGCCACATATCCCCTATCCATGAAGCTAGAATCGGAGCCCCAGTGCAATGGCTGGACTTTGGCGGTCATTTGTCGCTCAGCTGAGATTGGCTCTTGCACGTCGAAGAACATTTCCGTAGTGTGATACCCAGCTGATATATGTGCTCTAGAGGATACGCTGGTCCGCCTGTCCGGCATATGGCCAGTGTGTTGCCGCTCTTTACCGGTCCCATTGAGTTGTAAGTAGTCGACATTAGAGAATGCGAGCGGTTGATTCCCATAAGCGGAGTTGGTCTCGCTGTTGTTCATCCCGTTCTGGAAGAGCATAGACGCGGCACTCACTACTTCCGGGTTCGGCTGCTCGGGCATATTTCCAAAGGACTTTTCAACGCTCCGATGAGAGAATGACGGCGGGTGAAGAGGAGGAAGGGAAGAGGTAGAGCCTTCGAACGTTGGCGGCAGTTCATTTGACCAGTCAAAGCCCGAGAGGAAAGTGCCGTTCGTGTCATTTTGCGAGGCCGGAAACCAGAAGTCGTTCGAGAAAGGGTTAGTGTTTATCGTGGTGAGGAAATTATCAAGCATGTTCGATTCGGTATCATTAAGGAGCGGCGGACCGACAGGTGAAGCTGGAGCAGGTTCGTAGGGTATGTCCTCAGGGAAATCATGGAAAGAATCTGCAAGCAAGAGATATGATTAGAGTCAATACAGTCAAATCCAGTAAAATGATGAAGACTCACAGCCAAACATTTGTGCTGAATTATTGCGTACATGTCGGCCTTGCGCACCATTTGGGGGATTCATGCTCATCATTGCAACCTCGTCAGAAGGATATAATGGAAGTATATTTGGAGGATATGCAAGTTATCGTGCACCGACATCTACTGGTGCAGGTAGCGAGCGACATACAAGCCGACTCAGCATACCTTGACCCGCAGCTGTGCAGGCGATCGCAAATGCTGTTTCGATGCTTCCGTATGCGCGGTGAGAAAGTTCCTCGAGGAGTTGGGATAATTTGAAGCTCAAGGTCGACGTCGCCCGCTGAACAGGGCACTGGGCAAGAAGCTTCTTTGTGTATGCAGGAAGACGGTGCTGTAGGTTTTGAGAGAGGGAAAGTGAAAAAGTGTATATGTAATAACCAGGCCACGGTTCAAAAGTTGAGGACAAAGAAATTATAGCACGAAGTTAAATCCAGTTAGAAATAAGCGCGCATCCCCCACAGTCATCAGGAAGCCAGAGGCGATGAAGAACTGAATATAGCAATAGGGTTGATGGCAGAGGTGATGCGCAAGGCATAATCACATGCCAGCAGTCCTGGGCTCTTTCTAGCTCCCGTGACTAACCCCAATACAAATTACGGCGGTCTTGCCGGCCATGGCCGCCACTACTACTGCCTACTCCGTAGACGGACCCTCGACCTCGGACGAACTTCCTTGGAGACGCCGGATTTAGCATCCCTTGCGAGGTCCTTTATCAACCCCGTCCAATGACACTGTGGTTGTACTTCTATCTTTTCAATTCTCCTAGGAACCTCTTCCCTGCTTTTTGCCTTTTTGCTGTTACTATTCATTTACACCTGAATCGCCCGCCACAAGTCTTTTCGTGGCACAACAGCCCGCCGCCAAATTGGGCTTGTTGATTCTATCCAGGACTACGGAGACTGCCCCACTGCACCCTAAGGAACTCCTACTCCTGGGCGTGCCACAACCGCGTACCTGGCATCCTGCACCCCCGGATTTTGACGAGACCTGTGGATAATTGCCATCTGCCGGGCGGATTTTGGCGGAGAGCTACCCCTGAACCAATTTGTCTTGACACCAGCTTTCTCCAGTGTCGGAGGCGACGTCGGCTCGCGTAGCACGGCACACGGTAGATCATACCTAAGGATCCTCCCCAGGCAATCTAGGGGCTAGGGCCAACTTCAGTAGATTGCCTGAGCCTACAAACGTACGGGGTGATCACTCGGATATTGAGGATCTTCGCTCTTCCCCGAAGAACTTAACGCTTTGGTCACGTCCCCAGAAGCAGCATATCTACTCAGACTGTACGACTCATCAGTGTACGATGATTGGGTACTTAGGTCATGGTCGGAGCGCGCTGACTCTACTTCACAGGCCGTTATACTGCAATTATCCTACTTCGTTAGCTGTCATGAACTAGAGGATTCGAGACGCGATGGATCCTGCTGCGCTCATTCGCAGGCACCATCGAACCGCGCGACTACTCAAGCCGTAAGTACTACCTTTTGTGGGAGCTGTGTTACTTCTATGCAACTTGGAGGGTACGCAACCGTGCCACTGGTGCTGAAGCATTGTTGATTGGTATTGGAATGTTTATCCAGAGTTCTGCGAGCTTATGCGTTGGGATATTTGTCTTCAGCGACGCCTAAGATCATAGCGTGCCTGCGGCGCCTCTGGAGCAATAATGACTGGAGCTACCGACGGAAATTGGAGGAGGTATGTATCTCCCCCCATCCCGTCTGGCTTCCTATGTAGCAAAGATCATGGATATCCTTCTATACCAGGCTATCCGGTCTAAGCCTATGTTGCCCTCGTTTGTCCGATGCGGAAAGTAATATTAATGCCTTACGTACACAGTTGGTCCGAGTGCTAGCGGGCACACTGCGCCTGGAAAGCTTCCCGACTTTCTGTGGAGTGCTTGTTGGGGGATCAACTTTTCTCCCACTGCTGACTTTAAGAGTCTTACAAACCGTTTGTCGTAGACTTGGCTCAGACCCCAAGAGCTTAAGCTCCAGGAGAGTCTTCCAACTGATCCAATTGGCTACTGCATTTGTATCTGCGTGGTTCAGTTTCCATATTCTGAATAGGCGACCGGTCCCTTTACAGAACGTGTACGGCCAGTCCCAAAATGAGACTTGCCCGGAAACAACTGATCTCAAGCAAACAACTAGGCTGTATTCACACCATTCGCCTCAATATGCCGGAAGGACTATGGACCTCACGCTTTTCACAGTCGCTCGAGCACTAGATTCGCTGGCCTGCATCTCTTGGAGCTGGGCGCAGCAGAAATGGAGAGGCGGCCGTCACCGAACTTTGAGGGATATAATCCCTGGACTTGCAGACTCTGCGGTCTTTGCTGCAAGTGCGGCAGTGGTGATGTGGGCTTGGTTCTACGCCCCGGAAAGATTACCAAGATCTTATGCAAAGTGGATTGGAGAAGCGGCCAAGGTAGACGAACGCTTGATTGAGGCTCTTCGCCGCGCACGGAGAGGTATCTTCGTCTACGGAAAGGACACTGGACAGGCTCCGCTACTCGAGTCAATGTGCAAAGACTTTGGCTGGCCTACCAAATGGGGCGACCCGGCCAAAACCATCCCAATCCCCTGTGAAATGGTGCACATGGGATGCGGCCCTAGCTGTGAGAAGCACGCTGTCTCTCGGTTCGTCAGGACATTTAAGTTTGCTTGTGCAACCTACATTCCACTCCAAATTGCCTTCCGTTTACGCTCCATGAAGTCAGCGGCGCCAATCCGACGGGCTATATCCGATGCTTTGCGGTCCTCCTCGTTTCTTGCCTCATTCGTCAGTTTATTCTACTATTCGGTCTGCCTTAGCCGAACAAGGCTGGGCCCAAGACTCTTTGACAAGACAAAGGTTACACCGCAGATGTGGGACTCTGGACTCTGCGTCGGGGCTGGATGCGCAATGTGTGGTTGGAGTATTTTGGTCGAGCATGCAAAAAAGCGACAGGAGATTGCATTGTTTGTGGCACCCAGGGCCGCAGCAACTGTGCTACCCAGGGTTTATGATCAGAAGGTGAGATTGAGTCCATCCATAAATCAACTTGCCCTGCCTGGCTGGGGATGGTTCTGGTTACACTGCTTCAGGCGTGCCCATTGCGCGTGTCACAAGCACCTTTTGCTGCAACGTGCTTCATTTCGAGGGTCCAACTCTAACTAATTGGAATTTTTCTCTAGTATCTATATCGGGAGCGCGTTGCATTCGCTATCAGTGCGGCTGTCCTTCTTACCTGTCTCAGAGAAAGCCCCGACATGGTTCGAGGAGTCTTTGGCAGGATTGGACGGAGTATCATGAATTGACCTCTTCAAGCGGGTGTATTATTACCTTTTTTGTGGGTGCTGGCCGGTCAATGCCTTGGACGGACGCCTTAGACGAACTGTTCTTATTCTTATGTATTATACACGAAATCAACAATACTTCATACAAGCTGACACTGGCAGCATATGTACCGTACGTACCCTGTAGATGTACGTAGGGCTAGTCAGTGGTTCCTGACAGTGGAGCCAGCCTTATCGATAAGAATGTCACGTGCATCTAAATCCCTCGTCGGCCGATCGTGCGATGTTTGTCCTCCGTTGATATCCGCAACTCGATTATAGCCATGTTTTCTCGACTGACGCCTTTATGGGGTCGGTGTTTATCCCGAGGGGCTGGAGCACCTCGAACTGTGTTCTTTCAGTCTGAGAGCATAGCGACTGGGAGGAGGTTCTTTACGCGCAATGCCTGTCTTCATCAATCATCATCGTCAGCACCATTCAACACGCCACAATCGCAGAAGCGCAATGCGTCCACGATGTACGCTGTCCCAGTTCCATCAAAAGCGCTCGCTAATATACATCAGGTACTACACGATTAGCATAATTCTCGGCACCGTCGCCCTCGCCTACGGCTCCGTCCCGTTGTACAAAATGGTCTGTCTCTAGCCTGTCTCTAGCCCTTCCACTCGCTCCCCGCAACGCCCCGCATCATGCAATTGTAAGTCCTCAAGCTAACCAACACTTATTTCAGATCTGTCAACAAACCGGATGGAACGGACAGCCCGTTTTAACCCACCGCGCCGGCGGCGACGGCGACACCTCATCGCGCGTAACACCCGTAACGGACTCGCGCCGCCTACGGATTACATTCAACGGCTCGGTATCTGACGTGCTCCCCTGGAAGTTCACGCCGCAACAGCGCGAAGTCCGCGTGCTGCCCGGCGAGACGGCGCTGGCCTTCTACACAGCTACCAACAAGGGCCCCGCGGATATCATCGGTGTTGCGACGTACAGTGTCACGCCTGGTCAGGTCGCGCCGTACTTTAGCAAGATCCAGTGCTTTTGCTTCGAGGAACAGAAGCTTAATGCGGGAGAGAGCGTCGATATGCCTGTTTTCTTCTTTATTGACCCGGATTTTGTCAATGACCCTGCTATGCGCGGGATTGATACGATTACGCTTTCTTATACTTTCTTCAGTATGTTTTCCTGTGTTTGTGGATGACTGGGGTTGAGCTGAATGGTTGCTGACGCAAAATCTTTAGAAGCGCGATATGATGACAATGGTGTGCTTAAGCCCATTGCGGGCAGCTGATACCCTACGATACTATGACCCGGTGAACCCAGGTTATTGAACCCAGGCTCCCAGCCCTCGATAAGCTGTGGCTGAACGTCGGCAAGAGTCGAGACCGTGTCCATTGGGCACATGTTCCGCACTCCCCTAGGCACTCCTTGAAGTGTACTTACCACCCTCCTCAAAATCACTATATAAATGTACCATAGCAAGCACAATTGGCGTTCTGGGGCATGAATCATAGCCTTTGTATATACTGGCAACTTCAATGATATTCACAAGGTCTAGAAGGCCCACTGGCGGACAAGTATGGTGCAGACAAGGTTGATAATACAAGCAGTGCGTTGCAAACTGTTAGGTCAAGCATCGAGTCTGAGACTACGCTGTAGCCCGGCCTGTCATTACCTTGGTACTTCGCAGTCGTTTGCCTTTGCACGCCTATCCGCAGTCTCGGGTATGTGCGGTAGGTACATATGCAGGTATGATCGCCTCAAACCTGCGAAGATTCCCGCTTACTTTGAGTGCAATCACAGAATGCCTGACGAAGATGTTGTCTAGATTAGACGGCATATACGTGGCTCTGAGCACCGCATCCAGGGTAGTGCTGTTCTTTGCCCAAATCACACACGGCGAAGCATCCCAGTTGCTGAACGTCACAGGATGATTGCTGATATTAAGAGCCAGGTAGACAACCAGGCTCATCTGAGTGGAATTACCTTGGCATTGACCAGGGAAGTGCCTGGATGAAAGAGCCGGAATATATATCCACTCTGTCCACCACACGGGTCACATCATTTTACCATATGCTCATGTCGATGATGCTCCTCAATATATAACACATCGAAAAGGCTTTTCAATCGCACCCTTAGGAGCCAGTTTTTGTGTCAAGTTTTAGGGTACTCATCAAGGACGCAGAACAGCTTTCGAGCCCATTCTGGTTGACCCAGCAACGGCCGCAACAATCACACTATTTCTTATCGATAAGCCCCCCAACCCACTTATTGTTCCATGAATCCAGCACCAAAAACCAAACTTTACTACAACCTCACCCTTTATCTCCCTTCCAGAAAGGCACAAAGCAAGCACAATGCCTCCACAGAAACCAGCACCAGCAGCACCCAGTAACCACCTCCTCTTCGACCCCTGGAACTCCGCCTCCTCCGGTCATCAGCGCTCCGAGTCAAATCCCGGCACTGCATGGCGACGAACCCGTGAAGCAAAGCTCGCGCAGCAGTTCCGCTCGGGCGACTGTACGATAAACTCGCTTGTCTATGATGGCATAGGCCGGACATATGAGAAGGGCGAGTGGGAGTGGGATTGGGGCGGTGACGCGAAGGGAGGAAGAGGTGGGGATGGTCGAAGTGGCAGTGGGAGGGCGAAGAGGGCTGTCGACCAGGACTCAAAGCAGAGGGATATTCGGAGTATGATGGGGCTGGGGAAGGGGGTCTTTTCAGCGGAATTAGGTTTGGGATTGGGGAATAAGAAGGGTACGGGTGCATTTACATCAACACCACCAAGTTCAACTCCAACGCAAGCACCGACACAAATACCAACACCACCATACGAAGCAGAACCCTATACCGAAGACCTCGCGCCCGGCGCATTTAGCGGAACAAATACAACTCCCATTTCAGCGCCTCAAACTCAGACGCAATCGAAGCCCGTCAGCAGCACCACCCGCTCTTCCTCAACACCCGCGGAATCAAACATCCTCCGCGGAGCTATAATCTATATAAACGGGCAAACAGCGCCTTTAGTATCCGACCACAAGTTAAAGTCCCTGCTTGTTGCGCACGGCGCAACACTCTCCCTCTCGCTCTCCCGCCGCGTAACGCACGTTATCATCGGGAAGCCGAATTCTGGGCCTGGGCGCGGCGCGGGAGGTGGGTTGGCCGCGGGAAAGATTCAGAAGGAAATGGCCAGAGGTGGGTGGAAGGGGATGAAGATTGTGGGGGTTGAGTGGTATGTCATCTCCTTCTGTCTTGTTCTGCTGGCTGGATTGGGTGCGGATACTGAAGTTTTGGCCTTTATAGGGTTTTGGAGAGTGTTAAGGCCGGGAAGTGGCTTCCTGAGACGAGGTTTGCGGTCAATCTGGGGAGTCAGCGGAGTGTGTTGGGGTTTATGTAATTGTATCGGGACGGCATCTGCATCTGGTTTTGGTGTTGGGCTGCTGGGTTAGGGCTAAAGTTGGGTTTTTTTTTTTTTTTCTCGTTTTGGGTGGTATGCTCATTCATGCTCATTATCTATGATACCCTCATGTCACATTATTATATACATACATACAATGTACAAACGTACAAGCATTATCATATCACATAATATCTGAGTGAATCAGATGGCCGCCTATACAAACGCCCAGCCCTGGCCACCTTTGCTTCCTGCGCTGCTCGCGGAATCGTGCCGACGCCATCCGCTCTGACTGCGAGGGACGGCCAACAGCGATCCTCGACTGCTTTCCGAGGGTTGTTGCTGTTCGGCTTGGGGCTGGTACTCTTGTTGGCTGTGTTCCCCGTTGGACAAATCCAGCGCCGATTCGTTATCTGGTAGTGGTGGTAATGGGTTCAACCGGAGTCGCGGGGGGTAAAGAGACGAGTGGGACTTCAAACTTCGGCCAGACGGCAGACGGTCCGGTTTTTCGTCATCATAGGGGTCGTAAGTGTCGTAGTTATAGGTTTCATATTCGCTATCATCATGACTGCTCTCTGAGTTCGTTCCCAAGCGTTCGTGTTTCTGGTTCTCATTCACGTAATCGGCAATTGTGTCGCCCTGAACGAGTCCTAGATGCTCTTCTTCAGATGTCATATTCCGCACGTGGCCTCGGCGTAGGATGCCTCGGGGACTGCGGCTGCGGCTGCTGCTGTTTGGCCTTGATGTGTCGACGGGTGACTTGGCCCTGGCGAATATCTCGCGGAAGGAGAAGTGACGGTGTGGTGGGGGTGCTGGGGCAGCTAAGCGGGATTGGTCTTGCTCTTCGTCCGCCCATGAGACGGTCCGTGGCGGATGCGCCCCAGGGTAGCTGGTGTCCACATCCTTAGAATCTGATCCCGGTACCGAGTCATGGCCGGGTTGGTCTCCAGGTACTGGTCTCCATGACGAGTTCATGATGCTGGAAGTCCGCGATCGAAGCTCGTTCATGAAGGAATGTACTCTGGGGGAAGTAGGATTGGAGTCCTCTGGCGAGTCCTCGGGAAAGCGAGACATTCCTAACGGAGGTAGCGGCGTGGGTGTGCGCCGTAGAGATTTCTCACTGAGGACAGTCTTGCGCCTGCGCAGACCGTCCCATTCGATAATCTCGTTGTCAGCCGGTGGCTTGGTGTCTTCTTCTCGTTCGCGAACATATCGACGTGCTTCTTCAGCCTCGATATTGCGGCGCGGGGTGGATAGGCGGCGGATAATAGCGGCAGTGCCGCGAATGGCATCGGCCTTTGGTTCATATTCCGGCTCTTCTTGCGTTGCGACTTCGCGAATCTGGTCGAGGTCGCCTTTGAAGACGGCTGCATCAGGAACGTCTTTGGCGGATTTGGATAGTTGCAGTAAAACGACACCCGCGCAAATCTGCAGAAAGCCGAGAATGACAGTAGCGATTTGCATGCCTGTTCCTTTGAACCCTCGAAAAAGGACGGCGGAGGAGATAATGGTAGAGCTCGTGAAGAAGACGTAGTAGGTGGGTGTGACGAGAGCAGCATTGAAGATGTTAAGCGCTTTCTAGTTTCCATTAGTATGACCTTGGACAAGAGGGCCAAGCTATACTCACATTGAGATATATAATCTCGGTCAACAGCGTCGCAATTACGAATACGAGTAGCACATACATGAACCACTCCTTGAACTGAGACTCGCCGTTGATTTGAGCCAGAAAGGCCGCACCCAAACCTTGAGTAGCCACCACACTCAACCCTCCGATCAGACTGCAGATGCCGATGTAGACGAACATGCTCCGCTTGCCGTACCGCGGCCCTGCCCAGATAGCCGTTATGGCACATGCCACAATTATAACACCGGCATATGACAGAAAACCCGGCGCTATAACATATTCTTTCATCTCCTGGATATCGGCAACAGACGACTGCTCAGGCGCATTCAGCGCGATAACTACCGACCCCAAGATACAGGTGAAACAGCCCACCTTACCCACAAAACTCAGGCGCTCCTTCAGGAAAATGGCAGACAAGATCGTCGTGATCACAACAGAGAGGGCGCCTAAAGGCGTCACCAGAATGGCGTCCACGAAAGCATAGGCCACAAAGTTGCAGATTTCGCCGATGATCATGAGTGTCATGCCCGACCACCACCACAAGTTCTTGAGATATCCATATCCTTCGCCGGCTTCCTCGTTGTACTTAACGTTCGCTCGTAAGAGACCAACCTTCTTCAGCACAAACGAAACCCCAATAAACAGCCCAGAGGCAACCGCGAGTGCAATTCCAATCGCTTTGTAGGCTGGCGGACGGTCACCGCCAGAACTGACTCCGGAGCGAGGGAAGAGATCCATGACACTGCCCGCAGTATCATCGACGGCTGTTATAAGTACAGTGAACGGAATCGATGCGACAAGACGGGAAAGCGATATAATATCCTAGGCCATGGCCCAAGATCGACGGTCGACACGATGAAGATGAAATGGTGTGGAGGACGGCGGTTGACGGCGCTTAGGAATGCGGGCGGGTGGATTGCTGGCGCTCAGGCTTGTCGGGGATCGAACAGGTGGAGGAGGAATTGAGGGCAGTTCGGAATTCAAGAAATAAAGCAGAAAACGAAACAAAGAATTCAGGGGAAGAAGCCGAGACGTGGGCCTGACTGCATCATGGTTGTGGACTTGTGGTTGATGCTTTGGGGGGAGGCTGGGAGACCCACCGCTGGATCTTGTCTCTCAACTCTCAAGCCTCAACGCCATCGCTCGTGACCAATATCAGACAAATCTATGTGTGGTACGGAGTATGTGGTCTAGGTTCCAGACAATGTCTCTAACTCGAGGCTGAGGAGTTTCTAAAGATAACGATCCATTGTTGGTGAACCGTGGAATCCTGACGGGGTTGATCCAGTATCAATCTGCTCCGTACATCTCGTCTAAACTCTAGACCCATCTATTTCTGCTTGCTGGCATACTTTAACAACTCAATGATCAAATCACTAGGTGCGATTTCGTTGGCCATGACAGCAAGACTCGAAACTACCAAGTTTCAAGCGAAAGTGGCTGTCTGCCAATCGCCGCTGATTGCATCCTCGCTGGGCCATGGCCAGACTACCAGCAGACCACTGCATCGGGGCGCTAACAAAGCCGTTGCTGATAAGAGCACGAGATGAACTCGTTATCGCTGGACAATCGATAATAATCCCATCAGTCTTTGAGGGAATCATTATTTAGAGCAGAACTTAGGGCTACGGCCGGTCACTCTTTGGGCAGCTGAGGATCTGCGAGCTTATCATGGGCTAATTCGTTGGTGGGACAACCGTACTAGCGACGTCTGCACTCCGTACTCCGTACGGAGAGTATAGTACGAATGAAGTCCAAAAACATCTTCACGTGGAAAGTAGAGAGAAACCATCACTTTGCTCAGCTGCTGTACTCACCAAGGAGCATGGATCTAGATTTGCTATCTCGACCGTTGATTATCCGGCCACGTGGGATTCTTATGCTTCATGCCTTTATGTAGTGTATAAAGTTGTGCTTGGGATTAGTCATGAGCATTACTGCCAATTAAGCTCGCGTCCTACGAACGCGTCTGAGCTCGACTTTCGTGATTTCGTGAGCTGTCGATCCAGGCAGCTAACCACTCGACCCTGACACTACAATTCAAACGCTGCTTGATACGCGAATAGAATATTATTATACTCAACATGGCTCTTCTAGTCGACAGGCACCGTCCTAGATCTCTCGACACCCTCTCATATCATCATGACCTTTCCGCCCGATTAAGGTCTTTGGTATGCAGTCGACGTTATACCAAAGCTCAATTTCAAGATCTAATAGCTCTTGCAGGCCCAAAGCCACGACTTCCCCCACCTTCTCATGTACGGCCCCTCCGGTGCAGGCAAGAAAACCCGCACAATCGCAACCCTCAAAGAACTGTACGGCCCGGGCGTCGAAAAGATCAAGATCGACAACCGAGTCTTCCAAACAACAAGTAACCGCAAGCTGGAATTTAACATCGTCTCCTCTGTCTACCACCTCGAAATCACACCCTCCGACGTCGGCACCTATGACCGCGTCGTCGTGCAAGAATTGCTCAAGGAAATCGCCCAAACACAACAGGTTGATCTGTCCGCGAAACAGCGGTTCAAGGTCGTGGTCATCAATGAGGCCGATCATCTCACACGTGATGCGCAAGCGGCTCTCCGACGAACGATGGAGAAGTACAGTCCTAATTTGCGATTGATACTTCTGGCAAACAGCACGTCGAACATCATTGCTCCCATCCGCTCGCGAACTCTGCTGGTCAGAGTCGCGGCGCCGAGCGAGGAGGAGATCTGTACTATTCTGGGTGCGTCTGCGAAGAGGGAGAATTGGAGCGTGGCGCCGGGACTCAATAAACGGATTGCGAAGGAGAGTGGGCGAAATCTTCGCCGGGCGCTACTTATGTTTGAAGCTATTTATGCTCAGAGGTATGCTTCCTGATACCTCAGCGGGCATGACTAACGAGAACTCTACAGCGAGAAAGTATCGGATAGTACACCCATTCCACCGCCTGACTGGGAGGCTCTTATCTCGGTGGTTGCGAAAGAGATTCTTGAGGAGCGATCACCGGCGAGATTGTTACAAGTCCGTGCCAGGTTATATGATCTTTTGACTCATTGCATACCGGCTACAACGATCCTCAAGGTCTGCCTTTCGACATTCAAGAAACAACCTATGGACTAACGTTGTTTAGACCCTGACGTTCAAATTGATTGTCAATGTCGACGATACCCTGAAACCTGAAGTGATCAAGTGGTCTGCCTTTTACGAGCACAGAATTACACAGGGGAGTGTAAGTGTGCAACCAAACCCCTGGTGAGATTCAAAAACTGACACGAAACAGAAAGTCATTTTCCATCTCGAGGCCTTTGTTGCCAAGTTCATGCGTATCTATGAGAGGTCTGTTTTCATATCTCCCGAGCGCACATTATCTCAACTAACCTCACCTCGCGCAGTTACCTGATGGGTATGGATTTCTAAATAGGAATACGGATGGGATTAATTAATGATGTACTAATGCTCCATGGACCGCTTCGCGATGATCTGTAGAGGTTTTCTGATTTACGACTAACCCTAATCAAATTCTCTGTGGTCATGCATAGATACCTCCATCACCATGCCGTAATTTCATCTGGATTCCCGAAGCTAACCCAACAGCAGCTACAGCGCACCATATGGAAGCACATTCTCGATGATATATTCTACTGCCTCGGCACGATACGTCTCCTCCTCAATACTAGACCCATACCCACTAAACACCATGCTCTTCCTTTCCTCCCCATACTCGGGCCATTTCGGCAACGTACTTCCTGTCCAATTCAGAACTCGTCAGAACAGAACCCATGACAAACACAAGAGAGAAATGATAATCAAAAGGCAGCGTAGTAGACACACCTCCTTCAGGATTCGGATTTAGTCCATACGCAAAGGAAATCCAAGCACTGCTAACCTCATAAGCCAGCGCCTGATCCCACGGGTGATCGGGAATCAGGTTCGAGAAGACATAGCGCTGCTCAATTCCGGTTCCAATACCGCGTGATATGTTTGCTGCGGTTGTGTCGTGCGGGAGATGGCTGAAGCGGTAGCGGTACACTGGACTGTTGCCGTTGTTGTTCTTGGTGAGCCATTGCGCGATCATGCGGGCAGGTGCAATTTGCACAATGTCTCCGAAGATCGAGCAGGCCTTTTTATCGAGTTTCCCGGACGTCAGGGGCGTGGTGCCCGTGTTGTAGGGACAGCCGTGGCGCGCGTCATCGGGGTAGAGATCTAGAAGGGTTGAGACTGTTGAGTTGGGGAGAGTTTTGGGACGGTGGAAGCCCTCGGCTGTTGTATATAGCGAGATGGTCAGATTTGTAGGATGATTAAGAAAGTAATGGATTCGAGATATGTACCAAGTGGGCCTTTGAGTTGTTCCGTGGTGTTTATCCCCGTTGGAGCGGAGTTTGTGCCTTCGTCCGTGTTTGCTGTTGTGGTAGAATATGAGTTAGGGCTTGGATTGGAGATAGAGCTAGATGCAGATACGTACTCCCGACAATGGTAGGAACCTTGACATACTTTCCAGCTGGCAATGCAAATTGGAGAGAAGTTTGTGTGAAGCTTCCATCGATTGATTGACCAGTGCTCGAGCCTACGCTGTCAAGGAAAGTCTCAATTGGCAGCTGGCGAATACAGTCGAGCTGCTCGGCTGCCGTTGCGTTCGCGAACAACTTGCAAGGCGTTTCCGTGACAAGGTTATCGAATGTCTCTTGGAAAGTCGAGGTATTGGCGTACGTTAGAGGGAAAGCACCGCCGCTTTCTAGAATAGCTCCTCGAAAGAGCTTGTCGTCTCGGCCTCCGTAGGCCATCATGTGGGAATATACTGATACGGCACCGGCGCTGTACGCAAGGTTAGACATGAGCCGCGAAAGTAATTGCCTTTTTGCCTTACGACTCTCCAGCTATGGTTACTACTCACAGTTAGCCCAGATATTGTCGACACTATGAAGTGGAGCAATGTGGGATATACCTTTGGTAGGGTCTCCTCCAAAAGCGGCGATGTTTTCCTGGATCCAGCGCAATGCTAATCGTTGGTCTAGCATGCCGAGATTGAGTAGGTCAAGGTCTGCCATCTGCTGCCCGTTCAGGAACCCAAGAGGCCCAAGTCGATAGTTCTGTGTCAAATTGTAAATATTTGATGTAAACCTTTATCGGCCGTGTTGATTGCACCAACGTACCACTGACACAAGCAATATCTCCTTGCCAATCTCAGAAGATATGCGAACTATATTGGTTCCTTCAAACCTCGGATCTGCCTATTTAGTTTAGTACGGCGGGCTAATGTAGGTAGTATTCTGACTGCAGCCACTAACCGTGTACCCTCTCTGCAACCCTCCGCCATAGAACCATACAAGCACTGGCTTAGGTATGTTGTTACCAGTATGCCAATTCGGACGCCAGATGTTCAAACTTAGACAATCCTCGCTTGAATCTGGATTGGAGTCGATGTCTGGTCCGTAGCAAGCTGGACCAAAAGATTGTGCATCCAAAGTGCCGAAAGATGCATTCAGTGGTATCGCTTGGCGTAGACGAAGATTGCCTACCGGAGGTTGAGCGTAGGGTATCCCTAGGAAGCGCTGTACATGGCCAGACGCATCACTAGCTCCAACAACAGTGCCATTGCCAATGTTGACAGAGGCAGAAGAGTTTTGCTCAGCCAACGCTGCTGCTTGCCGTAGCAGGTATGGGATGAGTAGAAAGGTCTGTATGCCGAGGAGCATGATCTCGGCCACTGTCGATTCCACTTATTTATTGAATGGCAATTCGAAAGCCCGAGATATATTAGACTTGACTTTGATAAGTAGGTCACTCATAACTTTTGTACATCGGACTCTCTGCTACTTGAGCTCTCCACCATGTCCCCACGCTCTCAAGGCCGTTGTAAGTCTCCACCCCCGGAGATTGTTATGCGGGGAGGCCACCAGCAAAGCACGGAGAAGCTCCGTGGATAACGCAGGATATATTGGGCAATGAGCAAAAAATATGGCGCTTGAACTGGGTAAATATGTCTCCACCCCCAGAGCGGATGAAGCTCAGAACATCTGCCGAATGTCTAGGTACCGAGTCTTCATGGCTTGAAGCCGACAATGAATGCTGAGGGCCGAGGTATTATTGAAGTGCATGCATGTTAGACGCTGAGAGCCGTTCTACTGAAATGTAAGCTTGAAGCTTCGGTCATTGTCATGCTCGACTTCAGTGCCGCTCAAAGCTCGCGTTCCTGACATTTTGCACCCAAATGATGCATCTCACTTGGAATGGATGGCGCAGACTCGGTATTTCGACTCGGAAGCAGGACTATAAAGGTCCTGAACTTTTCACTCAGCAAAGAGACGCATGGTGGAGCGGTGTTGTGGTGGGAAGTGACTAGTGACTATGCTAGGTGACGTTTAGGACCTGTCGATGGCTGAATGCACACGGAGCACGTACTCCATATCCAGTTAGCAAACGTCAATTTCAGAGACACTTTGCCTGCATGTAGGTTGTACTATAATGCAGGGATAGCTTCATTCCAGGGACGTCACAAATGATAAGGTCCACAGCGTGTTAGAAGGTTGAGAGAATGATTGACGGTTGGGATGAAGTGCATACGTCATACTACCATAGTCCCTATATATGAGGGTACCTCGTCCCTCAACTTTGCTTTGATCCAATCCAGAGATCATTTACGACTTACGATTAAGGCCGATTCAAACACCTGGTTTACTTCATCATTTGTTCTTCGTTTAACATAATAACGGCATAATGTCCGACACCAAACTGATGGATATCGAAGCTGGCGGCGAACAGACTCAGTAAGTTCAACAAGATCTCGGACGGTATAAGTGCAGTCACTGATAGTTACACAGGTATGAAGGCATCCGGCAATTCAGTAAGACACCAGAGAAGGCAACTGGGCAGTTAGGTTGTATCACTCCCCTTGCCTACACTGAATCCGATGCTGACCGCGCCTAGACAACCTCCCACACACCAAGAGCGAGATGAGAACTACACTCGCCGGCGACCGCAGCGACGCAAAAGCAAAGAGGGAGGACACTAAATTTGCGCACAAGCTTGAGCTTGGGGAGCGCACTTCTGGCATATCCGGATATACCAACAGAGGCCCGGTAAATTCCCTTCCCTATAAACTCCTTATGTGACATCTCTGTATGTTGCAATAAAAAAGAAATGATCGAAGCTGATAATGTACATGTTGAAGGTCGAAACCGAAGACGATGCTGCCAAGTCTAGGAGGGAACAAGGGTATGGGCCTGGTTCTGGGGTCGGCGCGTAGACACCTGAACCAAGAAAATGTGACAAGTGTAATAGATGATATACCCGGCCTATTGCGATGCCGAGGGACTGGAGGATGCGGACTTCGGGGGATTGGGCATGTTGTTGGTTCCAAGGGGCGGGTCTCTCCGGGCTCGCTTCAAGCTCTCCAGCGTAACACCATTGCCGAGTTTTGTAATGCCGACAACTGGCGGATCACCCTTGTTCACAAATTCCCAGAGACCTGTATATAGTTTAATGACCTGAACTCTCTGCTTTTCGGCATCGTTTACGTACCCGGTAACTTGTGACCAGCCAGACGAAATGCCTCCCTCGCGATCTTCTCGTGAATGTCGCCCTTGAGCTCAAAGACAATCCTGCTCACGGCAACCTTCGCAGTCCAGTAGTCGAATTTACCCTTACCCTTACCCATACGCTGCTCATTACCCTTGGTGTACACACCGATATTGGCACTGACGCGCTTGTATAATGCGTAGTTCATTCCTCTGAGACGTCTCTTGATGGTCTCCTCCGCGATCTTGAGCGAAGAGGCCGGCAGCCGGCGATCGTGGTCCTTCATTCGTAGTCCGTAATCTCCCCACACAACTGTTGTGCCTCGTGACGAACCTCCGGTAGCGACATGTGGACGACCCTTTGGCGACTTGGAGATTTCCGACATCTTCGGCGTAAGCCAGTCAAGAGCCGGCGATGTTGTAGAGAAGCATCGTGATACTGGAAGGGAAGATGTTCGCAGGCCTAGCGCTGAAGCTGCATCAGTATATCAGGAAAACTTTTCGTACGAAGGTGAGTCCTTACAGGATAATTGGAAGCAGGCAAGTTGCGGCCGCGCCAGATACCTGAGATGTGACCCCATTGTAATTATCGAGCACGACGCTTCAGCAGAATGGAATGATATCCAAGAACCGCAGACTTTCTGGCCGTCGGCTCCTCCCTCCGCCCTTTTCCCGTCACGTGACCACCCGACAAGCTATTCTAGTAACTAAGTTACATAAGCTAATTAATCGCGTCACGGAAGCTCTAGGCAGGCGCGTCCACCGCGTTGCCTACTACGATTCGAGAACGTCGTTGATCTGGCTTATATGGAAGACCGGCCTTTCTGGCTTCATTTGCAACATTGAAAGGCTTCCTCACTTGAGAGTCCTTCCATTGATGCGAACATCATGCCGGCCGATATAAGGAGCTTTTTTGGTGGCAAGTCGAGCCAAGGCTCTGCTACGTCCCCCACGAAACCGTCTGCAAAGAAAGAGGTATGCCATTGAATTTCCAGCTGCACTCTCTATTTAGCTATCAACTACGGCATTTGTTATGGATGGCTGTTAACTTTGCCATACAATAGACACCAGCTCGGAGCAAGAGTAAGACCTGCAACCGATATAATCACTTGGAGCATCCTATTGACCGGCCGTATAGGAAGCAGGAAGGTTGTCGATGACAGTGATGATGACGACGATGTTGTGGTGACCAAGGCTTCGGCCCCAAAGACTAAGGCTCCGAGCAAAGCGTGAGTTTCCATTAGTCGAATCAAACCTTCGTCCGCTGACCCCGATTGAAGGAAGCCTGAAGTCCCAGAAGGAGAACCTACAACGACCTCTGACTATTTCGCCTCAAGCAAAAAGAGAGGAAGACCGCCTAAATCCGATAACACAGATAAGGACGCGAAGTCATCGTCGAGTACTGCTACCAGGGCGGAGAGCCCTAAAGCCTCCAAGAAGTCTACGGAGCGGAAGAATACCACGGATGCTGAGTCTCGTCGTGGCGCAAAAAGGGCCAGTGCGCTTCTTGATGACGAAAAGCAAGGTGATGACGATATCTTTGCAACCGAGTATGGAAAGTCAGGCAAATGGGACGACGACTACAAGGAGGAGGAAAACGATGATGATAGTGATGATTTCGATCTTTCGGTGAAACCAGCCAGCGGAGCCCGGGGCAGGCCAGCGTCCAAGAAGCGCTCTGCTTTTGATGAAGACGATGAAGATGTGGTTATGGAGGATGTCCCGCATCGACCCGCGAGCGCAGCCAAATCTGCAACTTCCCAAACGCAAAGGAAACGAAAATCCGAGGCGGTTGATAAGGACGATGATGAATTTGAAGTCACCAAAAAGAAGGCCGGGGCTGGTGGAAAATCTAAAAAGCCAAGGGCGTCTACCGCGAAGAAGGATCAGCCGGAAAGCAAAGAGATTCAAGATATATTTGACAGCATTCCGACAATAAAAGCTCCGTCACCTCCGCCTCCACCAGATCCCGACGCGAAGCCCAGCAAGTTTGTCTTTGGAGGAGGAAAATCGCGAGACCCTGTTTCTGGAAGTGCCGACATACCCGTTGGAGCAGAGAATTGTCTTGCAGGTCTTACATTCGTCTTTACTGGTGTTCTTGATACCCTTGGCCGCGAAGAAGGTCAGTCCCTAGTCAAGAGATATGGTGGTAAGGTCACAACAGCACCTAGCGGCAAGACAAACTTTGTTGTTCTTGGAAGTGATGCTGGACCAGCAAAGCTCAATACTATCGCAAAGCACAACTTGAAAACGATCAGCGAGGAAGGCCTATTCGAACTCATCCGCCGTCTCCCCGCAAATGGTGGCGATGGAAAAGCGGCCGAAAAGTACGAAGCTAAGAAGAAGGAAGATGAAGAGAAAGTTCAAGAAATGGCTGCTGAGATTGATGCGGAGGAGAAACGCAAAGCAGAGCAGAAACGCAAGGAAAGCAAGAGCAGCCAAATGACTAAGGTCTCCAATGACAGCAAGGCGACAAATGTTGATGATCTTCTCTGGACCTCGAAATATGCACCTACGTCTCTGAACATGATATGCGGCAACAAGGGTGCTGTGGAAAAGCTTTCATCCTGGCTCAAGAACTGGAGAAAGAGTGCCCAGGCGAATTTTAAGAAGGCTGGCAAAGACGGATCTGGAATTTATCGTTCCGTGATGATCCATGGCCCTCCTGGAATTGGCAAGACCACTGCAGCGCACCTGGTGGCGAAGCTTGAAGGTTACGACGTTGTGGAATCAAATGCAAGTGACACGAGGAGTAAGAAACTCGTTGAGACTGGTCTTCTCGGTGTTCTCGACACAACTTCTCTACAGGGATACTTTTCAACTTCTGATAAAAAGGTCGACAGTGGGAAGAAGAATCTTGTGCTAATCATGGACGAAGTGGATGGCATGTCTGCTGGCGATCGAGGGGGTGTCGGAGCGATGGCTGCTATCGCAAAGAAAACCCAGATCCCTCTTATCCTCATCTGCAATGAGAGACGACTCCCGAAAATGAAGCCTTTTGATTCAGTCACGTTCGAGATTCCGTTCAGACGGCCAACCGTCGAGCAGGTCCGAGCTCGCCTGCTGACCATATGTTTTCGAGAAAAAATGAAAATACCACCACAAGTCCTGGATAGCTTGATTGAAGGGACACATGCAGATATTCGGCAAGTCATCAACATGCTTTCGGCAGTCAGGTTGGACCAAAACGAGCAACCAGGCCAAGCTTTAGATTATGATAAAGGAAAGCAGATGTCCAAAGCATGGGAAAAACATATCATCCTGAAGCCATGGGATATTGTTGGAAAGATTTTGAGCCCACAAATGTTCTCACAAGCGTCATCGGCTACGCTGAATGATAAGAGTGAGCTCTATTTCAATGACCATGAGTTCAGCTATCTTATGCTCCAGGAGAACTATCTCAGAACGAAACCCGCGCGTGCTAACAACTACGAGGGCAAGGAGCATAAGTTGAAGCTACTGGAACTTGCAGACAATGCCGCCTCGAGCATAAGCGATGGCGACCTCGTCGACAGGATGATCCATGGCAGTCAACAACAATGGAGTTTGATGCCAACGCATGCCATGTTTAGTTTCGTGCGGCCTGCTAGTTACATGTACGGCAATATGATGGAGAGGCCGGCCTTTACTAGCTGGTTGGGGCAAAACAGTAAACAAGGTATGTATTGTCTTTCTAGATTATATCCGTGTGAGGCTAACGTTATATTTGTAGGGAAACTCTCTAGATACGTGAAGGAGATACAAGGACGCATGCGCCTTCGCGCCTCCGGAGACCGCCACGAGATTCGGCAACAGTACATACCGCTCCTGTGGGATAAGCTTGTTAGTCGACTGATGGTTGATGGCAAGGATGGCGTTGAAGACGTGATTGACTTTATGGACAGTTATTTCTTGACTAGGGAAGATTGGGATGCCCTCGTCGAGCTCGGACTTGGTCCTATGGACGAGTCTAAGGTCAAGCTAGAGACGCAGACAAAAGCTTCTTTTACTCGTCTTTACAACCAGCGCTCACACCCGCTCCCATATATGAAGGCTAGCAATGTTCTCGCGCCGAAGAAGGCGCCGAAGGAGAAACCCGACATTGAAGATGCCATCGACGAGTCCGATGATGACGAGGTCCTCGCAGACGAGAGCAAAGACGATGAAGAGAACGACGAGATCGATTTGAAGAAGGACAAGCTCATTCGTGTGCCCAAGAAATCCGCTGCAAAGAAGGGTTCGGCAAAGAGCAGCACGTCTGCCAAAGGCAAAGGAAAATCGAAGAAGGCAAACGAGGACGATTTCATCGATGATGAGGATGACGCGCCGAAGCCGAAGAAAGCGCGAGGTAGGAAACCGAAGGCTTAGAGATTATGAGACATCTGGCATTCGATATTTGAGTTGTGCATTGTGATAGTTGCAACTTGAGCGGGAATGGGACATTCTTCCATATGTATGAACAGTATGATATGCTGTATAATCTAAGTACTACACTCGTGGTGTCGTCCAATGAACATGAGACGGCCTTTTCCATGACCTGCAACTGTAGCACCAGATATTTAGTAGACATGTATACTGTGGATCCGGTGCTGGCTATACTGCCTCGCTCTGGTCTTGGCCGATTCCCGGGGACGGCGAATGGAGGCGGAGTTGCGCCAACTCCCCTCCTTCGACCCTGCTTAGCAACATAGCACAGTAACGACACCATACGCGACCCTGGAGCGCGTCTAAGACCAGCATATTCTTTTTATCATTTTATCCTTTCCTTTCATTGTGCTTCGGCCAGGCTGGTCCTGCCCGGGTTTGTTCCCTTCGTTCGGCAAGTCCATGGCCACTCCGCAATGAGAACACAGGACGTACGATAGCCCTGTTGATCCGTTGCACATATTTTATCTTGGATCAGGCTAGGCCGGTATATGATCCTGCCCGGCTTGTCATTCCCTTTATATCGAACGGAAAATGTCTCTCCTTCATAACGAAGAGTCAGTCCTGGACCCCTCAATCTTCCCTGGCTTCATGCTAATTGAGCGCAGCTTTACGATATGGCAGCTGCGCACTTCTTACCTCTCTACGATCAAGGATGGTATCGGCGACAGACTTATCAACGTCAATCATTCCGTACTTAACACTCCCGGATTCCGCGCTGCGGGTTGGCCGGCAGCCTCCGCAAATCACCCCTCACAACTTGCAGCCAGCATAAAGCGAACATACTCCCCTCCTATTCCTACAACTACAGCGGTGTCATCCGAATACTATCAACTAGGCATTCGAGATTTGAATGATCCACAAAGACTTGGATTTGGGGAGGAGGGGGAGGATGACGAAGGGGGAATGGTGACGGGGAAATCTACTACAGATGGAATCGGCCGCCGGAACCCTCTACGGAACGAAAAGCGCCTGCATCGAAGAGAACGCCAGCAAAGAGAACAGCAGAAGGTAAGGGAGATTGAGGAGGAGGATAGCAGCGACCTGAGCGACGAAAGTGACGACGAGGGCGAGGCCCCGCAAAGAGCTAACGAAGAGATCAAGTTTCCAAAAGTTCCTGTACGGATCAGAGCAGGCTCGTCGCCTATCAGAGCTACTGATCGCCAAGAAAGACCACAAGTTATGGTCACACATCCTTCGCATACATCAATGAATAGCCATTACCGTACAGGCTCTCTTGGGACAGCCCCAAGCGTCAATGAGCGCCCCCGGCGGGACACGACTACGACTATGACCAGTAGTGATATGTCCTCAGACCATGAGATTGATTCATCCGTGCCGGGGTACAAAAGGCGCCAGATACACTTCTCTGGATACGATCAAGTGATAGATCTAGGAAAGGCCAGCAGTGACGGGCTCGAGCAATTGGATGAGCAGGAGGAAGACTCCGATGCCGGGTCAGTGGAGAGTGCCCTTTCGTCAGAATTTGATGCGACGGCCGGTTCTGCGTCACTTCTAGGAGCTGTCGGTATAACTGGCGGCCTCAATTCGTCATCGCCAATTGCTTTGATGCACAAGCTACCACATGGACCGAGTTCTCAAACAGCATCTCCCCGGAAGCCAAAACCACCCGCACCAGAACTGCAGGACTTGCCACCTCCTCGACCTATCAGCACGGTGCAGCCTGTTAGCCTGCTCTCCACAGCACTCAATGCTCGCGCAAAGGCACCATCGAACCCCGTTGAGAAGTTCGCCGTACTTTCTGGTAAGGGCCTAACTGATGCCTTGAATATTCGACTATATTTGCCATTCTCCTCGGACCCTGAAGAGCCCCTCGACTTGCCGCTCGCTCGCGAGTCGAAATTAGCGGACCAACCAGCACCAGTGACTGTCGTCGAGGCTATTGGACTGGCACTTTGGAGATACGCTGAAGAGCGCCGGCAACCTCCTATCGAGCGAGAAAAGCTCAACGTGAATAGGTGGACGCTTCGAATGGTGGAGGATGGCGAGGTCGAATATGATTTTCCGCCGTTGGGTAGAACATCAGACATAACCGATTTCACTTCAAACAACAACAGTCGAGCGGGTGGCATGCGCGGCAGATCCAGAGGAAAACAATATGACGAGTTTGCTCTAGTTGAGGCTTCTGATTCGGAGTTCGAGGAGAACCAGCGCCTGTACCCGGTAGAGAACGCCTCTGCTCCGGCTGAGGAGACAGGAGATGCAGTACCTGCGCCACTCGCTATCCCGGCAACTCAACCGATTGCGCAAAATAAAACGTCTCGTCCGAACCCGATCCTAGGACAACCATTCTCTTCAGCCTTGAATGACAATACCCTGACACCTGCTGATCGTCCAGCGGTGCCGGTTTCTCATGCTACACCCCGTCTTGGCGTTTCAAAGACGCTGAAGATTCGGTATATCAACTTGGAATCATCGACTCAAGTTACAACCCTAAATACCTCGACGGATAGCTACATTGCAGAAATTCTTGATTCCGTTTGCAAGCGATGGGGATTGGATAAAGGGAATTATCTGCTCAAAGTGATGGGCTCCAACACAATTGCGCCGCTGGACCGCACTGTTGAAGCATTGGGCAATATTACAGAATTGGATCTTGTTCGTCGACGCTTCGGCCCACAGGCATTGACAGGGTCACCGGTCAGCTCTTCGCCTAACGCACCACTGATGGTTGAGAACTCAGCTGTGCCGAGTAAGAAAGGAAAGAAAAGCGGGCAGCGAATGCTGCATCCTCTCACGCAAAAGCAGGACCTTATCGGAGGATACTACCGGCGATATTTTGTGCTTCGCAAACAGTCGATGGGGTTCACCACTTCCTTGCATCGGGTCCTCACATTTGATAACGACTACATGCACATCATGCCTGCAGACACGGGTAAAAATGGGTCCGACACCAAGACTCGATCGATCAGCTTCAACGATGTTGTCGGGTGTAAAGTAAGTCGACGGCATCCGAAGAATTTCCGCGTCGTTGTGCTCCGCGGGAACGATGCGACGGAGCAGAAGCGTTATGACTTTGAGGCGCGCAATGCGCTCGAAGCCGTGGAGATTGTGGACGAGATTAAGAAGAACATGGCGCATTATCGGACATGAGTGTTCTATTATTCTTTCTTTTTGTTATGGCGCAACATTAGTTTGGCTGGCAATGCCTGGCTTCAAGCTTGAACATTGCATGAAAGGCACTCGACTCTCTTTGTTCCGTGGCGCGGGATGCAGCATCGAGTACCAAATATTCTCTTTGAAACGCATGTCTGACTCTTGCAAACTCTATATGTACGAAGCTTCGCTACGGCCATGTGGTTCTCGTAAGGGCTCTTTTAAGTTGGTTCAACGTTCGAGAGAGCTCCATGAGTCTATAAAATATGAAGTCATCGGTCCCAGCAGTAACACCACGCCGTAGTGGTGATCTCACTTATTACTCGTGTGGACATCACCGTTGGATTGTTAGCTCAGGCCCGGTCTCCTCGGCCTCGAGTGCTGTTCGCCTAACCAGAGGTTAGGCGGGTCTTTGTCAAGCTCTTTAATCAAGCAAGTGAAGACAGGCCTCGAGGGACTCGAAGAGAGGCTCAGGCAGGTGAAAGAAGGAGAACAAAGAAAGGAGTCCTAAGTTGACGAAAAGCAGGGCGATGATAGGCTGCAAAGTGGATCGATTAAGATTAATGGATCGATTCATCTTGACGCAAAGAAGTTCAGACTCCGGCATAACCCCGCTTTGCTGCTACTCGTGCTCTCCCTCTTTCTCGCCCCTCAATCGTCCACGGCCTTGTTTTAGGTGCTGAGAGTCCCATCCTCGCTCCTCTGCTCCATCCTTGGTCTCTGTTGCTATCTAGCTTGCCCTTGCTCAATTGATATCTTGTCTCCTTCGGCGGTTCTATACTTCTAGTCGTGCATACTTATCTACTCCGGCCAGGGTCGCTTGGGATCCGAAACAGAGACCAATACCAAGCCTCATCGTCTACCGCGTAGCTCCAACCACGAAGCCTAGCGCCTGCATGCTTCCAGTTTGTCTCACATCGACCGTGGTCTCATCTTAAGCCATCCTCGATGCCTACTCTCGGAGGGCTCTTGAAGAAACGGCGAACGAAGGATTCGCAAGACCTCTCCAAGGAGCTCCAGGCTGGTTCCACCGCGACTGGCCACACCACGACGTCACCAATCGCTGCCGAAGACTCCCAGCACCACGGCCACCACAGCGGCCACCACCTCTTCCACCATAGCCACCATCCCTCCAACAATTCGGCTAATACGGCGAATTCCAACAATTCACACGCCGCCGAACATCACCAGTCCAACCACTCCTCTGCTGCTAGCAACAAGCCTGCTGACGGGCAAACCGCCTCCATGCAATCCCCCGCACAACAGCCCTCTAGTACTTCCGCACACTCGAATTCCGGCCACCATGGCAATGCCGCCAGCATACACAACATCATAAACCCGTCGCAGCAGAACACACCGCAGGTCTCTCGAACGGAGCGTACTACCAAGGGGAAATATACCCTCGATGATTTCGCAATCCAGCGCACCCTCGGCACAGGCAGTTTTGGACGCGTTCACCTCGTGCAGTCGAAGCACAACCACCGCTACTATGCCATCAAGGTCTTGAAGAAGGCGCAAGTCGTCAAGATGAAGCAGATTGAGCATACCAATGACGAGCGACGGATGCTGAATCGTGTTAGGCATCCTTTCCTCGTCACGCTGTGGGGTACTTGGCAGGATGCTCGAAACCTATACATGGTCATGGATTTCGTCGAGGGTGGAGAGCTGTTTAGTTTACTTCGGAAGTCTCAGGTGAGCTATGTTGCTAATTATTGCCAAAACAGAGAGCTGATGTTGGGGCATAGCGATTCCCTAACCCCGTGGCCAAGTTCTATGCGGCCGAGGTCACTCTGGCTCTGGAGTATCTTCATTCGTTGAATATCATTTACCGGGATCTTAAGCCCGAAAACTTGCTGCTAGATCGCCATGGGCACCTCAAGATTACCGATTTTGGCTTTGCGAAGGAGGTGCCCGATATTACCTGGACCCTTTGTGGGACGCCTGATTATCTGGCTCCTGAGGTCGTGGCCTCTAAGGGTTACAACAAATCCGTTGACTGGTATGTTCGATGTCAATTGCGCCGGACGAAGTGTGCTAACTTCTTCTCAAGGTGGTCCCTCGGTATTCTGATCTTCGAGATGCTGTGCGGGTTCACACCCTTCTGGGACCAAGGGTCGCCTGTCAAGATTTACCAGAACATCCTTGCGGGCAGGATTAAGTTCCCGCCATACCTTCACCCCGATGCCGTCGATTTGCTCTCCCGGCTGATTACCTCAGACCTCACCAAGCGGTTGGGAAACCTTCACGGCGGTCCGGATGATATCAAGAACCACCCATGGTTTGCGGAAGTTACCTGGGATCGGCTGTTGAGGAAGGAGATCGACGCACCCTACGTGCCCCCCATCAGAGGCGGGCAGGGCGACGCCAGTCAGTATGAGAACTACCAGGAAGAGTCAGAGCCCTACGGCCAGACTGGCGAAGACCCGTACGTTTCCCTTCCGAACGCCCTTCACGTCCTGTCGTTAACACGCAAATACAGCCACGGCCATCTGTTCCCCGACTTCTAGACCCTCTAATGAGTATTGATGCAATGATATTCACACTAGAGATGGCTCTGGCTAGAACTCAAAATTCTATTCTATAATGGAAGAGGAGTGGATTATGGTGCCTGCGCTTGAGCAGGCAGGACGGCGTAATGATGTCTAAGGTCAATTCTTCCACCTGTTGGTCTTGATAATCGCTGGTCGAGTGAAAATACAAGCATTTTCGAAGATATTCCTAACAAGGCTGCCTTGGTGTTTGCGTCAAAAGCGTGTCACGCTGGCCCTGTCCGCTATATAACAGGCCATGTTTACTCATGGCGGGGAGGAAGGAGGTTGGGTGCTCTCCATCACTCAGATGCTTGCTCAGGGGGCCGCCTTCCACTATATTGTGTTATATTTCCGCTTGCGAGCAGTCGAGTGCCTTGGGATGCGGTGTTTGCCCTGGAATTTCAGGGCACTTTTACAATACTGTCATGTTGCGGCGGGGCAGATGCCATTTGGTTCAACTTTTATCATTTTTCTGAATATTCGCGCACATAGCACGGATCTATTTTGGTTTCTTGTCTCCTGTTGCTGTTTGTACATTATATGTAAATACCTACAGTTGGCTGTCTTTGCATGAAAAGTAAATCTGGAATTAGCCTGTGCCTAGACAAGTTTATTTTGTGTTATACACCAGTAGCATCCTCTCAAGACCAAGAAGTGAAACACCTGCACCTCCCGGGGCCATGCATGCATGTTCAGATGTAGTCTCACCCTGATCCAACCGGACCTAGTACGTCATACGACCCTTCCATTCATATTGTACAAAATAGTCTTCCGGGATTGCTTCCAAGCACCGCGAATGACCGCCTTTTGGTTAATTAATCATAGAGTAACCGTCCCGCCTACAAGCCCACACATCTATTCCGAAGTAGCCATCGCATTCGCTGCGACTTGCTCTGTGGTGGCGCGGGAAATATACACCTTGCTCGTGACGTTCCAAAACTGAATGTACTTCTCCATGCAGTTAGACAGGCAAGTAGAGTCGCTGGAGGACATTGAGGAGCCGGGGTTTGTGATGCAGTTGTCGAAGCAATTCTGGTTGATTCTCTGTAGTTGGGGTTAGTGAGTGCTTGAAGCTCGAATTCGGAATCTGACGGGGACTCGGGTATGCAGGAGGGAATTAAAGAGAGAGCTGGTCGCGAACGTACGCTGATGAGCTTCTTCGCATTAGCTACGGCCATTTCTTGCTGCATCTGTTGCAGGATGTTGGCCTTCAATTGCTGGGATTCCGGATCGGACACGGCAGGCGCGGCGGCGGGGGCGGAGGAGCCGAAGAGAGCCATTTTGATGGTTTTGTTCGCGTCGGGGGTAAAATAAAGTGCGTGGAGATGTATTGTTCGCGCGGAGCTGTAGTTGTTGAGACGATAACGTCGACAGGATCTGAAGCATCGGTATGGATTCCGAAAAAACGGTGGCGGTGCGGAATCTGGGGCTAAGGCTGAGGCTGAGCTGAAGACTAACAATGCACCAGCCACACTTAGCGGAAGTGGACACCTAACTCCTCAGGCCGTGGATGATGTGAACTCGAAGCTTAAGTGAGTCTGTCTWSWRTCTTGTTCTCTGATCTGTCCAGTTCTTGTTCTCTCCGGTTCTGCCAACACTTGCTTTTTGCAAGCTATTCCATTCTCCTATCCTTTTTCTTCCGAAGCGCTATTCCTTCCTTTGAATCTACTCCCAACTCTGTCGCCTCCGAGTTTACCTTCTACCCGACCATCGATTTACTACTACTCCGCTGTTGATCGCTTGAAGCCAGGTGGAGGTATACCCTGGTTATATTGTCTACCCACCCACGCAGCGGTGCATTGAATGTCCCGGCGACATTGATTAGCGCCCTTTACCTACATTCTATCGTTACAATCTACTTTTAACTCCCACGATCGTTTTGCGACTTCGCAATTAGCTTACGAAAACAATGTTGCTGCCGCGGCTATCCACGCTCTTGGGCCTTGCTGGCCTTATGGCCGTGCCTGCAGTCAATGCCTACGACGGCGATGAGAATGTTAAGAGCATTCCGGTGTGTATCTTCTACGTACAGCTGCTGTTACTAGTAACTAATTGCCTTGTATAGCTACGAACTCACAGTCTCTCTGCCGTGCGTCTACCTACTCTACTCGCTACCGCCCCGCTATACACTACTGCCTGACACTAACGCCCGCATAGCCCTACTTGGATTCAGACTTCCAAAGCCGCTGGTTCGATTTTGGTGGAGATACTGTGATTCGTGCCGACAAGTACGCTCCTCTGCTCCCCTTGTTGTGTGGGCCTCTTATCTTTGAAGAGCTCGGGCTAAGCTATAACCACACAGATACGTTCGTCTCACAGCAGACCGGCCGTCACAGCAAGGATGGATCTTCTCTCGCGTTCCTCTGACCGCAACGAACTGGGAGGTTAGTGCCCACCATACAACTACAACGGCCGAGACTAAGCGTGGGACCAGATCGAGTTTGAATTCCAGATCCAAGGAGAGGGAAACCTGCACGGCGATGGATTCGCCATGTGGCTCACCAAGCAGCGCGCGACACAAGGTCCCGTCTTCGGCTCAACAGATAACTTCGAGGGCCTGGGAATTTTCTTCGACACCTACAAGAACAACCGCCCCGGCACATCTTTCCCCTACGTCATGGCCATGATGGGCGATGGCAAGACCAGCTACGACCAAGCGCACGACGGCAAGGCCAATGAACTGGCCGGATGCTCTGTACGTTACGCCGATGTTACGACCATGTTATCGCATCTCGAATACTAACCAGCATAGGCTCGCGGTCTCCGCACAACCTCCGTCCCCACAAAAGCACGCTTGACCTACTTCCAGGACAAGTCGCTCACGCTCGACCTGCAATACAAGTCCGAAGGCACCTGGACCAACTGCTTCACGCTCACCAGCCCCGAAACAAACATCGCCATCCCCTCCGTCGCATACCTCGGCTTCTCCGCCGAGACTGGCGAGCTTAGCGACAACCACGACATCATCTCCGTCAAGGCCCAGAACCTGTACAATGTCGCCGGCTCGAAGGGTACTAGCGGTAGCGGGCCCCCTCGCAGCGCCGACCGTCCTCAGCGCAAATTCAAGAAGCAGTCTGGTAGCTGGTCGTGGTTCTTGTTTAAGGTCTTCTTCTTTATTGCGGCTATTGGCGGTGGCTATGTTGGGTGGACTGCGTATCGGTCTAGGACGAGGTACTCCAGGTTTTGAAGGGGAAGTAAATTGTATATGGTGTTAAGTGCTGTGGTGGGTTGATGTTAAGACATGCAACGCAACGGAAAATAACAAAAACGTTTCTATCTCTTGTCCCATATCCGCCTTGCCATTTCCGATTTCTTGTATCTGCTTTTGCATAGCCATGATGTATGTACACTCTATCTTCGGGTTTACTTTGCCATATAAAACGAGGCAAAAGTTTCAACTACCTATTTGTCTTTCTTCTTGGCTGGGAAATGTATATGAATTCTGAACTTTCTAAAGAAAATGGGGGTATCAGTCCTAAAAACGCCAATGCCATACCATGCCAATGCAAATACAGATGTTGTTGCCCGTCACTTCTTCAACTCGTTCCACAAGCGATCAATAATCTGAAAGACTTCCGTAACACTGCGCATAACAGACTCGTCAATTCCCAATGCGCCATACCGATGCTGAATTTTGTCCGGGTGCCATCGAACCCGCTCAGCCTTTAGCGTAGATAGCAGTGAATCATCTGTAGTAGCGTCGTTTCGAGCATCAGAACCAGAAGGCTGCGGTGGAGGGGGAGCCCGACGCATAAACTCCTCCACATTCTCTCTGTTAACATCCCTCCTTTTACCCGACTCCACGGGCCAGAAGAGTAGATTCCGCACAGTGTTTCTTTGCCCTCCATCTTCACCTCCGCTTGGGCTCTTCTTCCGTGCCTCTTCAATCTTCTCCCAAGAACTAATGTAGCTCTCCCATACCCCCTTCCAAGCCTCCTTTATCTTCTTCCTCTCTCTGCCCCGCCGTAAGCTATCCTCCATCGCCCTCTCAAACTTCCTCCTCTCTTCCTGCTCCCTAGCGGCCTTTTCAGCACGGGCCCGCGCCTTTTTCTCTGCCCTGATGCGCTCCTGCTCTTCAAGCATACCTTCTCGCGACCGCTTCCACATCTCGCCGCGCACGTACGCCGCATATTCCTCTTCGTCCATTTGATCGAGTTCGCTGCGTCCATCTCCATTGCCGTTGTTATGTCCCAGTGGAGCAGCGAATGAGTGTATAGGCTGTCCGTAAACAGATTCCCAGAACGCAGCACCTTCGTCGTCACCTAGCGCGTCGAAGAGAGATTCACGGAACGCGGTGTTGGGAGATAACGGAGCGCCTGGGTAAGAAGGTACTGTGCCGGGGGAGGGAGAACGTGGAGTTGCGGTTCTGCGACGTTTGTGTCGCCGGTAGCTGCGATCGTGGTCGCGGTCATCGGATCGGTGTTTATGACTGCGACTATGTCTGTGGGATTCGTGTCGTGAAGATCCAGAGCTAGATTTTGATTTTGAGGGTTTGAAGCGGAATTTCCCTTTGCTTTTGCTGTGGGCCGCATAATCGTCGACTTTATGAGCGGTAGGGTTGGATTCGGCGTTGGGGTTGCGGTCGTTATTCAGTGAGCGCGGTTTATCATCTTCCGGGTCCATGATGTGTGGTGTTTTCATGCGGGTCCGGATTTTGAAAAGAGTTGAGGGCGAAATGAGAGCATCATCTGTGGTATCGAGGAATCGAGGATGCGGAGTTGGACCCGAGATCGTAATTTATGTTATCACTCTTTACACTAGTAATTTTGGATGCAAAAAGCTCGGCGTCGGCGATTCCCATGCATGAGGCGTTAACGAAAAACGAGGTACCTCAGAACAGATAGACCAGATGTCCGTAAGATATCACTGTGATTTCTCACATGCTGACTCTTTACTCCGCAATTGTCTCATCCAAGGATCAGATATGACATCACACGCTATACGATGATCAGATAAGATAAGGTACTGTAGATTACGGCTGCAACGTTACCGCGACCTCCGCGACAGGCAATCAACCTTGCAATTACCAGCTTCCCTCCGTCATCGAGCACCCATCCATGATACATCTGGGCTATCGCAACAATGGCCCTCGTCGCATACTCCGATTCTGAAACCTCGGACTCTGAACCAGAAATTTCCACTCCCGCCGCCCCAACACCAGCAGCGAAGCCCGCGTCGTCCTCAAACGCACCCTCGGCCTCCGCGTCAAAAATCACATCAATTGTTGACAAGGCTAACCCCCGCAAGATCCGTGTTGCCTTGCCAGAGATTAAGCCCGAAGTACCCGGTGATGAAGGGGAGGATGGTCCCGCGCGCAAGAAACCTAAGATAGGCGGCGGTGGCGGCGCGTTCGCAGGCTTCAACTCATTTCTCCCAGCGCCCAAACGACCCAGTGCGGTGGTGGAACAGGAAAAGAAACTAGGCGGTGGTGGCCCCGCCCGTAAGGTTTTCAGTTTGAAGACGGGGGCTGCGCCGGGGTTTGATCGCGAGGCAGATGAGGAGATGAGGAAGGATATGGCGTTCGAGAGCTTAGGGGGAGGCGGGGGTGACGACGAAGATGAGACGATTCCCAAGGCAGGAAACTTAAGGGATAGTGAGGATGCGGAGTCTACGACTGTGATGAAGAAGAAGCCCGAGGAAGTGGTTTTGAAGGGGAACCCGATGATGTTCAAGCCGTTGTCTGTGTCGCGGTCGGGGCAAAAGAAGAAGAGGGGGCCGATTATACCGCCGCCATTGCCAGAGTCCAAGCCAAAAGCAGTAGTGACGGTGGAAGGGAAGGAGTCAGTCGTACAATCGGAGGTACAGGCACAAAAGCCTACTGCTCCCGCTCCAGCACCCAAGCCCAAGGTCAGCCTTTTCTCCTTGTCTGCTGCAACGGAAGAAACAGCGATGCCAGACTCGTCAACATCAGTGCTTGGTGCAACATACGAGCCTCTGGTTTACACGACGAGCGAGAACGCACCAGCAGCAGGCCCCGCTCCAGAGACCGAATCGAGTCCCGCCGCATCAGCGCAGTCGGCCCAGACGCTGGACTATATCGCGGATGATCTGAATCTCTCCCGTTCTCAGCGACGCCAATTGTTCGGTCGTAACGCCGACCCTTCTACCTCAAAAATCCTGCACTTTAATACAGACATGGAATATGCTGCTAATCAGGAGATGGCGCACAAGGAGCTTGCTGCAACACAGCACAACCCTGTCCGGGCCATTGCTCCTGGCAAGCACACGCTGCAACAGTTGGTCAACGCGGCGAGTACGCAGAAAGAAGCCTTGGAGGAAAGCTTTGCGTCTGGGAAGCGGAACAAGAAGGAGGCTGGAGCGAAATATGGTTGGTAGGTGGTCGTTCATATTATACCACGGTTATACTTGTTTGTGTTAGTTTGTATAAGAGTCTTGCATCTTCACTTGGCGCCTAAATGAATGATGAGAGAGAAATGGTTTAAGTAACGAAATGTCTAATCAATGAATTCTATAAGTACTTGTACAGCAGTATACACAGTTTGCCACCTATTTACAACAGCAAAAGAAATGAAAACATGCTTTTTTAGGCCCCAAAACTCCATAATGCAAACACTCAATCAGTCTATGAAGAAACATCAACAACCTCCGCGAACCACTGCTTCAATGCTGTAGCCAAAACAGCCGGAAGCTCTCTCACGTCCCGCACGACAAGGTAATAGGGGAATGGGAATCCCTCCAAGTACCGCTTCATCCTCAGTTTCATCTCGCCGGTACCGCTCTCAGTATCCGGCTCAAAGCTGGCCTGCGTAAGGTCTAGGATGGAGTTGCCCTTTAGAGCGTCCACAATGATAAACACGATCATGATCCGCTCCTCCTGGGCCTGGCGGACAAGCCGCTTGATGGTCTCGTGGTCTTCGCAGATACCGTCGGAGATGATCAGCTCTAACTGCCAGAGATCTGCACCGCCGCCAGCAGGAGACTGCTTGAAGCGCGCTTCACGGAAGAGAGCGATCGAGTCAGCGATTAACTTGCGCACGTTGGTGCCGGTTTGCTGGTAGCTGAAATTCTGGAAGACCTGGATACCAGCCTCGGAGGAGAAGGGCTTGCCGAAGTCGTGAGCAACACGGACATGGTCCTCGCTACCGAAACCAAGGACGCAGAGGTCTCCAACTTCGAGCATGCTCAAACTCTTCGCGACGAGGGCGAGCGTTTCAAACGCGAGTTGGCCACTGCCGCTCTCGAGCATGGACTTACTGTCGTCAACGGCAAGCATGATTTGGTAGTTGCGCTTGGAGGGAACAGAGCGGCGCATCCAGATTTTGTCGCGCTTATACTGAGAGGCGATATAAGGGATGATGCGCTTGATGTTGAGACGTTTACCGGTTCGGAAGTCGCCGCGGAGTTTGGTCGCGAGGGTTGGAGCTAGGATTAGGCGGAGCTGTTCAGTTAGGGAGAGGGAGAGGGCGTTTGTTGCGGATTCGTACTTCGACCACAGGCGTTGGGCTTCATCTCGTGGGGTTAAAGGGGGGAGAGTGGAAGAGAGGTGGATGGCGGCTAGGTGGGAGTCGACTTCGTCGAGCTCTTCGGTTTCTGCTGGGTGGGCTTGGGCGTCGCTTGGATTTTGTTGGGCTTGCGATGTTCCTGGGATAAAAGCTCCGGCTGCCTGGTTGTCGGTGGGGGCGCCGTCGTGATCCAGTTGCATTGCATCCTCCAGTTCGTTTTCTGGGAGGAGTTGAGGCTCATCGGACGCGTCAGGCAGCATTTCTTGATCGGTGGGTTTAGATTCTGACTCCACGCCCTTGTTCTGGTCCAGAGCTTTGGCTTGTTCTTCGTTGGCTTGACCAAGGGCTTGGGTATCAGCGACGTCGTCTTGGTCTGCCAAGTGCTCAAAGTCTGCATCGCCCATCTCTGTGTCCTGAGGCAAAGGCTCGTCTGTCTCGCCTTCCTCCTGTTTTGAGGCATTCTGAATTTCTTTTTGTCTGCGATGCCATTGTTCAAGGACATCACCCAGCTTCTTGAATGCCTGTAACTGAGGATCTTCCGGGTTGACATCGTCCGCACCTCCCTCATCCCTGGACCTCTCGTTTTCTTCACCCTCCTTGGCAGCACCGGTTTGTTGATTTTGTTCGACGTTAGGATCAGTAGAGCCGTCTTGTTGCTGTGCGTTGCCGGAAGCGCCCTTCTCCTGGTTCTGGTCTTGCTCGGCACCGAGACCGCCATTGACAGCTTCGCTGGGAGCGACTTCTTCTCCAGCATTCTCATTGTCATCCCTTTGGGCAAGGAATTCGTCTTGCTGGGTCTCTTCAGGCTCTTCACCCTGCTCCTGTGCGTCTTCTTCACCTTCAGCTGCATTGGCATTCTCCTCTTCGGGCTGAGCTTCCTCGTCCTGGTCAATCTCTTCCTCCTCGCCGGGGAGGTCGCCAGGGCCCTGCTCTTCGGGATTGTCCTCCTGCATCTCATTCATCTGTTCATCGTTCGGTGCATCAGGAAGATCATCGAGCCCATCATCGCTGCCGAAATCCTCATCATCCATGCCCTTCTCGTCACCATCAAGCTGCATCTCTTCCGGTAGATCAAGTGTCTCCTGTTCCTGGGCATGGGGATCTGTGACGTCCATATCCTCGCGTCCAATAGCCTCGCCTTCATCATCAGGCGCTTCCTCTTCTTCATCCTCCTCTTCCTCCTCTTCGCCTTCTCCCTCTTTCTCGCCCTCTTCGCCCTTCTCGCCTTCTTTCTGCTCCGGGGCTGCCGTTTGCTGATCAGCCTCAGTAGCACCCTTGCCTTCTTGGTTCTCCGTCTCCTTCTGTTCCTCGTCATGGCCACCATCCCACATCTTCTCATCAACGGCAGATGCATCAAGGTCATTGACGCTGCCTACCTCCTCATCAATATCGTCATCCTCTCCCTCGTCGCCGCTTTCTTTGTCTCCATCTTCTTCTTCTTCTTCATGCTCGCCCTCCTCACCTTTCAGGTCTTCCTGGTCCATATTCACAGCATCTTTAGACTTATCCATATCCTCTCCTGCTCCTTCTTGTTGTTCCTGTTGCGCCAGCTCAGACAGGTCTTCGTCATCACCAACATCTTTACTGATGTCTTCGGCTCCTTCACCTTCACCAAGACCTGTTCCGCTCTCCAACTTTCCAGATTGGCCTTCTTCATTTGACTCCTCATGTGGGCTACAGAAGCCTTCTGATGAGACCTGAATGAAAGTCTTCGCAAGTACATAAGACATCTTGCATGTCTCACGGTGCACTTTGAGGAAGCGGCCCACGATGTCTTGGCTAATATCGTAATATTTGTTCATGATCGGCAACAGGCTCGCCAGAAGCGAAACTGCTAGTGGAATACCAGCCTCTGAGTTCTCCTGTATACGATGTAGGGTTTCTAGCACATCATCCAGAGCTTTCGTGATATCGGGCAGATGCGCCGACTTCAGAGCTCTAGTGAAGAATTCGTCACTGCGGGAAAGAGAGCCAGTGGATGTAATCAAAGCTGGCACCTCCTTGAGTTTCTGGAGACTGACAAGTATCTTATCCGTGGCCGCAGTAAGGCTCGAGTCAAAGTCTTCGATTGCCAACACGTCCACGTTTTGCACGGTTTCAGCGGGCCCAGTCTTGGCTTTAGTCCAGGGGAGAAGCTGGTCCAGGACAAAGGTTAAATCAGGACGTTCGCGAGCCCATTTGCCAATATCTGCCTTCAGTTGATCCAGGGAGGACGCAGCTTCGTCGAAGGTATGCTGATGAAGTCTAGAAATAACTCCACTCGGCAGCTCGGGAAGGTGGTTGATAGATTGTCTCAGACGGTAAAACGTCTCTTTCCACGTCTGCAGGCTTTTGGAAATTTCTGATGAAGGAATCTCAGAGAATTTCGAATGCAGCTCCACAATCGTTAAAGCAAGTCCGAGAGTGGGCACCAGCCATGCAACTGCTGTTGCTACTTCTTGCTTCCCGCTAGCAATTTGGTGATTAGAATGAGCAATAGAGTTTGTTCCCGACTTCCAGAGGTTGGAAACCTTGGCGAGAGTGTACTGAAGCGTTCCTAAATCCGATAGAGCCGGTGAAACGGCGGCTCTCTGTTTCCTAATCATGAACAAAAGATGCTCCATCGACCCCAAACTCCTCGACACTTCAACATTGCTGAGTTCCTCGGAGTAGCTGCGTGAGGCTTGACGAGCACGCGGAACGAGGTCTAAAAGTCGGTGGAAGTAGCCATCGCAATTCTCGATCAGTTGCATTACCGCCGGGTGGGCGGGGAGAGACGGGCTTGTAGCAAGCACTTTAGCAACGGTAGCCTGGGATTCGACCAAGTCGGTACCGGCATTACGCTTGACACCAAACTCCAGAAGCTGTCGCAAAGTGTCCGCATAGAAACGACGTTTTTGACCCTTGAGGTGTTGAACATCGGGTTTGTTCTCCTCCGTCAAGACCTTCGGGGTCTGGGTTCGGAATTCTTTGATACTTTCAAGGAAGAATTGAACAAAGCCGCTGAGATCGTTACCAACATCGAATTCGTCGGAAATTGTGGTGTACATGCTGAGCATGTTCTTGACTGTGCCTTCCGGGTTCGTAAAACGAGGAGGTCGGGTAGACCACACTTTGCTTCTTTCGCAAAGGACCAGGGCTTCCGGAATACTCGTAGAGGAGAAGACCAGCTCGCGACCGGAAACGCCGGTTTCTTCTTCTCGTTCGGGCATATCTTGGCTCAAAATCTGCTCAACGGGCAGTCCCAAAACTTCGCGGTACTTGCGCACCAATTTGAACAGCTTGACATGTGAACGCTTAGCACTCTCTCTAAGGGCAACAATATTTGTGTCCTTCCAGCTTGCGAGTTGTATCTGTTCCTTGATATCCTTTTCCAGAGCAGAACGCTTGTCAGTCAGCATTTTGTTAACAGCGGGTTGAAATTGAGCGTAATGGTGAAGGAAGTTGTCGAGTGCAGATACGAGCTGCTTCAGCGACGGATAGTCTTGCACATAGAGGAGTAAGAGGGCTCGGAAGTTCTTGATGAGCCGGAGCCGCTCGCTGTACTGGCCTAGCGTAGTTGAGTGCGTGAATTGCTCCAATGTACCAACCACATCCTGGACATGGTCACCCAGATACGCGGGTCCGGACTCTGCAATTTGGATTGGCGCCCTAATAAGTGCTTCGAAAGCGATAAACCACCATGAGCTTACGTCCTGGTCACACTTGTCCTTCTCAAGATCCAGGAGCTTTGCCCAAGTTGATAATTCCAATCGCCGCCAGGAAATGATCATGTTGGTAAGTTCATCGTAGTATGATGCTGCTGAGTACTCTCGACTGGCTACGAGCTGCCATTCATGGACAAGAGAGTGAAGCTTCTCGACCTTTGTCAGAAACTTAGCAACGGGTTCGGAATGCTTGAACTGATAAATCTCTTTGCAGAACGAGATAACATCACCGGGAACTGCGTGATCCGGCCAGGCCTGTTGTATCTGAGCAAATCGAGCTTGAATAGAGCGTGTCAAAGTCAGAAGCTTCTTGGCTTCGGCCAAGTTCCGGTCAATGTAGAAATTATAGCTTTTGGCCGACGGGGTGGTTCTCTTGATAAGATCATCTTCAAGGAGCAAAAGAATAGCAGAAACCTGCTCCTTTGGAGCGACGTGTGGAGAAAGCGAGTTGTTGGTTTCAGACCAAATCGAACCTAGCAGCATGGCAGACTGCTTGACGTAATCTAACAGCACTGTTCCACTATCGGCAGCCTCAAACAGTTTGGCGTGAAGATCGGCCAGTCGAACCGCGATAGCCTTGGGATCAGTCGCGCTTGACAAACTGATATCTTGGTCCGCGCCCTCTTCATATGTAGGGAAGAGCTGGTATAACTCATTTGCATCGACTTCTTCACTGTCCTCCCAGGATCCTTTGAAATGATACATCTCATTCTTGCGGGTGTGTTCCTCTTGATCCTCCTTCAACTTTGCCTTCCACAACATGTAAAATTTCTCGACAATGCGTAGGAGATTCTCGCGCCCAGTTTTGCTATGAAGAATACCAGGCTCCATGGCTTCAGCCACCCTAAGCGATGATAAATCGTGGAACCATGAATCTGTGGCGTGTTTGGAGTCTTGCCTGCACGAGCCATTGTCAAGCGACAGGATTGATCGACCAGAAGCTCCAAGGAATGGCGTGCTCTTACAAACGGTCCGCAGAAGAGCTGTCTCATCAGGTCCATGGTCGGGGTTTGAGCCGAGAGAAAGTCCAAGATCTAATATTTGTAGGAAGCGAACGACAAGGGTGGTGATATCGTCATAGGATCTATAGTTGGTACTCAACCGCTTGCTCAATTGCTGAATATTGTCCCGCAGTAGCTTTCTCGTACGTTCGTTCTCGGGGCCCTTCTTGGTCGCGTTGATCAATTTCTCTGGGTTCCGGCGGAGAACAGATTTGATGATGCTGGCGAATTCGGCGTGGAGAATGCTAATTTCCGAGGTAGCTGGACGTGTGACAGAGGATGGCGGAGGAGTTGAACCAAGGCTGTTCAATTCATGCTGCACGATTTCATGCCTAATGTTCGTAGCTTGTCCCGAAAAGACTTGCTCAAACAAGATGATTGATTCAGCCTTCGAAGCAAGTTCAGCGACACGTTGCTGATGTCGCTCCCTCTCGACGACTAAGCTTAGGGAAGGATCGAATGGCTTATCAGGAACAAATAGCCACAGGAGAATAACCGCCAGTTGCACCAATGCGCTTGCAGTATCTTGCACAGCATCTTCGCCGGTAGACCTAGTCAGCAACGCTACAACAAGCTTCGGAAGTGCCTTATCAGCAATGGCTTTGAAATAGTGGTTGCTGGGTAGGTTCTGCGCCAGACGAATGTTCAATGAGAGCAAACTTGGTGGCAAGCCTCGCTTGCCTGCCAAACGTAGAAGAGTGACCAGTTGCTCAAAGGATTGCGGATTGAAGAACTCCTTGTGAACATCGACAAACTCCGCGGTAAGTTCCAAAAGCGCCTGTCTGACAAGCTTGAGCTGATCCAGGGCGATTTCTCGACTGGTTAAGGCTAATGCTTTGGAGAGCGTCTGTTTTTCAAGTTCCAGGGCGTCCATCTGACCAAGGCTGACGCGATCAACATAAGCCAACTTGTTGAGCAGCGACAGAGAAACAGTGCCGCTAACGGCTGTTCCACACCCGGAAGATCGCTGATATCCTGAAAACAAGGACAGACGATGAAGGATATCCGGAACCCGGCTTTGCAGCTTTGATGAATTCAATGGCTGAGCAGGACGGCCAGCGAGTAGAGCCAAAACGGATTGGACGGCAGTTTGAGGCGCAGAGGGGCTTCCATCCTTAAGGGCCGCAATGTCATGGTATTGGCAGAGTATCTCAAACTCGTTCGAGAAGTACGGGCTTTGAGTCAACTCGGAATCTTGCACCACGCTTGCCAGACCCATCACTGTCTCTCGGAGACTCTGCTAATTGTTAGTATGGAGAACATATGACAGACCGTGTGTCAGATGCCACAACTTGGATGGTCAAGAACTTACTTGCACGAGATTTCCCTCATCGGCACCCTTCAAAAGCAAGGATCTTTGCGTTTCGACCAAAGAGTTACGCACTTGGCTCAATTGAGACAAGTCAAGACGAGTCCGGTTTGCGATTTGCATAAACTCTGACGCGACCTTCTCCAGATCCAGCATGGAAGTCAACTGGGCGGGAGTTGATGCTGTTGCTGGTCTCCAAGATTCCCAGAGCTTCTGCATCCCGAGACCTGTAGTAAGAGCCCAGTTTTCGTGGAAGCGTTCAAGCGCTTGAGACAGAGCATGAGCCAGTTTGGTGAAAGCAGCACCTAGATCGAAGATCGATGAGCACAACGTTTTACCGATCTGAAGGTAGATCAAGAATTCGCCCTCATCAACTTCAGTAGATGCTGTAACTCTCAGGATATCCGCACAGAAGTTAATGATTGCACGAAGAGGAGGCATAGGATCATGATGGTGGATGAAATCACTGTCTAGACTTTGAACAAAGTCGTATACAGCCTGTCCGCAATGCGCAAGGAAGCGGCCAACTGGCTGTGTCGAATCTTTCATCAAGGCAGGTATGCGCTTCGAGGCTATAGATCGCTGCAGGCGACTCATTTGGCTTGGTTTTAGAGACTGGCTTGATTCGTCTGCGAGCAATAGGGCCTGTTTGAGGCGATGCAGATCAAGCTTCGACTCCTGCAAATGCGCCAGAAGGATAAGTGAGTTGAATGGCAAATCCTGCTCCAAAACTAGAGCCAGAGGTTCATTGACCAAAGGATGAAGCGGTTGTAGATGGCCTTGAATGGCGAAAGTGACGTTCCCTAGGTTGACGGATTTCTTGATGGAATCGAAAGGTTGGCAGAACTGATTGTCGTGTATAACCGATGCGTAACGATCCAAAAGTCTCGAGAACTGGCCAAGTTGGAGATCAGACAAATACGGAGAAACAAGATGTTGTGATCGTTGGAGATAAGCTAGGTCCGAGATAGACAGGTGGTCCAGGCGAATCTCGTACGATGGTTCAGACACTTGCTCTAAAGCTCCGAAAGGCCCGAACGTCCAGAGAGAGCGAAGACGGTATAGGTAAGATTGGCTGGTATAGGAGGGAGTGGAGGAGTACTTCTGAACAAGTTCCTCCTGGGGCAGGATGCAGATCTCAACACATCTATTTCGCATGGCGCGAGAAAGCTCTCCGTTTCTCGAATCCATTGTCAAGAAGAGCCTAAAGTTCGGGTGAGGTTTGATGATTCGGGCGTTTCCATCTTCAGTGCGCTGCTCATTGAGAATGAGAGACCCGTTTGGCTCCGTCAAGGAGTTCAGCCTGTCGAGGACAGAGGGATTACAAAGATTGGCGTTGTCTAGGACAACCCAGTCTCCCTTCTGCACAGCCTGCGTCAAGACACCCTCCGTCCACTCAAAACCAACCTTAAAAGTCTCCGACTCTTTGGTGATCCGAAACAAAGATCGCGATCGTTCAAGTAGCTGTTCCAACGCTGGTTCGGGATATAGTTGATGAACGGTTTCCAGCAACGTGCATAGTATTTCGAGAGATACGTCAGGGCTCTGTAATCGTTCATAAAACTCAACGAAGGCAGAAATTTCTTCTGGAGAAGTCCCAGGCGAGTAACCGGAAAATATTTGCCGTCTCACAAAGAGCAAAATATCCTGCAAAAGGGACTGTTTCTCCCTGTTGTGGTCAATCTGCTCGAAACCCCCGACTAGGTCCATTGTATCAGTATCGGCACTCAAGGCTAGCTCGACCAAATTGGCTCCATTAAGAGCAGCAAGCTTTCTTATCAACGTTGTTTTGCCGCATCCTGAGGCTCCCACCAAGATGCTTGGCCATGACTGCTCAATGCAAAGCATGAGAGACTCAAGGATAGGGAGATCCTTCGGGAGTATCTCGAGATGCGGATTGGGCGTTTCTTGCAGCATTACATCTCTTTGCATAACTCCAAGCCCGACCTGCATACACTCCGCAGTCATATTATGATAGTAACTCTTGGCTGCGGTTGAGACGCCGTCAAAGACATGCTCATATAGATGGCGGACTCGTTCCCGGTCCTCTTCCGACCTAAAACGTTGGGAGATGATAACGTCGAGGAAGTTCTTTGTATGAATTTGCAAAGCTCCACGATCAGCCAGTTGAAGCCATCTTTGGATGTCACGCAGGTTGACCTCCCATGGACCACCCAAAACACCTAACCTCCTTTCCTGGGTAATAGCGGTATTCAACGAGGAAACAAAATCAACAAGCCGTTCGGTCTGCCTGGTGGGACTGCCGGGGAAGAGTTTGGCGCATATGCGTTTCAAGTCAGCGTCGGTGAAGCTATCAGCATACACCACGGTAAACCGGTTGACGAAAGAAGCCGGCAACCCCTTCCTACCACCTCCTTGATGATGGGGATTTTGTGCCGCAAAAAGGACGAAATTCGGGTGCCGCTTGAAAGTCTGGTCAAGTTCCGCAATGTAGACCATCTGACGATGGTCCAAACAAGCATTGAGACCCTCAAGCACCGACTGAGAGGCCAGATTCATCTCATCCAAGAGGACCCAGTCGCCACGCTGCATCGCTTGCAGGAAAGGTGCATCCCGCCACGCAAACTGACCTACATCGCCGCCTTCAACAGGCACATCCGATCCAAACAGATCCGTAAGATCCGTTTGCTCAGACAGATTGATTCGGGTGAGCGGCTTCCCTAGGGCTCGAGCAAGGGCAGTCACAAGTGTTGTCTTACCAACGCCAGGGCTACCTTCTAGGAGAATGGGTTTGGTTAATTGTAATCCGCGAGCAATTCGTACTGAGTTGGCAATAGTGGTCGGCGCATCCATGATGAACTCAGGATCAGGTTGAGCATCACCCTGGATGGTGAGATGGAAGGGCCCCACGCGCAAGGCTCGGTCTTGGATATCGATAATAGACCTTTGCTCGTAGATACTTGCGGCATCGACGTCAAACAGTTCTTGAAGTTTATCCAGACACAGCTTTCGGTTTGCCACGAGATTATGCAACGTACTGGCAAGCATCGCGGCTGGGTTAGCGCCTAGTGTGTCTATGAACACCATTGCAGCACCTTGGATGACGGCAAACAAGGGTTCAGAACCCTGGCATTTATTGACGAAATCAACCCAGCCCAGAAGATCGCGGAGGGAGAGGGAGTTGGTAGAGGACCCCTGGAACGTCCGCTTGAACCACTTAGCGAACTGTAACATTGCCCGAGGAATGTGCTCCGACTCCATCTGTAGTTTCCTTTGAAGGATCGGAAGGATATCTTCATCTTCAGAAAGCTGAGGGGCCCAAATCTCGGTCATCCGATTTCGAAGAGCAGCAGAAAGTTCTCGCTTTCCATAGTCGCCTCCGGGGTTCATGGTTGAAAGAAATTGGAAACCGCTGTCCGCGACCACCATTGAATCGATAGGGCCCTTTTCTGCTAGCAGTATCGACCTGTGGGGTTCCAGCACACTGTTGAGTCGTTCCAGCACCGAGTCGTCGGCGAGAGAAATTTCATCAAGCAGGAAAAATTGGCCTGTCCTCATGGCTGTAATCAAACTGCCATCAGTCCATTCGAACAACGCATTGAGACGGGCAAGGTTCTTCTCAATTCTCTTAAGCAGCTCCGAGTCGCATTCTTGTCGCTGTCCTTCACTAAACGTTGCAAAAACTTGTTTCAACTCTTCAAACGACTTGGTCTCGTCTCGCAAGAGTGTTCGCAAGTCGCTGACCAGACCATCTTCGATAGCCGTTCGATTTCGCACAGGGCGTTGGGCACCGATGAGATCGCCAGTTTCCAAGTTCACATGCGCATTGACAATGTGCAGCTGCTTTTGGTAGGCATCTGAGACTGCTTGACAAAGTTGAGTCTTTCCGCAGCCGGTCTCACCCACAAGCAGGATAGGCTCGTTGTTATGGAGAGCTGTGGAAACCAAGATAAAAAGTCTTCTCATAGCCCTGGTCCAGACAATGCCAGGGGTTAGTTGCCTTAGCATTGGTGCACGCTTGTCCATTTCAGATATACTGTAGAGAACCTCTTCATCTATCTTGACCTTCATAACCTCTTCAATCACACCTTTCACAGCTTCTCTCTCTTGAGGGTTTCGCACCCTCTCTGCAAGGAGCATGAAGCCATTTACAGCCAACTGCTCTCGGTCATCCGCTTGCCGCAGAGCCCACCGGAAAAGATCACGCAGGGTGGCGAAACTATTCTTTTGCTCAAATAGTCGGTTTGATTGGCGCAATAAAGAGAGTTTCCGATATACTGAAACGATCCGGGTACAGAAGGACGGCGCGATCTGTGACCGTTCTTTGAGAATGTATTCTAGCTCGCTCTCTGGTATGTCGTCGAAGTGCAATTCGAGGAAACGATTCCGAAACGCGCGGGAGAGTACTTTTCGGCCTCCATAAAGCCCTGCAGGATTCTGCGTTGCGAATAGCATGAAATTTGGATGAGGATGAACCACTTCTTGTGTCTCAGGGATGAACAGCTCACGATTATCGTCCAGAAGTCGATTAAGCGCTTCCAAAACGTCTGACGGCGCCAGGTTCAGCTCGTCGAGGACAATCCAGTAGCCGTTCCGTAAGGCCTCAACCAGGACACCTTCCTGATAACGAAGAGTACCGTCATCATCGGAAACATAGGAACCTAGATACTCTTGTAGATCGGTGTGTTCGTGGTTATTGATGCGTACGAACTTATTTCCCGATACCTTAGCGAGATACTCGATCATACTGGTCTTACCGGCAGAGGTTGGGCCCTGAAGCAAAACAGGGAATCGGCGGGTAGAGCTCGCTCGGACAAGGTTCTTGAGGTTCTTTTCAATGAACGGAGTTATGATATAATGGGGTTGTTCTTCCGGTATCGAATGTCCTTTCCGCATCCAGTAATGTTTGAAATGCACGTACTCGTTGCCATCATTGGGGGGTCTAGGAGTTTGCCCAAGTAATGCTCTGACGTTCTTCACATTGCTGAAAATGTGCTTCTCAAGCAGCGGCATCAACAGCCTTTCGGATTCACGGCTCAAAACTGTCAGAAAGCTCATGGAGAACCCTTCGAATATTGCTCGTCTTAAGCCATAGATTTGCGCATGATCGGCAGCGTAGATGAGCGCACGAACAAGGGTTCGAATGCTAAAGTGTGGTCGCTGACCTGCACCGTCTGTGAGCTTGTTCTCGTAATTGAGCTTCTTGGCCTCCATGTAGAGCTGGGCGAGATCTGGTGCAGCCCTGGCATCACTCAAAGTCAAATCACCGAGGTACTTCTTGATCAAAGACAAGAGGTCATCCAAATCGTTATCAGGGGATTGCACATATAGTTCGGTGAATCTGGAGCGAAGGCCCGGTGGAAGGTCCTTTTTGCCTGCGTCAGTTGCCGGGTTCATGGCGCCGAATATTCGGAAATCAGGGTGGCCAAACACCCGTTCTACATCGCCAGCCTCGGAAAGCAACACGGAGGGGGAACCCTCACTGCCGTGATGCAAAAGACTTGCGATGTTTTCGAGGGTGTCAGGTGACGCGAGGTTAACCTCGTCAAGCAGAACCCACTCGCCATTGCGTAAGGCGCGAACAATCTTTCCCTGTACGAAAGCAAACGCAAACTTGGCATCGCCCTGGGCTACTTGTGCTTCAAAGTCGTTGAGCTGTGCTGCAAATCTTTCCCATCTCAGTCGCAGATGCTGATATTTAGGGGAGTCCAATTTCCTTTTCTTGGTGGGTTGTTCACTTTCTGCAGACTGAGACGAGCCATTGCCTGGCTTGAAAACGCCATCTGCCAACCGAACAGCTTCGTGCCAATGATTAACCAAACGCACCCAATTCCCACTGGCAACATTCTTTGCAATCGAGGAAAGAAATTTTTGATTCTTTTTTGCAGAAAATGTTAATTCGAATAGGGAATTAAACTCATCGAACATCGGAATGGCCATTGTACGAATGTTGACTGGTTTGAAGCCACCCAGTAGGTCGCTACTTTCACTTTGTTGTGACAAGTTCACTACTGTGAGTTTTTGCCGCATCAATGTGGCAAAATGCTGTATGACAGTCGTTTTACCGATACCGGTCTCTCCAACGAGAAGAACAGGCTCGGCCATCTCGACTGAAGCAGCGACCTGCTCCATCAACTTCAGGGCGGCTCTCGTAGTAGCAAAGCGAGATGTAGCAGCTGCTAGTTTAGATGCAGAACCGCTCGGAACCTTAATCTTGCGGCAAGCCTCCCTACCAAGTACGAGATTGCTGCCCTGATCCAGGAGCGCTGGTGTCCGCTCATGTAAACAAAATCTTGCACGTTGCGGCGAAATATGAAGTGCTTCCGCGACTTTCAAAGCCAAAGAATCCGAGATTGTCGAGTCTGGTAGATATTTGAGGAAGATGTCCACAACATCAAGAAAGATTTCGTCGTCAGTGCCTTCAGGGGTAGCTTCAAATCCAGTCTTCACGCCCAGTCGCTGAAGTCTCCTATGCATTCTGCTACAGAGCTTGATAAGATCTCGCAGTCCTGGGGTACGACCTTGAGAGCTTTTGATGGCGAGGCTTCCGTGAAACGAGGAGCAGAGCTTCTGATAAACGTCCATGATTGTGGGAACCCGAGATTCGAGCAAAGGGAACTTTTGCGCAATCACTTCTTGAACCTCGCCTATCGTAAGCGGATCGACCTGTACCCTATTCCATAATCTGCTTCCAAGTATTGAAGTACTAGGGGCAACCTCCTCGCCGGCGATATTGTACGACGACTTCATCGTAGCGATAATTTTGAAGCCTTCCGCGCATTTGATGCGCTCCCTTCGACTAGCTATAGTGAGCTCACCCTTTTCAATGATAGGAAGGATGAGACCAATGACTTCAGAAGGAGCGCGATCCAAATCTTCAATTAATATCCATCGGCCTTCTCTCGCAGCTTTTGTCAACACACCGGGTTGCCAGGCAAAGCTGCCCGTTGCTGGAGATGTTGAGTACATTCCAAGAAGGCTTTTTGCATCTGTTTGCTCGTTCAGGTGAAGTGTCACCATAGATTCCGCCTGACCCATGACGCCTGCAACGTCATTGATGAGACTGGTCTTTCCTGAGTTCGGCAGTCCGACTAGAAGGATTGGCTGAGGAGTGATTAAGGCACTCGCTATCCGTCGCAAATTACTCACTGCTGTGGGTGTTTTCACAATTGCAGACGGTGTGAGCGAGGGAACAATCTGACGAGGTATTAATACGCCAGATACTTCTGCGGTTCGTGCAGTGAAATATTCTCGCAACTGCTCCACTCGAGAAAGGCTCTCGGAGTAAGATCGCGTGGTCCTCAGCGAATGGAGTTGCCGTTCTAAGGTAGTCCATCGACGCTCTTCCCAAAGCCCGAGACAGCGGTAGTCAATCGAAATACCTTCCCAATGCCCCTCCACGATGTCATCCCCGCAATGTGACCACAAAATCCTCTCCGTCGATGCATCGGCCGCGCGCATATAAAGACAGAAACATCGTACCGCAAGATATCGAATCACTTTGTCGTCGTGTTGAAAAAGGGTCTGTAGTCGAGATGGAGAGATGGCCGGTGAAAAGGCTTCTAAGTCGAAAGAAAGAAGACGGAATATGGCAAGTAGTAAGGTGCATATTGTGAGGTCGTCTATTTGCAAGTTAGTCGAAGCATTAGGTGCAGCCAACGCCGACAGAGGGCCAGCCCGGGACATGGCATATTGGCTTGCGAAAGATCGTAAATGTGGTGCGAGCGGCAATATTCGTGCAAATGCGGATATGACTTCGGTTTGGTCAACGCCGGACTCGGGCAGTGTCCAGCGCGCAGCCAGATCAACGAAGATCGGCTCATAGATGTAGAAGAACTTCTCCGTAAACCCTGATCTCAACGCGCCGACTGCGAGCGCATTCAGGTACTGAGTCCCGGAAGCTGTGCGGATGAGGGCCGCGATCTCACCCGGCAGCTGTTCGAGAAGTTGGGACTCATCGAGAGTCCCTTCGTAGGTAGGACTGGCGCCCATCCTGAGTCCAACCTCCCAGAACTCTTCTGTCGTGTGTGAAAGGAGAAGAAAGTACAGTACTTTTTTCCGCCATCTTTTTTCTGCCGATATCAGGGTGGCAGGTCCCCACATAATTGCGCGAGGCCGGAACGAAGTGGAGGCCCGCGCACGATAAATTGTAGGTCCCGGCTCCTAGTCACGTGAGCTTTATTAAGAATTATATAAAATAGTAAAATAATGCTAATTAGCTAAAAGAAATAAAGCTAATTAACTAAAAAAAAAAATAATTATATAACTTTTTTACTACTTTAACTTTGTAATATAGTTTTTTTAATAATATAATAGCTTAAACCTTAAGTTTATAATTTTTTTTTTACTCGCGGTTTATATAAATAAGTTTAATTATAAAGCTAATTATATTTTATAGCTAGTATAAAAATATATTACTTATATTTTAATTTTAATAGCGCCCGGGCCGCAAGCCTTGTAGTACTTATAATAATTATAAAAATAAGGTATATTTATACTACCTTATATATATATTATAGCTACTAATATATAATAAAAAAAAAGTAAATAATTTATTATAACTACAGGCCTTTTTAACCCGCCCCTTTAATATTTTTTTTTAGTAAAATTAACTTAAATATATAATAAGCACGCCTGTTATAACTAAAGCTAAATTATTAATATTATAATATATATTTATTTAATAACTTATAATAAGTAGAAAAATATTATAAAAATATTAAATAATAGTATATTTAATAAGTGGTAAGTTAGGTAGCTTATATAATTACTTTTTATAAACCTTAACCTTTTTATTTATTTTTAATATACTTATTATTATTAATAATATTTACTATCCTTATACCTCTTTCCACGCCTATAATAGCTATATTTTTATTATTATTTATACCTTGCCCGCTGGCTAGGCGCCTGTAACTAGTTATTATTATTAATAAAAATAATATTAAGTTAAATATTAATAGCTTTACAGCTATAAGCTCCTAATTTATTATTAAAAATAATTTATTTTTACCTTTATAAATTACTAAAGTTAACTTTAACTTTTTTATATATATAGACCTAGACCACGCTTTTTTATTATATTTATTTTCCCTAATTAATTTTATATATTTAGCTATTATAAACTATAATTAAAAGCTATTAAATAACTTTTACTACTGGCTTAATATATACTAGCTAAAAACATGTAGTTATTATTAAAAATAGTAATTTAATATAAATCTTTAAAAAAGGAATAATATTTACAAGTATTACGTGTTAATTAATTAAAATTAAAAAATTTTTAAATTTAGTTTATAAAATAAAATAAATCCTGGTAATATTTTTTTTTACCTTTTAAAATTAATATAAATTAAGGAAATACTAATCACAAGAGTTTATATATTTATTAAGGTTTATTATATTTAAGGTTACTAGTATTTATATAAAGGCTATATTATTAACTTTTTATAAAATATTAGTTAAGTATATAAATAGCTTTTACTTTTACCTAAAAATTTTAAGGTGTTAATTTTATAATTATTTAATTTTAGTATAAACTAGGGAATGCACCTATAATTTTATTATAACTTTAAAATATAGTGTTAAGTAATTAAATAATAGCTAAATTATTTTTAGGCAAACTATTTGGGGTATTAAAATATAATTAAAAATAATTATAACCTTATATAATTATTAAAAAATAAACTAGTTAATTATTTTATTTTAACCTAGGAGCTGGCTGGTAAGCTAATTATTTTAAATAATAGTTAATAAATAAACCTTAATAATATATAAGCGCCTAATATAGTTATAGTATTTAATTTACTTATAATAATTATAAAGCTTAAGGTATTACAGGCCGCGGTAAATAATATTACTAAATTAGTATATAATAACCCTTATTTAACTTTTTTTTTATTTTATATAACACTGTTATTTAAGTTTAACTACTTATAATAATTATTATTACTAGTATTTTTTACTTTTTTTTCTTATAATAATATAAAGCTAGTTATAATGTATTTACGCAAGGTATTATTTATAAATTATATTAAATACCTATTTAAATATAAAAGTGGCCGTTTTACACGGTATTCCTGGTTTTAATACGTTTACTTTAATATAATTTATTATTAATAAATAAACTAGCAAGCTAGTTTTTATATTTATAATTACACGCCTAGCTAGCAAGATATTTTTATAAAAAAGTTATAAATAGCCTTTTAGTTAAATATAGCTAAATTATTTATGCTATTAAGTTTTATTACTAGTTTTTTTAAAATTATTTGCGGTACGTGGCTATTTTAGCATAGTAAGAGAAATGGCTTAAAAGCCATGGTTAAAAATATTAATAAGTGGCTTGTTTTTTATTATTATACATGTTATTTTAACCTTTTATTTTTTAAATAAGCATGGCTTACTTATTTTTAATATTTTTTGCGGCTAATTTATACTAAGATAACCTAATATAATAATTACTTAAGTATAAAGCATGGCATGATAATATAAAGGCTATTTATAAATAAATTATATAATATAATTTATAAAATAACCTTTATATTATTATAGCATGGTTTTATTACTACTACCACGTGTTTTTTAATATGGTTATTAAGCCTAAATTTAGTATTATAAATAATTAGTCTTGCTATAAATAGCAAGGTTAAGGTTTAATTTATAATTATAATATATATTAAATATAATTTACTTTTATTTTTAATAGCTTTTAATAGTTTAACAAGCTATAGCAATTATTTAAGGTTTATTAAGGTATATATATTATAGCTATAAACCCTTTTTATATATAAATTATTATTATTAATATAAATTATAAGGCTATTTAGCTATCCTGGTTTTAATAAGAAAATATACTTACTTATCTTGCGTAGGTTATAAACCATGTACTATATTATTATTATAGTATAAATTATTATTAATAAAAAAATAAGTAAATTAAAAAAATTATTTATTACTTTTATTTTTTTATGGTAACACGGCGTGATTTTTAATTAATAAAACTAACTAGTAATATATATTACTATCTTTTTCTAGCCTATAATAATATAACCTTAAATATATTTAACTTAATTATTAGCTTAAAATAGCTTATAAACTTAAATATAGCTATATGTACTAGTAAGCGCTTTTTACTTTATTATATTATTAAGTATATTATAAAGCCTAAAAAAAAATAAAGTTATATAAAAAGGTTATAAAATTAGTTTTTAAGCATGTTAATACACGCTGTTTTTTACTATTACTAGTATAAAAAATAATAAATACTTTAATTATAAAGTAAGATTGGTCCGCACAGGAGGTTTATTACTATTTACTAAGTTTATTACTTTAAATATTAAGCTATAGCGTGGTTATTATTTTATATTTTATAAATTAAAAATAAAATAACCCGTTTTTACTACTAAATATAAACTGTAATAATACTAGTAATAAAAAAGGTGGTATTAAATAAGGTTTAAATATAATAGTAAAGTATATATAATAATTATTAAAGCTTACTAATTTAATATTACTATATTATATGTGCTGCTATATCTTATAGCCTAGAGTATATAAAAAGGTTAAAAGTAAAATAAAAAATTATATTATTTATTATTACTTAATATATAATTAAGTTATGGACCTAAAGAACTTTGCCCGTGTTAAATTAATATTTTATTATTTATTTATTAAAATAAATAACCTGTATATAGTTAATAAATTAGTATTTAATAGCTTTTATAACATGTATAAATACTACCATAAATACCATGGTTATAAAAAAAATAGCTATATATAAAATAATAAAAATATAAAAAATAAGATTAATTTATTAACTTAAAATAATAATACTAGCCTAATTACTAAGGTACTTTTTTAAAAGGCCATGGTGGCTTAGTAGCCCGGCTGTGATAATAGTTTTTTTATAAAACTTAATGGCCTGGGCCAGCGTGATATTAATTAATAATATAATTAAATTTAACATGTAAGAAAACCTGGTTTTAGTTTAAAATTTTAAAATTTAGTAAAGGTAAATTACCTAGTAAATATATTAGCTTATTTATTAGCTTATTTAAATAGCCTAAAGGTTAAGTAATGCTAGCTATATAATATTATAATTAAATATTATAAAAGTATCTTATAGTTACGCGGTTTATTAGTTTTTTATATAAATAATAAGTAGTGGTTTATTTTTATATATTTATTACTTTTATTAAAGTAATTATTAATTAATTTAAATAGCAAGGCTAGTACTAGTAAATTTTATATTATTAGCTTATTATTTATAACCCTAGAATATATAGCTTTTTATACTAGTAATTATAAAATTTTTATTATTATATAGGCTGCTTTAACTAGTATTACCATGTATAATATTAATAGTTAAATCTTATACTTATTATTTTAATTACTAGTTATATTAAAAGGCAAGGGGGGTTATAATTATTTATAGCCTTTAGTACTATTAACCTTGCAGGCAAGTTTTTATAACATGTTATATTTAATTATTAATAAAAAGTTTATAATAGGTTTAAAATAGCTATATTATATTAACTAATAATATTATAAGATTTTCCCGGACTATAAAGCTAAATTATTTAATAACTTAAATATTATTTTAGCCAGGAACTTTTACTAGCTACCTTTAATTAACTAAAACCCTTTTTTTAAGGCTATATTTTTACTTATAAATAAAAAAAAAAGGCTGGTTAGTATTTATATAATTAATTTAACCTTATTATTAAGCTAGATATTATTTATTACTAAACTACAAGCTTTTAAATAGCTTATATATTTATTTTTATGTTAAAGTGCTTAAAAAAAAATATTATTATAATAAAAAACTAGGAGCTTTTTATAATATAAGTATAGGCTAAGTTACCTATAAGTAAAAGTAATACCTTTATAAATATAATTTATATATATAAAAAAAAAATAATATATATTAATATAATTATAACCATGTATTAAACTCTGGTAGGCCTATAATTATTTTATAGGTTAATTATATT